CTATTACTAAATGTTTCTCCCCAGCGTGAGTACTTCCCACCTGCCCTTAGTGCCCTAATCCACACCTGTAAGAGACCAGTGACCAGGTGGAACCGGATTGACTTTGACCACATTCAGCCGGAGAGGTTTGGAGTTCTCCATCTGTTTTTCCGAGAGATACAGACCATCACTGAGGAAGTAGTTGTCTGTACTGGACACCCTGCACAGAAACAGAGGAACTCAGCTGTGACAAAAGTAGAAGTAACCGTGGTCCTGTGGGTGACCTCAATGAATTTTTCCATCAAGAAAAGCACATACAAGTCAAAAAAGGATCTACACAAATGGGCTGTGATTATGTAAAACACGATGACGCACTGTTAGCCAACCAGAGCGCCGTCATGGGGGAAGGAGGCCCTGGCTTTACCCTGCAACTTATCTTCTTTTGTCAGTAGTTTATTGTTTGACACTGAACTGTGAACACTTCTCTCTGGCCCTCTTGCCCACTTATTTGTAGGCTCTCTGGCTTAAAGATGTCGGCCATTCTGTCTGTCCAGAGAATTGGTTTAGTTGCTGCTGTACATTAATTATGATCGAAATTGAAAAAAATGTACTTACTGTTTTGATTCTGTGTTTTATTTGTAGCGTTGCAAACGGGCTACAAGAGCATTTTGCTGCTAAAGGGAAATAAATGATCTAATTGAATTATTGCTGCCTCTGTTTAGAGTATGTCCTACCTGATGGTGGTGGTGGAGGAGTCTCTCCCTACAGCCATCCTGTGTTCACCCTCTCTGATCTGCTGGGCCCAGTATGGATGCAGCCATGCCACACATGACACATGGCCAGCATAAACCATGGGCATTATCCAGTTTTCTATACTCAACTCACTGAAAAACAAAAACACACAAAAAGTTAGAGCTGTGCGTCCATTACCTGCAGGGCACTGGTGTAGTGCATAGCAGTGTGCACATACCCTACCAGAGCACAGGCCTGATCGACATGCGAGTAGGACCCACGTTGAACATAACGACGCTCTTGTCATTGATCTGTATGAATGGACAACTTTTTTTCATCTAAACAAAACGTGTGTGCATCACGCCATAGTCCTCATAAGCAGTGGCTTTGTCTCAAATCCGCAGCGGGTGACAGACCGTATATTAAACCTACACAACAGGTCAATTCAAGTATTACAAATTTGCCTCCGAGGGCTTTACAGTCTGTACACATGTGACATCCTCTGTCCTGAAACCCTCACATTGGCATAAACATGCCTCAACATTCACATTCAGCCAGGTGAATGTTGTCAAATGTCGCCGTTCTGCCGATAAGTTACTGCATCAAAAACCTTGGACTGTACTTCTGTTAGGAACAAACTCCTACCTGAAGAGTTTCTCCTTATCAAACACGGTGTCAGCAGACATGTTGACAGGGATGAGCAGGTCAGGGTGGGAGTCTAAATGAATCATCTTGATGTTCTTCAGGGGGAGGTGTCTTGATGCAATGGCACGATAAATATGACCCACCACCTAGAAAAATACAGTAAAATGAGTAATCTTCTGATGGAATTAAGTGCCAGGGATCTCTGAACCCTGGAACTTTAATGCTATGAGAAAATACAGAGTCCCGTTATCTTCATTTCTAAAGCCATGCATTTAGCATTTAGCCAAAGAAAAAAAATAAAAATGGTGCTAATTTCTCAATAAAATGAAAAAACCGACCGACCGACCGACCAATGGGGGGAGGGGTGTTAGTGGGCAAATGTATGTTGGGTGAAAGAAAACGCTTGGTGACGCTTGTGAAAAATTTCGAGCCGTACTGCAAATAGGAAAGAATCCGGTCAATTTTCAAAATAAAACATTTTTCTGAAAAAAAGTCGAATGACCCCGGTGGTTGGGGTCCCCTACTTTAAGTTACTCGACAATGCCTTTACATTGTACCGACTAAATGTGGAACTTGGGTTCATACATTCTGTAGTTCTTTACAAATACGTGTTAAGTTAACTCTTGGTATTTAAAACCACACCAACAGAAGCACCTTTCGGCGTCACGTTACTTGATACTCAGCAGTTCTGTCATAGCTATAAACCAGGGGATGCTACTCAAGTAACGTTAGCAGAATAGCTAACTTAGCTAGCTGTGTCACATACGCAGTGAGTATGGAGACTTACATCGTGGTGGTCCTCCACTATCCACACCGGAAGCTCCTTGTAGCTCCTCTTCAGCGGCACGCAGCTCATCGTGACGTAGTTACTACCTGTGCTCACACCTCCCTCGCGAGCACATCTTTTGATAAAAGTTTCGGCGGAGATGGTTTGATGAAAGGACAAGCGAGTCTCGAATGACCACCGGAAATAACAGCAAGCATTGTTATTCTGTCCGAGTAGAAACAAGAGCGCAGAAAACATCTGGTTCCTAGTGTTCGGCATTCATTCGGTAAACTAGAATAAAAAGCGGAGACAACGAATTGTGAAAAGGTCAAACTTGCCAGCCTGTAAATCATTACATAAGTGAAACAGTTTCGACACTACTGTTAAACACACAATAAGTTACAAGCTAAAGAAAATCAGATGTATTCATAAGTATGGTATTTATTTTTTAAGACATGTGCATGACCTAGTGGAGCTATTGGAAAACCACCACGTCACAGTGGAGCTGATGCAGAACAGTCGGCAAGTGCCCTTACGACCCCTCTAACCCCAGGAGAGACTAGACAAAATTGAGGAAGGGGAACCTGGACAGCCATGGGGTGGTGTCTCTAGGTCTCCAAAGGTTCCTGTCAGAATAGCGCCCCAGGATGCAAAAGCCCCACTGTATTAAGGGAGTACCTCCAGTCTCCTATGGCCAGCACTGGCCCTCCAACCCAGCAGACTCACCTCTCTCCTCTGCCCACACAGCACGGATGAACATCTCACTCCAGGTGTAGACCGAAGGCCTAAGACCCCCACAGAGAGGATTTTTTTTAGTTTCACCCCATGTCCCTTAACCCTGATCTATGAGTTAATGGATACCTTTTGTGACGTGGTTACTGCCTGTGAGCCTCTTGTTTTATTCATGAATCTTCCCTCCACATCCCCCGGTTTGCCACACCGCGTTGGTGGACGATTGGCGTGTCCAGCAAACAATACAATAATATAACAGTATTAGCTTCTTTGTACTGGTCCGTTAAATCAAGGATACAATTTAAGGTACTTCTCACCTACAAGCCACTTGCTGGTCAGGCAACATCTTAAGGAGCTTATAATACCATATTGCCTTACTAGAAAGCTGTGCTCCATAGATGCTGGGATACTTGTTGTTCCTAGAGTTTTAAAAAGTAGGATGGGATCCAGTGCCTTCAGTTATCAAGCTCCTCTTTTGTTGAATCAGCTTCCATTTTCAGTCTGGGGGGCAGACACAGTCAGCTCATTTAAGATAACGCTGAGTTAGGCCTGGCTCAGGTTGGTTTGGTAGGGCTGGCTCAGGTAGGTTGGGTATGCATGGAGGATGTGCTGCCTTTTTACTCATACTAACCTTATTCAACGCCGGGGTGGTGAACACTTTCACTTCACTTCTGCTGCAGTTCTCAAGAGTAGGAGAGCTTTGCTGACGTCACGCACAGGGAAAGCAGAACCAGGACTGAGCAGGATACACGCACACCCCTGCTGCAGTAAAATAAGAGGTTTTCTAACTAAAGTATGGGATACACTTTTTACTAGCCTGTCATTAGCAAGGGCCTTCAGCATTTTACGTATTTACCCTAAAAATGAATGTTGGTCCACAGGAAAGTTAGAATCAACACAAATTCAAACCGGTTAAACATGGTAGAACTTTTGTGTGTGAACAAACCCTTGTAAGCTCTAGGCTCCTGATGGAATACTGTAACAGAGCCTAATTTTTCCTAAGTGGTTTAGTCACCAATCAGACTTTTGTTTGTTGCGTTGTCCAATTGGATGTAACCGCTCCTCATTATATTCCACTTGGTCGAGTACGACAAGGTTGAACCACTAATCAGACACCAGAGGACAGTCATGTAATTAAAAGCACCACAAAAAGCACAAATGATGCACTCAAATTCTGACCAAATGTCCGGAATTGAAATGAATATTGACATTTTTAAATGGGCTGCATGCATTTATTTAATGTAGTTAAAGATGTAACCCAGAATGTTACAATAGCGCGCGCTGTCACTCAACTGAATATTTTTGGTAAGAAAACCGTGTTCTTCTTCAACCCACCCCCGCAGGGGGAACTGGCCCTGAAACGCTGCAGGCGTTGTGACTCATGGATCTAATCAGGAGTTCCGCTTTGCCCAAAATCAAACATGTGACATCAACAAGAAAGGAAAACCTTTCCAATCCCCTCCAGCCACTAATGATTAGTGTGTCTGTCATTCAATTGAATGCAAGTGTTCGTACTTTTGACTGGTACTGTACATGCACAGCACACCGCTATAACAGAAGTTATGAAGCAGAGTGCCGGGTTTTAAACATGCATGTTGTCGTGCCATGGTTACGGTTTGTCCTGTCAATGTTTCTTGTGGCAACACACCAAATGAAATGCAGAGCAAAATAAAGCATCAACACAATGAGAAATGTATAGTACAAACATGTTTGGTATCCACTCAGTCGCTGACATGGTCACGTCTTCTTCACATCCATGTGTAACCCTGTTTCACCTCGACACAGTCCCAGTGAAACACAAGTTAAAGTGAGTTTCAATTTCTCTGGGACTCATCCTGCACAGGGCTTTTACTCAATGAATACAATCAAATGAGAAAGGGAGGAAGTGGGCATAGTTAGCTCTGCCCTCTAAGCCCACACACCTTTTAGCAGTCTAGTTAATACGTAACATTTGATTTAAATCCCTCTTTCAATTGTTCACTGCTCAACAGTAGAAAATAAAGACAGATTTACATTTCACTGGGACTTTTCACCAAACTGCCACCGTGTGGGCAGATATTCCACGTTGGTGGGCGTCTTTACACCTTAGTGACGGCTGCACAACAACCCTGTGACATCACAGTGGGGAGGAAGAGCAGACAGCAGGTTTGGGGTGACAGCGGAGACTTTAATGGGCTAAACGTCCGCGGTGCTGCAAACAGATCATCCCAACCCCCCCGTGTTAAAAAAAGACACCTATAAAAGAGCAAACCACAGGTATTAGACTTTGTTTCTACAAGCAACAGATGAAGACAACAGCTACGAGCTTCTCAGTCACACGTTTATAGGAAGCAGAGAGCCTTCCTGCTGAGGCTCAGTGACTCAGGTCCAGACAGAAGCCTTCCCTGACAAAAACAATTTCACCAATTTCACCATTCTCTAGTTTAATGTGAAAGAAGAGTTCAACAGAAAAACACTTTCTTACAATATTATCAAAAAACCTTTATAAATCCAAACATGAAAAAAGTTTTTCTGAATCTTTGTAGTTTCATATTACTCTAGAGACGTTATTCAACAGGAGGTTTCTCACTGTGACAGACGGCTTGGGAAAAAAGGGACTCACTTTAGTCAGTTGTTTGACTGGTAGTGTGGACTCTTCATTTCTCTCATTTCCAGCTATTCAATCCCCAAAACATTTTCAGACAGATGATTTAAATGCCCAAAATTCAAAAGGAAATATATCCAACAGTTAAAGTAAATTATGTACATCTCTTTTGTGGATTGTTTTTTTTGAAAATTGTAAAACATGAGAGAACTATAACCCGTGAGAGTAAAAGTTCAAAGTGGCAAAAAACTGAATTGAAATTATAAAAGAGGGAAATAGAACCCGCCTACATTTAGATGGATGGCTCAGTCAAAATATTACAGGGTTAGAAGTCGATGACATCCGACTGTTCTCCTTTGCTTCCACATTCATTTGAAATGACCAGGTGGTGTGCGTCTATGGGAGGTGGCTGTTGGCTAGTGTATTCTACATGTATCATATACCATTATCAGCCCATTGTCTGCTGTGCTCATCTGTTACCTTCTACTGAGATAACAAAAAAGAAACACGGAGAAAGACACAGAGGATATAAAACAGTTTCATTTTTACAAGAGTCCTTTTGAGCGTTTAACCAACCTCTCTCTTCTCCTGACACACACTGCCCTCCTCTGCTTTGTGTGTGCAGGTGTAGTCCGTATGTTAACTTGCAACCGAGCTCTCTGTGTGTGTGCGTGTGTGTGTGTGTGTCTACTTGTGTTCTTTAGTAGGAGCAAAGTAGAGCTCCATGGGTTTGTTCACCTTCCAGTACTTTTCGCTGACAAGCTCGAGGGAGAAGGAGCCGTTCAGAACCTGTGAACAGAGTTTAACAGTTGAAACTAAAATACTGTGTGTTCAGACAAAAGGGAAAAGTGCTAATTGGGGAGGTAGTCGACTGTAAAGCTGCGTGTGTGTGTGTGTGTGTGTGTGTGTGTGTGTGTGCGCTCACAGTGAACTGGTTCCCAGCAGTAGGTATGTAGATGGTGTACTGCTTCTCTGATGCCGCCTCCACGTTGACAGGACTGGCCTCTGCGTTTCTCCTCAGCTCCTCCAGAGCCAGTCGGACAGCCAGGTATTTGGACAGGTGATCCACTGTGGCGTTGCCGGACGTCTTGATGTAGCGGGGGACGAACTCCACGCTGCAGGCGCATCAAACACGTGTGAGTGAGTTGACGAGTACGATGGAACGGTTTCCCTAAAGTCAGCTGGTAAGAAAGCTTTTCTTTATTATGCATTTATTAAGAAGTCCGTATGAACCACCTAAATGTTTGACTACAACTTTATCAGTATTAGTCGTTTTAATGATTTATTTTAAATAGTTATAACAAGTATTAGGAGGTTACGTTAGACGCAGCGTGTAGGAGAAGTGCCATAGCTACAAAGATGTTGCTCCTTCACAACAATACACCAGTTCTATGAAAATGAGAAGACTACAAGAACAACGTCGTTACAACGTGCACCAGCTGTTGCTCTCATTACATACTACTACTGTGTAACCATAGTAACCTGTGAGTTACAGTGCATCACATTGAGGAACATTGTGAGCTGCATTCACATGCTCCGACGGACATTTCATTCATGCTGCACAGCAGTGGAACGTTTCAAATAGTCCTGGCAGTGGCAAATAGCTTTGGTTTTATATTTGATTTGATTACATAATGTTGCTGTGTAAAGGGAATACTTTGAATTTTGCGCGCGCTCGATGCAATTGATTGACTTTTCGTTCCCCGGCTCCGCTAATGTCCATGTCAATGTGTCCTTGGGCAAGACTCTTAACCCCAAAAAGCTCCTGTAGCTTTGACTACTGTGTGTGTGTGAATGCTAGTTACTGATGGGCAGGCGTGACTGTGTGTGGTAGCTCCTGTCATCAGTGTGTAACGGGTGAATGATGTCATCAAATGTCAAAAGCGCCGAGAGTGGTTAGATGTCACTGCAACGCAAGTAAGGGTAGAAAGAAGAGGACTATTTGAAACCAGCCTAAGCAGTAAGAACAGTGAGGCGACGCTCGGACGACGGGCGATACGTTTCTCTGCATTCGGAAGGAGCTCTTATTGCACAATTTGGAGTGTGATCTTTTAATTTGACGGTCATTACTGCGGTGCGGGATATGGAAAGAGCATTAATGGTCATTTTATTGCGATCCTTAAAAGAAACAATATTTATAACAACGATAAGAGGTCTGTGAGTATGACTATGAGTTCATGATTTAGTACGAGCTGTGTGCGTGCAACACTACCTGTTGTGACCGTCATCCTTGTCCATGAGGGTAGGGTGTGGCCTGAACACCAGCTCGATTTCGCTGGCACCACCTTCAATCACAGAGTCCCCGCCCCCGTTCTCTGCAGCGTTGTCCATGTCCAAACCGCTGTCATCACTCGTCTTGGTGCGCTTGATGCTTGGACCGGCCTCCTTGGAGAACAGCACAGTATTTTCACAATCAACCCCATCCTGGATTCTCGTATACTTATGATCACACGCATCCCTTCCATTCACACCATTATTGCTACAAAATTCTAAAGGCTGACACACACACACACCAATGTACCTGGTTGCTGTGGACCGAAGCGTTGCTACAGTGGGAGGAGTCTCCATTGTCCTCCGCTCCGCTCCCATTCTCCACCGTGTGTCTCTTGCCACGCTGCAGCCTGACAGAACAAAAAGCAGAGTGGCTGCATTGGAGGGACAGATTCTACGTTCGTGCCGTTAGTGTTTACATCATTGCTGAGCTCAGGGTTACCTGGTCATCGCCTGGATCTTCAGCCCCTCCTCTATGCTGTGGGACAGGGCTTGCTGGTTGTTGTGTTTGCTGATGCGAGCCAAGACTCTCTCTTGGTGGGCTTCGTACTCGTCACGGCTGGGATAGATCTTGCCTGAAAAGGGACAAATTAAGTCCAGGAATATATAGCGATCTACCTACACCCATACTGCCCCACACTTGAATTGCTCGGGCCCTAATAATCTTCAATGTGTTTGCTGCTAGCGGTTTGACAGAACCTCCTTGATTACTTACTAATCAGCGCATCAAAGTTCGGGTCTGGACGCAGCGATCTCTTGGATACCAACTTCTTACGACAGGTAGGACACTCTTTATTACTGGAAAGACAGACGGACATTTCAGAACATACAACAGTGTGGACCACTATTATTAAAACACAAACAAATGCATTACAATTTCTGTTTAAGTATGTTTAAAGAAGCATTGTTTCAGATTTAGCATTGATTAATGTCTCTACCAGGAAGACTAAGCATTGGTGTGGTCTTCCAACCAAGTTGACTTTCCTCCACCACCACCAACAAGAGGTATTAGCCGGTATATACTGTCATCTACCAACAGCTGCCTACTCCTGACTGACGCGTCATGGGAACTATTTTGGACCAATCCATGAAACAACAATGCTTTAACATACCCAGATCTTAAAGCTGTGATGATACAGTCGGCGCAGAAGCGGTGCAGACACTCTTTGGTTGTCATTGTGTTCTTCAACATGTCCAGACAGATAGGACACATGAGTTCGCTGTGCAAAGACCGGGGCGACACTGCTATTTCCAGTCCATCTGTTATCGCCTCCTGTGCCAGTAGGAAACAGATCAAAATGAAGGTTAGTACACACAAAGAGACATCTATATGACCGTTGATGATTTAGTAAAAGGTCCTGAAAACCCAACAGGCGTAATGGAAGAGCCATCTATTTTCAGGAGCTGTATTACAGCGAACATCAATGACGCGATAGGAAGCGATTTGGGTTATGAATCTTTCTGTAATTCACGGTTTGATTATCATTCAAAGTGGAATTAGTATGTAGTATATATATAGTTTAAAGAACTACAGCAGCCCACTGTACACCTATGAAGGCTTTAACAACTGTAAAGTGTGATTAATATTAGTTTTGGTATTTAAAAACAATGAACAGATTGAAGAAAGAGGTGACATTTATTCACACTACACTTAAAACATTTTGCTATCTGTCAATTCTAACTGATTTCAACAATAATAAGATATACAATAAATAAAAAGGTTGCCTGTTAAAAATAAATAAAACAATCTCATTCAATTACTTAGAAATTGGGCAATTTCAGAAATAAATTGCACACACAAATAAGGGAAACTTATTAAATGTCATATGTCTACAGCATTGTTCTTTTGATAAGGGACTAGTTTGACTGGGTTCCAAACTGGGAATATTCAAAGTTAAAAACTTCCCGTGGGAATTATTGGGAATAACTGGAAATATTGGTGCACTTTACCTGTATTTACCTTTTTATAAGCAGACATGCGTGCAAACATTTCGAATACTAATGTTAAAAAAGACAAATGGTGAGTAGAACTTTATTCTTTCATTGAATAAAAAAACATTCCACTCCCAAATGTATAGTGAATTAAGCTTCTCAAGTGTTTTCCCCTGAATCCTTTCAGGTCTACGTCAACGTCGGGTTGAGAGAAAATAAATAGGATGTAGCGGTCTGCAATAGATAGCTACATGCTTTGCAAAGAAACACAGCATGTGCAGCTTTCCATACGTCTTTAACATGTCGTTTTGAATCGTGTTATTATTGCCCAGGCTTTCATTTGGAGTAATGACTTTTATTTATGATGTTGCCCAACTCAAGCTTTTGGTGGACCCAAACCGCCACAAATAATTGAGGTGATGGTGTACTTTTGTGTGGACATACAACCGTCCTAAACTTGGTATTAAAATAGACATAATAGTCGACATGCGCGGTGAATTCCCAAGCTCAACTTTCCATGGGAACCGTCCTGAAAGTGTGAGGCCCTTTGCTCTCCTACGTGTGACTGAAGTGAAATACTATGAATTGTTACCTGTGGAGTTCTCTGGAGCTCGTACAGACTCAGCTCCCAGGTCTTACTGAGGGGCTGAACCCCGTTGGTCTGAATGGTCTGAGTCATCACTGCAACGCTGCAACACAAAACAAACTCTAAACAAACTGAAGATCCAGGAATCGATACCTTTAGCGTTGAGACGGACATGTTGCCGGATGGTTGCAGACGACCAACAGTGAAGGATGGACAACAACATTTGCCGCAGGCTTTGTCTGCTGGTGGGAGTGTGCTCACCTGTGTGTGTGTGCGCCCATAGGACGGCACTCTACCATTGGCAGAAAGAAGAATTGTAAATGTTATAATGCCTATTCACCCCTTTGTCGCTTTTATACATGAAATCATGGTCATTAATTTGTCTCTAAAAAAACTTTAATATATAACCTATAATATTTTTTTTTTTAAATAACCGATTGCATGAATATTGACCCCGTCAGGTCGGTATTTAGTGAAGCCCCTTCGACTGCACTCACAGCACTGAGTCCATCAGGTCTTCCATGTAATAATGAATTAATTGACATGAGTTCAAATCAGTTCACAATTCCTATTGCAATTCTTGTAGCCACATTATATTTAATATGATTTTATAGGCATTGTAGATACTCCGTCCACTGGTGTAGTTTATGATCCCTGGTGGATGACCTCAACCGTGTTCATGGACAACTCCATTTTTACTTTACACCATATACACAAAAACCCACTTCTGTCCATTAACATCACAACGCAAAAACGTTACTTTAATTAGTGCTGAGTGAAAAATGATGTTCCGCTTAGTAACAACAATTTTATGGCAGGAGCTTTTAACGCTCAACATTAGAATATGCTAACTAAAGGTTAACTAGAGTAACTAAAGGTTTCAGAGGACATTTTCTTGCAGTCTCCGGTGTTTTAGAGGGGTGACGCTCCTTTCTGGCTGCTTCCTGTTCAATTTGAAGGCTAATTTCACCATGGATTATAATATACTCTTGTAGGTGCCGATCCTCTACAAGGATTCTTGTATTTGTTTCTAAAAGTAAAGAAATACCCAAGACACAGAATCTCTTACGTGACATAAAATTATATATTTTTCATATTAAAAACATAATTACTTCTATTAAGGGCATTTAATTACAATGTGTTGAAAATGTAAGATTAAAAAAAGGATTCAACCATTTAATACAGTTTTAAACAACAACTCAACAAGTGAATTCTTTGCATTTAAACATTCCTTAGGCTCGACTTACAGATCTTAGAAATCACTTCCCTTCCATTGGCAATTCAAACAATTGCTTTAGCCTCATTGTCAATACCAACTGAGACCAATGGATGGAGATTATACACACACACACACACACACACACACACACGTGTATATATATATATATATATATATATATATATGCGAGGCACAAGGTGTTGGGCCCGATGGGCATTGTGTTACATGCATTACTACGTTATAGCCACTTGCTGTACTACATAATAACTACATAATAACCTTTTGGAAGAAGGAAAAGGTGACCAAGAAACCTGAATGTCAAAAGTCTAAATGTACCATCAGATTGATGTAACTAGTCTAACTTGAACGTAGGGTGGTCCATATAAAATACGGTTATGAAGAAAATCGGATGTAGTTTTCCACATGTGCTCAAGAATATATTGAAATGCGAGCCATCATGAGGTCTCATCACGTTAACTTTACCACAATAAGTAAAGCAGCGTTACCTTAAACAACCAAATCTGTTACAAACTACATGCATTTTCTCTGTGATTGTTAGCAGAAACGCTAGGAGTGACTTTAGCTGGTTAACACGAGACCACGGCTAGCTACACCATTGATTCAATTCATCTTATTGATAATAGCTGATCGATTGCAGTTAATAGACTCCACGCAAATATCTAATGTAACATCCATGGGCCACGGCTAATGCTAACTAGCTACAATTGAAGCTAGCTATTCTTCGTAACGATGACATTAAAGGCACTCGAGCTAAATATATAGCACGCATGTGTCGGACTGAAGCAATCACTGCACATGTGTGAACAAATATCCATTTTGCGCATTTAAAATTTGATACAAATTACATACAAAAAGCATATAGTTGAAATATTGCGAGGGAATTGTGGATGTAAATTGTCGCTGAGACAGAGAGAGAAAACAACAACAGAGAAACCCGACGCACCATTCCTCCTGAGGACAGCCGTGTGCTTGTTTTACTCTATTTGCCACATTTAAAACAGACACGAACGGGTACATTAACGGGCATTGATAGCGATAAGCAGACAGGAAAGAAATATAATGTAAGCTTTGTCATTGTTTCGGTACTCACATTTTCAGTTGAGGGTACGAGTCGATCCAGCCAGCTCGTTTCGACGATGGCAATATGGCGGATGTATCAGACGCAGTGCAGTCTGGGAAATGGAGGCGCTATGCCAACTGGACCTGGGATCCCTGCGCACAGAGGGAATAATGCGCTCCTGACCAGGTGAAAACAACGAGCAACCAGCTCAATACACGTCCAATCTCCAACCGCCTTGCATCGGCCTTGTAACTAAATTATCAATGCAAATACCTTTTTGAAATTATATTAGCCAATCGTGGAGATTAGCTCGTAGAGAAGAGTCTAGTTTCTCCTCTGGCCCACTCTCTTTTATATGACTTATTATTCGTTCATTCAGAAGGCATCTCTAACTATCTAACACGACGCCATCGTTCCCACTAGAGGACGCTGGAGCCCTGGTTTAGTCATTGAGCATTTAGTGTGATATAACCCTCAGTAAATTAGTTAGTTTGAACATTTGCAGGTCAAGCGATGTCTAAAATAGGACGTGGGGAAGCTTTGAAGAAAATTACCTCTTTTTGATTCCATTTTATTGAGGGATTTACCAGCAATATCATCCCATAAGTTACAAAACAGAACTGTAAAAGAAACCAATAAGCACGAACTGAAAAGTACGGTTGTAGCGTGCGCGCGTGCGTGAGCGCGAGCAGAACTCGAGGGCGTAGCTAGTCGAGGAGGGGTGGAGGAAGGCGGGCGGAGTGGGCGAGGGGGGCTACGGGAGGAGGTGGAGTGGCTCCAGGACATGAATGAGCCATGTTCGGTGCAGGAGGCTTTGCTCTCCCGGTGTTTCTGCTGCTGCTCGCCCCGGTCCTCCCGCGAACCGACGACCGGCCCGCTGAGGTAAATAGCTCGAGGAGAAGCCCCTCGTGCACGGGGGGGGGATCGAGCGGGGGTCTCGAGTCTACTTTGTGTAACTTACGTGAGGAAGGGCCAACTGGTAACAAATGCGAGGGACAAGCTTGTGTGGACAAGGAGTCGTTGCGTCCGCCGCAGAGACGTGTTTCCGCGGGGGACAGGAGCGCGATCTGGACCTGCAGCTGCAGAACCAGCGGTGCCTCGTCGTGATTAAAGACTGCCGCTTCGTTCAGCGTGACCTCTTGGTCCATCGGGTGTGAAAGAAGCATTGCGTGTTATGATGATTGTTGCAAATATGAAATGTGGTTCGTTTAAGATCTTAAACTGGTAATTAGTAAGTTGTCTTCTTACTTCTACTAATTTCACATCGTGTGGTCTGAGGAGACTTGATCCCTCCAGGGCTTCTTTCCTTGCATCCTCATCTGTGTGTAGGAGAACACACATCAGACACAACAGTACTCTTTGAGGCACACTCATGTGAAATGGTGATTAATAAACTAGTAAATAGTTTCAACTGCAGCAATCTTTGTTGTATGAGAAATCAATTGGATCTTTTCTTGTGGCCCAGTCCGGAGTGGGAATGAAGTAGGTGTAAGGAAAGGACAGTGGGAGGTTGCAGGATAGACAACACCTCTGCCTCCACGTCCCAGGACGGACGGAGCATGCTGACCGACTAACACACCGACCCGTCAGCCCGACCAAGAGGCTCGGCTCAGAGAAGAAGACTTTAAACAGAGGTGTTACTAAAGCGTCCGCAGTTCTTCTACTAAACCATTAACACCGCTGGGTTTCTACCAATGTGAATGGAATGAACGGTGATGCCGGGGGGGGGGATGACATATTTCTATTTAGAAAGGTCCAATGTTTGTCAGTGCGAGACTAATCAATGAATACTTCAGTGTCAGATATTATCCTAACCTGCAAAGTCCTTTGTTTGTTGTCCCAACTTATCCATCTGGACCCCCTTTCTACAATGACTATTACGATATTTGTGATTAGCTTTGTCCGAAACAAAAGTACCACAGTGGTTTGTTGAGTAGGTGGCCATACTGTTCTATTTAACCCCCAGAGCACAGATGTTGTCATCGGCTGAGAGAGATGCATTCACAACGTGCGGGCTAATGAAACAGCAGACACAACTTTTAGCTGGTTCGGTTACTTAGCCAGTGAATTTAAGGGTCAGTGGAACTAAACACTAATTTCTTATCACATATTGGAGATATCCATTTATTTGAACAGATATAGATATCAGCACATCCCCGTTGGCCCACAGAGTACAGATGATCCATGTTCATGTGTACCTGTGTGTGTCTGCCAGGACAGAAGTGAAGGGAGGTTGGAGCAGCGAGCAACAAGGTGCAGGAACCCCACTCACGCGCTGGTGCACACTTTAATCCGTGTAAATGTGACGTGTGTCTGACTAACACGCGTGAGACTCTTCGTCTGTGCAGAAAGAGCCGTGTGAACTTTACATCAGGGGACAGACTCCCGGGTCACACCTCCACCAGGTGGAAGATGAACGCCTCATCTCACCGTGTGCATGTTCTTCCAGGAGGTGTTTCAGTGGTGGGGAGAGTGGTCCAGTTGGTCCTCTTGTTCCAGGAGTTGTGGAGGAGGAGTGAGGAGTCAGGAGAGACACTGTCTGATACAGAGGTATGTATTGCATGTAAATATAGCAAAACTCATTTAAAGCCTGTGGCAGCTCCACCGGGGCCCATGTTCCAATTTTTCTTTGTTGATGTCTTTTGTTTCTTACGGTTGCTGTGAAAAAGGGTTGTTCAGTTCATTGTGCAACACAACAACCAGACGCATTGCTTGGACTTACACGCTTGCTACACATCTCTTTATCAGATAAACACACAGCTACAACCTTTTGAATTGATAACAAAGAAAATGTTTTCAGCGAACAATGTTGTTTGACTTTACTATTGTCTTGCTGCTATGCGCACTTTCCCCAAGATGTGGACGGCAATTTCATTGTTGTTACAGTGTAGACGGCTCAGCACTCAAATGAAAACGCTATCACTGACTCTCTGGGGAAGTTTGTATTGATTTACGTTTTTTGTATTCGGCATGTTTTGATGAGAGCTTTGTAATGCGCTAGGATATATATTTTATTTCACAAATGACATATATTTTGTATAGCCCAAAATCGCAAATTACAACTACGCCTCAAAGGGCTTTACAGTCTGTACACATAGGAAACCCCCACATCGGCACAGAATGATCTCCCCAAAAAATGAAAAACCCTTCCATGAGGGAAAAAAGGGAAGAAACCTTTATGTCATTTCAGTCCCACCAAAAACATTAAAAATCATTGTTTTGTTTAAAGACGTCTACAAATCATAAACATAAAAGAGCTTTTTTTCTGTAATAATTCCCCCAAAAAATCAACAAATTGGCGAACAGTTGAGTGTGATGCTAAATGTCAGGGTTAGAAATGGTCCCACCTTCCCTTCTTTACTCTCCAGCCCATCTCCTCCAAACACTTTCCACTCTCAGACCTTTCACTATCACAACTTAGTGATAAATAATAAATAATAACTGATATTATAAGCAGAAGGCTTCACGTTGAGACGCATATCTGCCTTTGGCTGTGACATCATCACAACATATATTGGACCGAAGTCAGCTGTCGCTTTAATGGAACTGTCTTTGTATATTGTCATGTAAAAGTTCCATTTAAGATTGTTGTATTAATAAATAATACTAGAAGGATTGACCTCTAATGGTCTTTGAAGTGGGTTTAAATGACTTTGTTATTTTGTAAAAATGTTGGTAGAAATGGCGCCCTATGAACCCGGCACTAAGCAATCATGACAACTCATTAGTTAATTTGTTTGCTGAGGAAATGAAATGTCATTGCAGTGTCATAATGCAATTGTATCACCTTTATGTAAAGGTGCTAATCAGCATCCACCCATTGGGGAAGAGACGTGGAAGTTAGGTAGCGTTGATAGAATGCGTGTGTTTGCAGCCATCCTGTTACCTTTGACCTCCCCCCGTCAGACTTGCGGAAATGTCTGTCAACTGAGATTAACGCCACTGCGCCCTCACTGTTTGCCCTCTCCCCTCTCCTCCCCCCTCCTCCCCCTTTTCCTGTCTTTGTTTTTCTACTTTCCATTTTCTCCACAATTTCTCTGCCCCCTTTTTTTCCGCTTTTTTCACCTCCTTTTCTCCTTCCACCTCCCGCATCCATTCACCTCGTCCCCTTTCTGTCTCACCTGCCCCCCCCTTGTTGTCCCTATGTCACCTTCTATCAATGACATGTGACACGGTCCCACAGTGACCTCTGGCTCACCTCCTCCTGGGCTCTCTAGCACTTCACCGTGCAGCTTTATTTGGTAATGGAAGACAGATGCATGGACTGTTGGTCCTTCTCCACACATGCAAGCACACTAACACACAGTTGGGATCATGTTAACCGTAAACTACATTGTTAGACAGGTTTTGACTTGGTACGTCTGTTGCAAACACGTTACTTGTTCCAACATTTCTTTTTTATTTTAAGTTCTAAGCCGCTTAAGTTGTGTTTCCATTAGCTGATTCAAAGTGAATGAAAAATTCTTTCTATTTTACCGTCAAAAACAAATTCATATTGTTATTGTTTCTCAGAGCCACCTATAGTTGAACAAACGTTACGGTTCCACTAAACACTTGAATGTGTTAACCGTACGTAGTCACGCAAACACAATAGAACAATAGAATGTGTATTTAAACTGTTTTAGCAATCAGCAGGCCAGTGGTACCTCGGCCACGTTCTCATGTCTGTTACTTTTCAATCATCCATTTGTTTAGAAAAGTACTCCAGAGTTACATGTGTTACATTTATATAGCTGTAATTTTCATGTTCCGGTAGGATGAACCCGAGAAGCTGAGAAAGAGGTTTTTAACAGGAAGTGGTTAGTAGGAAAAGGCAGTCAGATGGGATGGTGACGGGTGGAGCGCAGGAGGTGAATACAGGTGAGGAGGTGAAGCGGCATGAGTGGCAGTGTCGTAGGATCTGAGCACAGGGACGATATATTACTTTCACAAATAAACAGCCCAAGAAAAGACTGTTCAGTCAATGTGATTTTGACCACTGAGCTGAAACAAGCTGGCGATGAGTTGCATGAAAGCCGCAGTATTTGAAGTGTTTGCGGTTGATGCCGTGATTGTAGGCAGGTTGTGGAGATGAGCCCAGGTGTCGGGGGAGGAGACCCATGGAAGACAAGGAAACACAAGATAAGGACTCGAGTCACAGCAGAGCGTTGACATTTTATCAGAGGCCACTTACAGTAGTAGCAAGCTGGTGAGCAGCGCCACAGTGTAATGGACAGAGCGGGATGTATGCGTTGGCCGTGTCTTGAATGAGCCTAAGCCACTTGCTACATCATAGGTAAGGATTAAGGATTCAAACAGCCACAAGGACCCAGTGCACAGTGCATTAGAGAGGGGTAATGTAGGAGAACCAAGGTATCAACACCATTCAGGCATCGGATGGCACGTCCAAGGAGCAACGAAGCAAAGAGAGACCAACCGACAAAAAAATGACAAAGACACAGGTGGGCTGACATGGACGCCGATTGTTGAAAGAAAAGACTTAAACACTACAAGGCGGGCGAATACAACACAGGTGATACACAGAAAAAGGAAAAACTTTTTCATAAAAAAAGAAAAGAAAAACCACACCATGTCTGGAGGCCGGTGAATAAGACCGAACCCCTCGGATATTTGGCTGCCACAAGCAGATTAGGACCCAGCGGGGGGGAGGGGGGCTACTGGACTCCGGCAGCTGGAAGTCAGCCAAGGCATCAACAGAGGTGTCTGAGTGGCTCAATCCCACGGGAACAAGGCCACGGAGACACGGTGGTGCCGCAGGGGGCTGCCGGTAGGACCACAGACTACGGAGGTTCCCAGCAGGAAGAGGAGGTTGCTGAGACCCATCCGGAACAGGCTTGGTTTTGACTGGGACCCCCGACACAGGAACTGTGCCACTTGATGGATTGACGTGTCCTTGACCCTTGACCCCCCCAACAACTTGTGTGCTGTGAAAGGATCTGGAGAAATGAAATGTGTTCAGTTCTTGACCCAAAAGTACATATATGAAGTAGTATCATGCGCCGTCGTTGACTTCTCTTGCTACAGCACATTTAAGAGACAAAAGACACGAGCCTCCCTCCGAGGCGATGGTGGTGTGGATGTGGAGCTGTAGGCAGACTTGGCAACATTTATTTGATGTATGTTGTGTGTTGTCTATGTAATACAGTATATTAGACCTATTTAAGTATTGTCTGTCCTCTCTGTCTCAGGCTGTCCACGACCCAGAACGTAAACAGTTCATTTTGTGCTGGCTCTCCCAAACAGTACCAGCTCTGTCCAAACCAGGTATGATGCTACGTTGATATGAGTGGTAAGATGAGTTGGAATACAGAGGTAGATGGATGAAGTCTCTAACGTGTGGCTTTATATTTTTCTGTCTGTCAGATCATCACCACAATAGGTTTTGAAATTGGTCCAGAATAGACCAGTCCAATGGAATCGCATTGCTAGCTCACAGCTTCTTTACTTCTAAATGGAATCTGCCAACGCCAAGCAGATATACAGTATCAGGAAATCATTTGAATGTGGACGTTTACAAATCTTACATGGTTCACTGTAACTTAATGTCCACTAACAGGGCTGTTCTTTGCCTATGACAGGCTGGAATTCCTATAATAAGGGACTGACTACATCATGGGAAGGCTCCTTTCGAGACAACCTTGTTCTTTACCTTTGGCCTGATGCGGTCTGTAGTTGATCGGGTCCCCAAGGAGAAGTCTAACAGTATTAGGTGTGCGAAGGGTACCAGCGTCCACAGGGACAGCACAAGCCTCCCCAGATTCACATCATCCACGGCATCTAAACATCCAAGATTACATTCACTGTAAACTGGAGATATCTTTTTTTCCCGTTTTTTTAGGCCTGTCCCAGTCCCACTGTGAGCTTCAAACAGCACCAGTGTTCCCAGTTCAACTCTAAAGCCTTTGGAAGACGCTACTACCAGTGGATACCTCTTTACCCTGGTATGATATCAATCTGTGGTCTTTCTTCCAGTCCTTTGCATTCTTCCATCTGTCCGTCTGTCAGGTAACAGTCACATTGAACACACATTGACATGGTAAACTCAATACATTAAGATCCACAGCGCGTTGAGTAAATTAATCTCAATTGTCGTCAACTTCGGGTTAGCATGACTGCATACATTTAAGTGTTACCAAATTTAGAAAATGTGAAAGATTGTGAAAGACCTTCAGTTAAAGCTGCACAAGGCAACGTTACATTTGGCCAATCCCAAATGAAAACCACATGCAGCTCAATCCGTTTTGTAGACTTCATTGTACATAAATCCTTCGTTATGATGTGGTAAATATCTTTTGAAATATGTAATTCCCTGTATAGCTGATTACATCAGCATCTCCAATAAGCCATGTGACCTGCAGTGCACAACCATCAGTGGTGAGAGACAGCTGCTAGTTCCCGCCCACGATGGTACGTTCTGCCACGATGCCAAATACCTTGGTGTCTGTATAGAGGGAATATGTCAGGTAAACCAACAATTATATGATTTTATTTTTCTGTAAGGAATCATTTGTAATTTTAGATTTTAGAGTGCTCCTCTAAACGTCCTGCTCTCCTCCAGCCTGTAGGTTGTGACGGCCAGCTGTATGGCAGTAAGGCAGTAGACAGATGTGGAGTGTGTGGAGGCAATGGGACGTCTTGCCAGCGCGTCTCCGGATCATACAGGAAGGCACTCACACAGTTAGGTAACACACACACAAGTAGACAGATGTGCATAGAAATATACGTACATTACGTAGCAGAACCATTATCATTCATGTTTGATGTGTTTGGTGGCACAACAACACTAAATCCAAAATCAAGTTTTATGACCCTCTCCAAATTTTACTATAATCATTAACTACCGAATATCTATTAAGGTTATAAGAATAATTTGCACATAATGCATAAAGAAATGTACTTTCTCTGGCTGATAACCGCCAGGGGGTGATTGGAGATGTTCTTTAAGAATCACTCAGTTGAGATAGTGTTCATTCTGTTAGGGATTTTCACATCTAGGCTCAGTCCTTTGTCCATATTTAGTCTACTAAAACTTGTTGAGTACATTTGTTTTATCTTTTGTTTTCCATCTTGTTGTAAGTATGTTTTATTGCTTTTCACAGTTGTTATCCCAGCAGCTGGTCACTGTTGCTATGGGGCGGGATCCACATTAGACTTTGTCGAGAGGTCCTTGTAAGGAGTCATAGTAGTCTAGAAAAGGTCTCTATACTTTACTAAAGGTTTGGGAGGACACTGATTGTATATTTCACTTTTTCAAGTGTCAACAAAAAGATGACCTCTTTGACCCAGTGGAAGAACGATGGTGGAGGGGGGACGGGGGGGGGGGGGGGGGCTGTTTCTTCCCTCTCAAAAAGAACCAACGTCGAGCAAGGGCCACATTTTGCTTATTTGGGAAACTGGCACATAATTTCTCTGGTATTGAGCCCAAAGCTGCACAAATTGGGTCTGGGTCAAATTATAAAAATACTTATTCAAAAGGCGGAGAGTTTCGGGCGTAGCCAGAACATGTGTATCAAGTCTGCTGGCTGGCCTTTACATTGAGGACATTTTAATGTTGTTTTGTCATATACAATATGAACATATTAAATATACAAAAGAATAGAGAATTATATGAAATTAAAATAAAGTGCATAGGCAAACAGATACGCCACACAAGTGCACTGGAAGTGTATATTAAAGTGAAAGAGATGACAGAGTCAGTCAGTAGGGGACCCCTGCTCTGTTAATGAGGCCGACTGCCAACGGGAAGAAACTGTTCGTGTGGCATGAGGTCTTGGTCCTGATGGACCCCAGCCTCCTGCCAGATGGAAGGGGCACAAACAGGTTTTGTCCGGGGTGAGCGGGAACGGCCACGACTTTTTTAGCTCGCTTCAGAGACCTGGAAGCGAAAAAGTCCTGCAGGGACGTCAGATTGCAGCCGATCACCCTCTCTGCAGAGCGGATGACACGCTGCAGCCTGCCCTTGTCCTTGGCTGTGGCTGCAGCGTACCAGACTTTGTTAACTTAGTTATGTGGACAGTTAGTCACATTCATTACCTTTGTTCTACTCTGGTACTTCTGCATTCAGTTTCTTATGTTTATTTGTCAACTCTATTACAAAACACCTCCTGGCCTGATTTCCTTGAAACGTGGTGGTAGGGTGTATCATCCATGAAACGTGGTGGTAGGGTGTATCATCCATGAAACGTGGTGGTAGGGTGTAGCATCCATGAAACGTGGTGGTAGGGTGTAGCATCCATGAAACGTGGTGGTAGGGTGTAGCATCCATGATACTTACAATGCCTGTAAGTAAAGAAGGTGTTTTTGTCCTCAGGCTACGTGTTCATCACCAACATCCCAGCTGGAGCCTCTGACATTCAGATCATAGAAAGACATAAGACAGAGAACATCCTGGGTGAGAACCTACAACTTCTTTTAGGTCCATCAAATATAATAGCAACAGATGTAAAGCTAAAAAAGTGTTACAGCCAGTAGAATGTCTAGAATGTTTCAGTTATATATGTACATGTTATTTTTTCTAGAGAGCCATAGGAGATAAGCCAGGCTAAACATGGTCTAGACCTATTTTATTAACTGCGTAGAGATCCTTTGGATCTTTTTTGTCTAACTCTGAGTGGTCCATCCAACAACAACCAGTAGCCATATTAGTACCACTATTTTGAAGAGGACTAACCTCCAGGGGTTTTGGAGGGGTTTCAACCAGTTATGAATATTGCTGTCTTAGTCCCTCCCCCTGACGTGTCCTCTCCCATGTAGCCCTGTCTGATGAAGCCGGCCATTTCTTCTTCAACGGGAACACGGTGTTTGAAAATCCTCAAAACTTCCACGTGGCAGGAACGGTGATTAAATACCGGCGTCCTAGTAATATATTCTCTGATGGGCTGGAGTACATCACTGCTCAGGGGCCGACGCTGCAGGGCCTCAATGCCATGGTAGTAAACCCACACGGGACAATTTCATGTGTGTCTCCTTGTACTAAAATAAAGGAATGAGTTCAGTTCCTGTATGAAGTAGTTAACCTGTGATTCTCTCTTTTGGACATGAAGTACTACAACCTGAATGGGAAGCTCCCCCACATCACCTACGAATATACGATCCCTCGCACATCTCATGACATCACTGCTGCTGAAGACGTCGCAGGCCCCTCCCAGCCCCGGCTTAACCTCACATATAACGAGGTAAATGAGGGTGTCGGAGGGGATCATCTGAGGGCGACCAATGGCAGTGTGACATCTGTCCATCACTACAACAGCCAGCTTGGAGCTGGTGACCAATCAGATGTCCAGCTGCAGGACAAAAAGGAGGAGGAAGTCATTTGGGCGATCAGGACCCCCAGCCCCCCTCCACCGGCTGGGGTGTTGGTCTACAGACCGCCAGATGTCACCACTCATGTATTCGGCCTTAATGATGTTGAGCGAGGACCTCCAGTACCTGCTGGCTACCGTGAGTCACACATGCATCTGTCTTCCGGCTCTACTAGTGTCCCTTGTAATGTTTCCTTGGGCAGGACACGTACCCTCAAATAGCCCCCGTAGCTGTGGCTACGCTGGGTGTTAGTTAGTGTATAAATGGGCGAATGATGATATTGAGAAGCTGTCAATTTAAAGTGTTGCCGCGATGGTTCTTGTATTAGTCAGCTTTGAGTGAATGCTCTAACAAATTTGAATCCATGATTGATTGATTGAACTTCCTTGACTGATCAACACAACATGGGCACAGCTGAGCTGGTGGTTAGCAGCTAGCAATGCTAAAATGCAAAAAAAAACAACAGAAAAAACAGTGCAAACAATAGCAATGGTGCTGACCGAGCGGTGTAAACTTGGTGGAGGATAGGTGGCTACTCTGTCACGCCGACGGTGTCAACGGAGAGAACTACATTCTTGTAATTACACATTACAGCTGGCACAGGAGAGACGAGATTATCTGCTTGGTCCAATGACTGGAGCGCCGATGCAGCTCGCCTTTTGTTGACTTCAGAGAGTTGTAAAATAAGCTCCCTCCCATGCTTAAAAAAAAAATTAGCTAGTGTGAGATACGGCAGATTCTCCACACAGAGAGATTGGTGGGACATAAGAAAAGCCCGACTCTCTGCTGCCTTATCACGGTTTCTTGACTCCAGGCCTGTTGGACCCGTATCCCCCATTTCTGGTGCCAAACTGAGCCAGAACCCACTTCCAGGAATATCGTGTACTCATCTGAAACAAAAATATCTACATACCACTTTATATATACAACAAAGTCTTCACACCGTTCAAAACGTTCAAATCTTAGCTACAAAATGCAGGAACCCGTTTGAAGAAAACACCCTGGAGAGCAAGGCGAGACAAGACGCTGATGCGAGTGTCACATCAACACAAAAAACGCTTCAGAGGTTTCAAGAGAAGGAGCAATAAAAGTTCCATCTAAACATACAGATATATTCTTAAATAGATTGCAGTAATAGTGCATGTCCAAAACATCAGGATGTTACCCCCCTACAGTTATTTGTTTGTGCCCATTCACAGGCAGTCCCAGTGTTCATTCTGCAGGAGGCGCCCCCTATCTGCTGCTGGAGGACTTGCATTACAACGACACACACTCTGTGGACGGCCCGCCCACTGATCCCCATTCACCAGCAGAGAGCCACTCGCTAACGTCGGACACAGACCCACAGTTGGAAAAGCTCACGGTTACGGACACGCACACTGCCATCGTGTTACAGCTGCAACAGGTGCCTGCTGTCCAGGCAGCCAACACAGAGAGGTATGGGGCAACAGCTGTGGCACACATTCAATGCATGAAGGGCACTGTCATGCTATTGGATGTCCTTCTCTACACACTCATGTCACCTTCTGGTCTCCAGATAACATCATAAAGATTACCTTACCGGGTGTTTCTTAAATAAACTGAAAACCAATCAGGATAAAAACCACTGTGCCGACCTGTCTGTCTGCAGTAATGACTTTGACGTGGGTCTGGACCCAGATATTAGTCTGGCTGACATGTACCGCTGGAAGGTTTCTGCTTATGCTCCCTGCAGCTCCACCTGTACAACAGGTAAACACGCACCACATGCACACACAAGTACACCAATATGTAGTTAGTTGTTCTTGGCTATAGAAAGTAAGTGTGGCTGGTACTGAAAGGGTGACATTGCATACCGCAGTTTAAACATTGTTCTATATCAGAGTATAGGTAACCACGGCAACACGTCACACTGCATTGTTATTTAACTCTCTTTGGATAAACTGATAACTTGTTAATTTACGGATTGAAGTGAAATATTGTCAATAATCAGTATAACTGGTTATCCAATTAACCCCTAAAAATATGATGCATTATTATTGATTACTATCCAGCATTATTATCAAGAATTAAAATCCCCACCTTGAACAGATGCTAAGTATATTCAAGTACATATTCAAAAATATTAAAAGAGGTGCTGCTGATTGAGAATAATCATTAAGAGTGAATTTGAACAAGAAATTAGATAAAATGTTTAGAAATAAAGACGTATAACAGATGTATAATTCCATATGTAAACAACAACAGCAAGCAACATCGAAGTCGGCTGAAATGTTTGGGGTCATGACCTTGCACAAGAGAAAGTGGAGAAAGTTACTGTTGTGACCGGTCAAGAGCTTTTACAGTGCTCTGTGTGTGTGTGTGTGTGTGTGTGTGTGTGTGTGTGTGTGTGTGTGTGTGTGTGTGTGTGGGTTGACAGGTATCACCACGAGCTACGCCCTTTGTGTCCGATACGATGGTACTGAAGTGGACGACAGTTACTGTGACTCTCTGACCAGACCTGAGCCCACACATGAGTTCTGCACAGGGAAGGAATGTCCTCCAAGGTACCGCTGCCCTTCGCTCTCTCACTCACTCATTCACTTGCTCGCTCTCTCACTCACTCATTCACTTGCTCGCTCTCTCACTCGCTTGCTCACACATTCACTTGGCCACTGGCTCAGTCAGTTACTTGCTAACTCACACACTCCCTCACTCAATTACTCATTCACACCCTCACTCACTCACTTGCTTCCTCAATCTCTGGATCACTCTTTCACACACTCACTAATTCACTCACTTGTTCTCTCACCCTCTGGCTCACACACTAATTCACTTACTATAACTCATTCACTCACTCACACCGTCACTCACACTGACTGACTCATTTGCTCCATCAGTCACTGGCTCACTCTTTCACACACTCACCAACTCACTCACTTGCTCCCTCACTCACTCGCTCACTAGCTCACTCACTCCCTGGTGGATGATGATGACGACGTGATGCCATGATAATGGGACTGCAGTGGTCTTCGCACCGACTGTAGCTGACGTTGCGTGACGGTGTTGCTCCGCCCACTCAGGTGGGAGACCAGTGGGTGGAGTGAGTGCTCTCGAACCTGCGCTGAGGGTGTTCAGTATCGTACGGTGCGCTGCTGGAAAATGCTGTCGCCCGGCCTGGACTCATCGGTCTACGATTCACTTTGTCTGTCACATGACCTTCACAAACCAGCCAATAGGAAGGTCTGCCTCGGCCAGAGCTGCGGACCCCAGTGGGAGGTGTCTGAGTGGTCCGAGGTAATATACCCTATAATAAAGCCCTATAGCACGTGTCCAATGTTACTGTCAACGCTGAGCTGATACCGTGTGATTATAACTGCAAACACATACAGAACCAGTCAAGCTCATAGTGTATATACAATGTTTCCCAGCATCCATTCTGTTGCCTTAAAGTTCATGAAGCGGTTTCAAAGATTTCAGCGTCATAATGAAAACATCTCCCACGCAAAATGTGCGCAGTCCTTTGGGGTCAGATCAGTCTCAATAATTCCAACACAGAAAGACTCAGAAATTCAAAAGGAAGATTCACAAACCAATTCACAAATATATTTGATTTATAAATGCACAAGCGATCTGCAAACGAATGCAGTACGATCCGCAAACAAATACATGTATAAATATAACTCATCATTTATTTATGTGTGCATTGAAATGTATTTGTAAATCCTTCTGTGTGCATTTGTAAATCAAATATATTTGTGAATCTTCTTTTTGCATTTGTGAGTCTTTCTGTTTGCATTTGCAATTATTGAGACTCGTCCCACCCCATACAGTCCCTGTTAACACACACAAACTCACTATTGGTCTTTGCAGCAGGTGAAGAGGTAGGTGAAAAAATACAAACAATAACAACCTTGGCGCTCATCCATGAATGAGGCCATTTGTAAAGTGGCACCCGCTTCTCTACGCTCACACCTGATTTAAGAGCTGTTAACTGAATATTTCTGTAATGAAACACATTGATGACGGCTCTTACTATTGACATCCCCACCAAATTTAGCTTAAAAATGAATCAACACAGTGTACTAAACATGGACTAGAACTCTTGAAATCGAATGGTACAGTTTCAGTGTTTGTGTGTGTGTGTGTTTGTGTGTATAACAGTGCTCCGCCCGTTGTGGCTCTCGGGGTGTCCGCACTCGGGAGGTCCGCTGTTCCCTGGAAATGAGACTATGCAAAAAGTCTTCACAGCCAATAGAAGGTCAGGAATGTGAAGGCCCGCCCTGCCACAGAAGATGGACAGGTTCTGATTAGAGCCCCGGGGAGTTAACGACACTCGCTCTGCTTCAACATGGTGCACACCGATGGTGGGGACGCGGGTGAGGCGGGCTGTGTATTCCCCGGTGACGTGTGTGTGTGTGTGTGTGTGTGTGTGTGTGTGTGTGTGTGTGTGTGTGTGTGTGTGTGTGTGTGTGTGTGTGTGTGTGTGTGTGCGCGCGTGTGTGTGTCAGTGCTCCGGTGTGTGTGGAGAGGGAAGGATGGTCCGTGCAGTGACGTGTCGATCGTCAGGCGGGGTGGTGACGTCAGAGGAGCAATGTGACCTGTCACTGCGCCCGCTGGCCATCTACCCCTGTGGCGACAGAGACTGCGCTCCCCACTGGGTCGAACAGGAATGGCAGCAGGTAAACATTTTTAAAGACGTCGTCCTTGGATCTTTTCTTCGGTGGGAGAATTGTTTGTTTGAGGCCGGCAAAGTCAAGCTTTTCTTTTTTGTTTGTGCGTCTCAGTGCAACGCTACATGCGGGCGCGGCGTGCGGCACCGTCAGGTGGTGTGTGTTGGGCTGGAAGGGGGTGTGTTCAAGGAGTTTCCAGGCAGCAGTTGTACACACACCAACCCGCCGGAGAGCAGCTCCTCGTGCTTCCAGAGGCCTTGCTCCAAATGGTTCACCACATCCTGGTCTCAGGTGAGTAGACCTCCTCCCCGGCATGCCGTACCAGCGGAGGCACCCTGGTAGATATTGCCTATCTGTGTGCGATGCCGGTTGATGGAGTCTTGTTTTGTATGTCCAGCTGTATTTGGACCGTCTGTAGGTCTGATCCTCAATAATATGTAGAGAAACATATGCGCCCTCAGTGCAGTAAGACGTGTGGGAGTGGCGTCCAGGTTCGGGAAGTGAAGTGTTACCAGGGGGAGGAGCTGGTAACCAGGGGCCACAGCTGCATATCGGCCCTCAGGCCAGAAGCCAGACAGAGCTGTGAAATCCAGAGCTGTCCGACGGAGGCGCCAGGTACCAAACAGACATTCAGAGCAGGATCAATATCAATAAAGTCCTAAAACATGTGTTTTCCTGTTGTGCCCCAAGTGAACCTTTTTATACTTTCACTACATTTTATACTTTTTATTTGATTTATTTCCTACTTTATCCAGCAGCAGCCTCAGTAGTGGTAGAAGACTCCTGCCAAGACAAACCAACAGCCAACTGTGCCCTGGTCCTGAAGGTGAAGCTGTGCTCCCACTGGTACTACAGAAAGGCCTGCTGCCAGTCCTGCAGGGCACCGAGACGCTGAAGTGATTACTGTAACCGCTCACCTCGACCTCTGGTACCAAAGGTCACGTTACATTTCTAATTGGTGCTACTCAAAGGCCTGCTGCTAGCAATGTAAGGCCCTATCACATTCATTTCCACCTTGGAGCTCTGCAGCAAAGTATGTATTTTAGCCATGTCAGTTTAATTGTGCGCTACATTTAGAAGTATTTTACCAGTTTAACTTGAATGAGATCGCTACACAAACTGACGGGACCTGAAGCCGTTAACTTTCCTCTTGTCAAAGACTATAGAAAACTAGAACAAACACTTTGCCTCCTCATTCTTCAATTTACATCCATGTCATCGTGCAAACCAATTTCTATCCCAGGTTTGTCTGAAACTGTCAGAAGGACCCCAGTAACCTTGGAGCATTACAGTCAAATCAGTCCAGATGCATGTTTGTGCCAAAGCTGAAGAAATCACATGCAGGCTTCCTGAGATACCTCAGGAATGGGACAGAGGGACAGTCACAGGTCGAACAATCTACTCCTCAACGTTCCACTCAAGGAAGTTCATGAAAAAGCACACGTTGCTTTGCTGTTATCGTGGCTACAGACGAGGACACAAGGACAGACTGGACGTTGGACTGGCTACACATAATGGTATTACTGGTGCCGTGATATGTTACCATTCTCTTTTTTTGGCTACTTCAAAATATGTATTCACACAAATGCAAACACAACACAACACAACACATCCTACTAACATAGACTGAGTAATGTCCCAACAACACTGCCCCCAAAAAAAGCTTTCTGTTTCTTCACTGCGACCCACTGATCCACGTCATGTGGCTTCCTGATATATACGTCACGTGACCCACTGATCCACGCCACGTGACCCCCTGAGCCACGCCACGTGACCCCGTGATCCACGCCACCTGACCCCCTGAGCCACGTCAGAGTCGTCCCTGTAAACATCTTTTTTTTGCTTCTGATAAGAATGTTCGATGCAAACTGAACGAGGTCATGCATTTGGAAAGCGGCAGGTACGGTGAGGTCGCTCCTGCTGAACACATCTCAGATGTGGCGGCTTAACGTGGGGATTACATGGAAGTTTGTCTCTGGAGATGCTGTCCTGAGATTCTCACCAAAGAAAAGTACAAACCGGGGAGCATTGCTGGCCAAACTCGCACCGTTCAGATCAGACACTCAGTGTTGTTGTTGTTGTTCTTGCTTACTGTATCTCACGTAAAGATTAAAAGATCAGCTGTTTTTGACAAGCATCTGTGTTTGACTTGTGATGGCTGCTCGTCTTTAAATGACCTTAAAAGCTTAAATCTCACTGTTAGTGAAACGCTTTCATTCCAGTGGCTACCAGCTTAACCAGCAAATGTAAGCTTACATTTTTACATTAGACGTTTTGTCAGGGGTCAAAATGTCGGAGGCCCTGTGGACAGGACGGTCCAGGACAAACACCAGATGACCAGATGATCAGGACAGAGGGAGCACACGGATCCTTTTTGTTGACACTGGGGAACATTTAGTCTTCTCTGATTGCACTTGAATTCTTTCCTTTTTGCTGGTGTCACGTTTAGAACTTTTTGTTCTTCCAAACTCAGTGTTCATTGTAAGCATTTGCCAAGGATTTGGTTTCCAATTCGGCCAATTGAGTAAAACAAAAGCTGCACATCAGAGATGGGCCTTCTGGGTAATTGAAGCCATGAAGCACGACCTCTTCTCCACACGGGCACCAAGCGGTTTCCGGTTCGGCGTCCTGGCTCCTGGCAGCGGGTGGGGATGCTGGCGGCTGAGTGGCGCCCTGCCGTGGCAGCTCGATGCCTGTACACCCACACTGTCGACACGTAGCGCCCCCTACAGGCCGGCAGAGTCATTCCAGGTACACGCGTTTCTGATGAAACACAAAGTTATGTTATCTATTATAATATCTATACTCATATGGACAGTTTAATGGACACAGGACTATAGACACCCCGAAAACCTGAGAAAAAAAATGTGGCCATTTAGCCAAATTCAATTTCTGCAGCTCAAAATGCTTCTCAACCCGTCTCGTCCATCATGTCATCATGTCATCAGAATGTCATCAACGTTCCTCCCGGCGTCCAGGGAGGCTGAATAATACGTGCAACTAGTGGCAGGAACATCAGGCTGCGTGGAGACGCTCTTCTAGCCTTTGCCTTCAACATGCTTTTGTCTATCATCTTCTTTGTCCGTTCTGTTCAGTGTGTGCACGACACCATCCCAAACCTCTCACGCTTTAAACAGGCCGACTGACTGATTACACGTTTGAAGACAACTGTGATGCTATAATTAGAGGACACACCATCATGGTCAAATTATTGTCATTCTCTTTTCTAGGAGTTCTTATTTTTGTTCAGGCCATTTTCATTAGTTTGTTTTCTTTAATGATTCTGTAGAACCACAATTCAAAAGCAATGTCTGATTTCTATTAGTTCATTTTCAGTAAATTCTTATTCATTACTTTGTTCAGTTTAACCAGATCATGTCCAACCTTGACCCCAATGTGATTAATTTCCATGTTATTGTTAATTGTAGGTCTCTGCTTCGTGTCGGGGATCACTGAGCACTGGGATGCTGACTCGTCTTCTCCTCGTCACCACTAAATCAATCAGAGTCCATCTGCCTACCGGAGACAAACACGAGAGGCCATCTGTGATGTAACAGTTTATTCAGCACAATACACAAACAACATTAGACACACTGATGACACGGCAGGTACACATGCATCTCACAGTGGGAGGGTTAGTCCTTTATTTATCCATTAGATCCTTTAACACATACGGTTTTACTTCACCGTGCGTTGTCCTCTTCTACTACTTCAATTATTTCATTATGGGAAAATGGTAATTTGATTAGGATTTAAGTTGATCAATCCCCCCCAGCGGGGGGGGGGGGGGGTCCAAGACACAAGTGAAAAAGTACACACAGTGACCTCTCTTAGCACGACTTAACCCTCACGTTGTGTATCTCCTATTGTGTTTCTACTCACTATAGTTCTACTTTGTGAGAGAAATGCCGTGTCAGCTACAGCACGGTTAAATGGAAACACAAAAACAACTCAAAAGTCGCTGTTGTAACATTAATACACACTTGAATTGTATATTGTTGAACAGCATGGTAAGGCTTGTAGGGAAGACGTGGACCGTGTGCCAGACAGCTGTGTGTATAAAGACTCTGCTCTTCTCCCTGAGCAGCGCATTTAGACAGTGGTGCTGCAGCTCGTGCCTCGTAGTTGTAGCTCAGGGTCAAAGTGTGTAATGACAGACAAAAACACAACGTATCAAATTCAACAGCCCGGTCAGTGGCTCTGCACTCTGACGACGACCATCTACGTCCGTTTCCATTGTTGCCTTTGTTAAAATAAACTTCTTTCAAGGTTGAGCAAACCAAAATGACCTGGATGGGTTCTGGTTAAAAGAAGCTAGTTATCAGTTAGGTAGGATACATTTGTACAATAAATCAATTTGTGGTGACTGGGGTCAGTTTCATTTAGTTAATTACTATTTTCATACGACATTATTCTGAAAGGTTTAAAAACAATTCGCACTTCAGCGACGGACGGATTGATTGTTCTGACCGTTCTGTGCATTTGTAATTACTCAGTAACACAGTACAAAGTCTATGAACGTCCAGCTCATTTGACTGGGAACAAACGGTCCTGTTGTCCAAAGATACACGTTCTCAGACAAATGCTTTGTTCTCTACCTGAAGGGTGTGTGGATTGTTGACGTGGAAGAAGACGTTCACCACATCAGCTCAGGACCTGCTCCTGCTTCTAAATGATGGCTTATAATGGAAGTATGCACCATTTATCTGTGAAAGAGGTTTCTGTGTGAGCTCAAATAGGCCACCGACAAGGCAGTTAAAGGGCAAATTAAATAATTACGGGTGCTGGATTCCGAATTCACCGCATAATCAGGGCTGAGGGAACCTCGTGTTCCAACGCACACGTCTTCCTGTGCTCAGGTAGACATTAGTCCTCCACATCTCCACATAACTTTAGCGCACCTGAATTTGGAATTTAGCACCTTAAACTTGCAGACATTCCCATGTTGTCTCTGTGAGGACGTGACTGCAGTGCTGTCATTACAGTGCATGAGGTCAGAGGTGACTGGGACGGCCGACCTCAGAGGATACTCAAAGGCAGGCCGGGCAATGTTCAAATGAACGGCCTGGGAGCAGGAAAGGAGGAAAGAAAGGGAAGGAAAACTTCTGTTTACTGTAAATAAGGTGGTTTGAAACCTTGGAATCACGATCAATCAAAAGCATTGAACTTCACAACAGGTCATGTGGTTCGGTTTGTTTCTACTAAGAAGCCAGCAGTGGGTTCGAGGTGACCTTCTCTTCAGCGAAGCAGGAAGTGATTTAGAGGTCATAGAGGACCTCCAGCACAGTGGCCAGGGACCAGGCCTGGGTCTCACAGCTGAATGGGCAGAACTGGCCATTCTCATTGGTGAGCTCCGGGAGGCCCTTCCATGGAGACCTGAGAAGGAAGGAGCTGGGTCAGAGTGGACCAACCGAATACAGAATCACAGATGGGTTGGTTTCCCTTCTACTCATTCCACGTGCGTTTAGTCAGGGTCAGAAATCTCCAAACGGAACAGCATGTGACAAGCCAAGACAAGCATCCAATACGAAATGCTTTGAATGGCCAATAGATGGTTAGACATTTAGGTTTGATCAGGAGAAACGGTCCTACCTCTCCATGTGGGTGTAATGCCGCGACAGAACGTTTTTCACCATGGTGACCGTTTCAGCGTAGGTCTCTTCTCCCAGCTTCTTGGCAAAGTACAGTTTAGCACGCAGGAAGTAGCCGACCGGCCACAGCCACTCCTACACACACACACACACACGCGCACACGCACAAATATTAACTCCCGGGTAATGGCACAGTGACCTTTGAACTCCCAAATGTAATCAGTTCATCCGTGAGTCCTGAGGACCCCTCACTGCTGTATCCAGGCGTGTGTTTGGTACTCAGGGGGGGGGGGGGGGGGTCACACTCACTGGTCCTTGGTGATAGTTGAAGCCTTTTGCCAGGTTGTAGTTGTCGTTGTCCAGAGCGTTGTCATAGACACCGCAGTACACCATGTCACTAGGACAACCCAAATACAGCATCAGGACCAGACTGAAGAGCTAAGCAGGGAACAATATGACGGATCCTCCCAGATAAACCTTCCCTCGCATTTATCCGCAGGGACGAAGTTCTACCACATCAACAAACAAATACATTCTTGTGTACTGTATGAAGATTTGTATTACTCAGGGTCAAGTGTCTTCATTCCCAGTGGTCCCAGTAGTTTCTTCTCAGCCACCTCAAGAGCCTCCCAGGCTCTCTTCACCGTAAACAGCTCTGGGGACTTTAAAACACAGAGATCGCGTGAAGCAGCCAATCACCATGGCGGTCAAAACACCGCACACGCAGCTACAGGGTATTCAGTGTGTACGGCGTGTGAGGATACACAGCCTTAACGTAGTGGCAGTTTCAGCGCGTCTACTTACCACCACCATGGCAATAGTGAAGTTGGGTCTCAGCTGGTAGTCACACCAGGGGCTGGAGGCGCCGTAGCTGTCCTTATAGATGCCTTTTTTATGCACCAGATCAGGGTGCTTTTCATTGGGATCCTGAGGGTCTCCAGACACCCAGTAACCTGCCTCAAAGGACTGCTGGAGCTGCTGGTTCCACTGGAGGTACGAGATGAAGACCTGTGTAGCTGGAACGCAATGGTAAGTGTTCGTTACACATAAGTGCTGTACTTCCATACGAGTGCGAGAATGTTTCTTCATCTGAAAATACTCGTGGAACATCTGTCAGAAGATGGTCAGTTTATATGGAGCTTCTGACCACTCAAAGAACTGTCAACCTTCATAAACACAGTCAGAGGATAGAGGCTCCGATGCAAGACCACGCACTGCGCGTGCGTTTGCGCATGTGTGTGTCTCTCACCCTCTCTCTTGACTGTCGCCCCATCGTAAGGGAACAGTCCTTTGGCGTGTAGCTCCAGCACCCAACGAACAGCTGACTTACTGAGACCAACGATCTCCACTGCTGCTCCATCTCTGCACAGAAAGCAAAGATACAGAAAACAAATTCTGTTCCGTCATTTTCCTCAAAAACAAACATGATGCAGTGAAACGGAGCCCCCCCTCACAGCAGAGGGATGTGGGATCAGCGGGCGGTACCTTGGAGTAGCAGGCATGCCTTTGTTCTTCGCTCTGTCACTTTCTCCCATTTTGTCCATCCACGTGCCACAGTTAAAGCGGTTTCCTCCAGCCACGAAACCAGTGGCTGGATCCACCTTAGCAACCACGTGGAACCCTGCAGAGAGAGGGAGGAGCTCCGATGAGTATTGGCGAGCAGTTTGAGGCGTTGGGTTTTGGCTTCTGGGGCATTATCTCGTCCCGCTGGGAAAGAGCGTGGATGGGGAAAAGCGCACGCATGGAAGCCCAGACGGACGCTGAGCCTCAATTACATTCAGAACGGACCTGCAAAATGTTAGAAATCTGCAGCGTCCCGCTCACACACTCTCCTACCTTCATCTCTCATGTGCTGGTCTATTTGGGGTCCAGCATTTCTCTCTCTGTAGGAAATTCCCTCTAGGTGGCGCTGCAGAGCCTCCTGGATTACATCATACAGCGGCTGCTCCTGCGCACACACAGACACACACGTGAATATATGCATCTATATCTACATAGTGCCTTGCATTAGGATTCACCCGCCTTGGACTTTTTTACTCATATTAAAATATACTTTTTTCCCCCCCAATTTGACGCAACATGCACAGTACCTTGAAGGTGCAAAATACTCTTTATTGTGACACAAACAATAATGACAACAAAGAATGGCATCTGTGGGATGCTTAAGTATTCACCCCCCTGAGTGAATACTTGGTAGAATCCCCTTTCGCTGCAAGTGTCCACCAACTTTGCAGAAATGCTTTTTTCCGTCCTTCTTGGCAAAAGAGCTCAGTCAGATTGGATGGAGACCGTTCGAACAGCACTTTTTAAAATCTGTCCATAGACCCTCAATTGGATTGAGGTGTTTTCGTTGGCCGGTCCACTTTAAAACCTTAACATGCTTTGATGTAAACCATTCCATTGTAGCTCTGGCTGTATGTTTAGGCTCATTGACCTGCTGGAAGATGAAGCCCCGCCCCCAGGCTCAAGTCTTTTGTAGACTGCATCAGACTTTCTTCAAGGATTGTCCTGCATTTGGCTCGCTCCATCTTTCCCTCAGTTCAGACTAGTTTGCCTGTAGCTGCTGAAGAGAAGCATCCCCACAGCATGATGCTACCGTGTGTCCCTGTTGGCATGTTGTGCTCCGGGTGGTGAGTGTTGCGTTTCCTGCACACAGCGTTTGGCATTGACGCCAAAAAGTTCCATTTTGGTCCCTTCTGAGCAGAGCGCCTTCTTCCACATGTTTGCTGTGTCTCTCTCTGTGACGTGGCTTGTGTTGAACTCCAAACGGGATGTCTCATGGTTTATTTTCAACAGCAGCTTTCTTCTTGCCGCTCTTCCATAAAGGCCAGATTCTCCCCCTCGGCTGTGGATCTTTGCAGCTCCTCCAGAGTTCCTCTTGGTTGCTGTTCGGATTCATTCTCTCCTTGTCCGCCTGGTCATTTTGGTTGGACGGCCGTCTCTTGGTAGGTTAGCGTTTTTTTTCCCATTTTTTGATGATGGAGTTCACGGTGCTTTGTGAAATGTGTAAAGCTCGAGATTCACAAGCTGACTCTGCTTCATACGAAGCTTCAACTGTATCCCTGATTTGTCAGGTCAGCTCCTTGTTCTTCATGATGCTCTTTGTTCAGTAAGTAAAGGCCTTCACAGAACATATTATACTTATACTGAGATTAAAATTGCAGACAGGTGGACCCCATCTACTAATTATGTGACTTGTGAAGGCAATTGGTAGCACCAGATCGTTAGGAGCGGGTTTACAGTCGATGGCGTGTCATATGGACTCACCACAGATGTCGTGTGTGTTGGTCCATTACATCAAATCCCAATGAAAGTTGTACGTACCACCTCTCCAGGGGTCTTGGGTTCACAGTCATCAGTCGGGTACATGCGTGTGACAGGACAGCGAAGGATTTCATGCCCTTGAGGAACGTGGGTAGCGTAGTCCTGAACAAAGAACAAAAGCAAATAGTAGGTATAACATTACAATACAGTAAAGCTTAATGTAGTAGATCTATCTATGCAAAAACATATCACTTTCCTCACCCGTTAATTTGAACAATGAGGTTAATTCACTTTTGTAAACTCAGGAACCTCCTCTGATACAGACAGCTGAGCTCCGTTAAATTTGTAAATGCATCGTACCTGGATGCACTGCAGCCACCACCACACAGCATCACGGCAGTTGTATCTCGCACAGCGACCCTCACCCAGCAGGTTGGGGATCAAACCGTGACGCAACGTTCCCGCAAAAGCCAGGAGGATGTTACTATGGAGACCGTAACAAAGAGCGGTTAACTGTATAGTGTTTGGCAACTAAAGTGCACCCGCGCATGTTGTGCGTACCGAGCCTCTGTGTGTCTCCCAGTGAGCAGCAGCAGTCCTCTGAGAGCGATGAAGGTGTCTCTGCCCCAGCAACGGAAAATCCCAGAAGAGAAGTGAGGAAGACCTAGAGAATATCATTACATTACAGGTCATTTAATGCAACATACATTGCATTTTTAACCCATGGCTTTTTACAATTAGGGGTTAGGTGTCTTGCTAAGGGACACTTCGACACGGGACATGGAGCAGCCGGGGCTGGAACTGCCAACATTGCGGTTCCCTGCGCCACGTTGACCCCCCAATATCAGTTAGTGTATCAGTTAGTTCATTCAAGGAATGTCAAATATTATATGTCTTTCATGAGTAAACAGGACTTCAACTGCTGTCAAAAGGAAACCATAAGAAATCCAGTTGGAGTTTGCCACCCGCCATGTGAGGGACGCAGCAAACACGTGGAACAAGGTGCTCTGATCAGAACAGACCAAAACGTTTTGGCCTGTTTGGCCACCGCACATCTGGCAAAATCAATGTTCTTTCACACGCTTGAAGGATGTCGTTATGCATCTTGCCACATAGCTAGGTGCGGTTTGCTTGCTAACTGCGACATATTGTCTAATGCCAAAGCTACGGCGGTTGTAGGTAATGATCAGCAGGCTCGGTTCCTGCTCGATAGCTGATACAGCTGGGAGGAGAGAGGAAGGCCAAAGATTTCAATTGGTTTTCTATAGCACAAAATGACAATTTATCCTCAAAGAGCTTTACAACCTGTACACAAATGACAGCAGTATCCCATACTTGGTCTTCATTTTATCCAGAGCCACAATTACCTGCAGCCAATGAGACGCAGCACTGCTCCTTCTGGCCAGTGATTGGACTGATGCGATAGGGAATGTCCTCGATCCGAGCGGAAAGAGGAGGCAGGGCAGGCAGCCGGCCAACACCACACATTTGAACTGAGCCCAGCGCCAGGTAACGCACAAAGCTGGAGCCATTCTGGATGAAACTGCGTGGAATAGGAGAGGGAAACGAGTTCAGCATTTCACTAAATGCAACAGAACGTCAGATCCAAAGAATAGAATGTCCTACCTGGACATGAGTTTGTGCGCTGCGTCCAGGGCTGTAGTGTAGGTTGACACCAGGATGGCATCAAAGTAACAGGGAATCAGGTAGCGTGGGATGTGTTTCAAGTAGGTAAACATAGCAGCCAACCACTGACCCACCTGTAGACACGCAGTGTTACAATGCGTCATCTGTTCCAACGTCAGCTTCAGGGATGTGCACATTAACTATGCAGCCAAAAGCTACAGTCGCACAAATTCTGTCCATGTTATACTAGCAGCATGTAATTAAATAATTGAGTACAAATCTATTCCAGATATACAGTGGCCAAAGAATATTGACATCCTTCTTCGTTTTCACATTGCTGACCAAACATTCAAAACATACATAATCCTGTCTAATGACAATGGTGCATCAGCAGTGGAGGTTCAAGAGATAACAAGGGAAGTATGCAAACAGATGCAGATAGGCAACTTAAAAAAAAAAATAGAATATCATATCATATATGCATAGAAACACACATAAACCGTAACTATTAACTAAAAGACAAATAGTGAAGTAAAATGAGAAATCATTATACTTATATACACACGAGTGACAAGGGAATGGTTGGTAGGTGGAGGCTTGTGTGTGTGTGTATATATATATATATATATATATATATATATATACACACACACACACACACACACACACACACACACCTGCTTGAAAGTATGCGAACCCCTGCAGAAGTTTTCTCTTGTTTTACGATGATATGAAATGTAAAGTCAAGTAGGTAATAGATTCAGGTAAAAAACCTCCTGGTGCTTAATTAGTCAATTAAGCAAACCAATCAAACGAGACATCCTTAGGAAAAGGGTCGTGCAACCCAGATTAAAAGGGAGAGGAAACCAAACAATCTACTGTAGTGAAACGATGCGACGGAGATATCCGAGGACAGATCTAGGACTCTGACTAGAATTGGACGCCCATCAAGACGATCACCGAGAAGCACCAGAAGAATAATACGTCAGGTTAAGACCTCTCTGGCAGCATCCGGGGTAAATGTATGTGTCTACAATCATTCAAAACGGATCTCTGCCTGTCTGACTGACATCTCTCAGTGGATGTCCGCTCACCATCTGAAAATCAACCCCGACAAGACTGAACTACTTCTCTTTCCATGAAAAGCAAAAGCAAAACACTCGACTAGATCACGACTCTTTACTGTCCTGCTCCGAAATGGTGGAACGAGCTCTCTGAAGACACCAGGACCGCAGAGAGCCTTCCCATCTTCCGCTGCAAACTAAACTAACAAATTGTAGTATCACTTATCTCTAGCAAATTGTAAATTGGCTTATTTAATGAAAGTGCACTTTCTCGTTTCTTGTTCTTCTGGGTTTGTATCCCTATGGTTGGATGCATTTATTGTAAGTCAGAATCTCTGGCCATCAGTCAGGGAGTTGAAGCTTGGCCGAAAATGAGTCTGGCCACCAGACTAGAACCCAAACAAAACCACCAAGGAATGGCTTTAAATTTTTTTTTAAAAAAGAGCATCCGTACTCTGGATTGGCCGAGTAAAATCCAGACCTCAATACAATAGAAATGTTGTAGCTGGACCTGAAGCGGGCGGTACATGCCAGATGTCACCTCTCTCAACTGAGCTCTGCATGGCTGCAGCTGAGGCGAGAGACTCACAGAGGTTACAGGAGACGCTTGGTAGAAGTAAATGCTGCAATATGTACTAATTAAAATGGTTCACATACTTTCGCACATTTTCAGCTTTCGTTGTATAAACCACTTTGTTGAATAAGTAAGACAAATACATAATTTGTCTTGACGACCCTGTCTGGAGGGTTCACACCATGATACTCAAGCTTTTATGTTTTCTTTGAGCACTGAACGTCTTTGTAATGGAATGTCAGTTATCTTAGAAACCGTGGCAAGAAAAAAATTTCTGAATGGGAGTAGAAACAATCCTCACCTGGGCCAGAGGTCCCTCTCTGTGCACCAGTCTGCTGGAGACAAAGTCGATCAGCCAGTCCCCCTGCCTCAGGTTGTCACACACGGGATGGCCCAGGTCATTGTTGGGACGGACATCGGCCAGCACGGACATCAGACCTGGAGAGACGCAACGGCAGACCCACGCAGTCATTCGGGGCCAGGAATGTGTCAAAATACAGAGGTCAAATATCCGTGCGAATATGCCGCGGTAACTTCAATACTTCAACACGGCTTGAAGGGAGTTGCTCCACTTCCAACTCCGGAAAAACAAACGTGTGCAGTTTTATTTTATATCTGGGAGTGATATTGACTTGTTTAACATCCTTACACTTGGCAGCTTACAAAACATAAATGACTAATGCAAATATTTTTTGGAAATAAAATGTAAAAAAAAAGATAAAAAATGTTATTATGTTAATGCTAAAATGTTAAAAAGATACATTAGAATTCTTGTTCATTTTGAAAGGTTGTAAACGATGCAATGATGTTGCCATACGAGTGTTTTCCATCTCTTTAGAAGCATTCATGTTGATATTTGGGGAAAAACAAACATACTGCAACCGTTAATTTGTGTGAGTAAAAAATGATTAGTTCTCAGACTGGTCTCAACAGCAATCTGAAGCGACACAGAATGTTTCCATGTTCTGTCCTCAGCCCAACTGTGTGTAACTACCTTGTAGTCCAGCATATTTGAGGCTCTCCCATCCTGGGATGCTGTAACAGCCTCCACCATCCTCCTGTTCTTCGGCGTCACAGCGGAACAGCAGGATGTTCAAGTCTGCTAACGTCAACTTGGACATCAGCCTGTGAAACACACACGCGTCACAATGTACCACATGAAATAATGTACAGCTCCTTTTTTCATACCACCCTTCATCTAGCGGCGGCACGTGGTTACAACTGTTTAGCTCACAGCTCTTTGTAGAGTTTGCATGTTCTCCCTGTGTACCCTGCGCTCCCCTTTAGTCGGCTGGGATCGGCCTAATAAGTGGGGGTCTTACTTGCTGGGTTTCAGGATATCCAGCCAGCAGCAATAGATCTGAGGGCAAGCATTCAGCTGCATCCGTGCGGGGTGTCAGTAAGTGGGAGGAGTACTGAGGAGAGCCCTTGAATAAATAAAATAATCGTCTCATTAGGGTTAGCTTTTTTCAAAATGCTCCGGCCGTCAGCCTGTGCACTGCAGACGAGCTCGGAAATGTTAAAAGATCAGTCAAAGCTCTGCAGCATCTGGTTTGAGGTTACATCCACGATGCTGGAGGAGACCCTGAACTGCCAAACCAGAATGTCATGAGAGTAAACTAGCTTGGCGGCACGCTGGTGTCATTGGTTGAAAATGGAGATTTCTGATCTCCTCTATTTGAATAATTCCTGTACAACAAAGTGCATTTAAAGTTCACACCTGACAAACTGTTTTTATGAACAACATGAGCAGGTGTTAGGAGTACCGGAGAGAAGCCACGCAGACACAGGGAGAACATGCAGACCACACAGAAAGGCCACTGGGCGGAGTCGAACCCAGGACCTTCTTGCTGTGAGGGGACAGTGCTGACCACCACACATATGTCAATCACTTGACTTGGGTACCGAACAACAAAGTTCAATACCCTCGACAGAGATGATCTGATTGGAGTCTGTGTGTGCATGAGTCCTCACTGTGCCAGGGGCTTCCGCAGTGCTGCTGGGGGGTTGTCCTCTGCTACACTGCCTTTCCTGTACTTCGGGCTGAACTGGGTCAGATAATACCTCAGCCTCCCCGCCAATTTCTGGGCCTTGGGGTCCAAACTAACCCTATGAGGAAGAAAGTCACAGAATCTATGATTAAAAACAGATTTAAAGGCAAAATGCATATATGAACCCTGCAAGGAGTGATTCAGAAACGAAATGATTATGCAACGATTACACATCTGTGCCGCTGAATGTGTGTGTGTGTGCGCGTGTGCGCGCACGCGTGTGTGTGGTTCACCTGAATGCGATGACGCTGCCAGGTGTCAACTTTTGAAAGGTGATCTCCTGCACATACTCGGATGGACCTTTAGATGTCTCACCTGCTTTTTTCACCATTGTACTCTCCTGTAACTATATGCAAATATATACACTATGAGAAAATGTATTGATATGCAAGTATTATGGAGGCATTATTTACCGATATATGCTCCTTTATGTCCACGGTGTATTCTGGCATGCCGTTGATGTAGTGTTCATCCTTCTTATAGCTCCCTGCCAGCCTTTCAACAGTCCGGGCCTCCAGAACCACTTCCTCAATCTTCCCTTGAGAGAGAAACAGAGAGAGATACTCTGATCAAATCATCAAGACCCACTCACACTAAAAAGACAAAAATATCTAGAAACATTTCTGCTTTAAAAGGGGATATTGTCCTACCAGGTATGAACATGGGTGGGACATTGGTGTCATACTGGTGGGTTTTGGGGTCCTGGAAGGCGGTCCTGCACACCACCACCACCGACTGGTGGGTGCTGGGACAGTGTCGAGTCACTGCGACGATATCCGCATCAACCTGGTCCACAAACACCTGCAGAGGAAAACAAACTTGGACCAGTTATCAACCAATAAGTGAGCTTTCCTGGTCCACCATGCAGACTTTAGTCTGTCATGACACAATTTATTTCATATTTGCATCCACAATCAGAGATGGGCAGTTTTTCTGTTGCTTCGCATTTGAAAAAGGACTTATGATTATTTAGTCATTGATGTCGTTAGTGCTATGGTCTCTGAAACATTGTTAATAAGACTTTCCAAAGGACCTTTGTCTCTTTCCCGACATACCGAGGACACACCATACATCGAGTTTGCGTTACATCTTGTGCGAGGACGGCGGGCGTGTGCAGGTCGGATGTGTGCTACCTGTAGGAATCCCTGCAATGCCAGTTCCTGGTGCAGCTTGTTGAGGGCCAATTTCCCAGCTATGATGCCCGTCTGGAGTCCGACCTCATCGGCGGAGGTGGGCGGAGCCGAGGGGTTCCACTTGGGGTAGAAACGCTCCTCCTTTACCACAGAGATCTACTCAAACACAAGCATGAACGCACACACACAAATTAATAAAGACATGCAACATGCTGTTTATGAATAAGCCTGAAGGCAATATTGATGAAATTGTTTTATAAACAAGCCATGACATTTGATATCCTGCGCGTGAGTGTATGTACCTGATGTGGCACTAGCTCATCATATCCTCGGGTGGAGCCAGTAGCACAGCAGGCCATAGACACCATAGCAGCGCTGGGGAGGGAGTCCAGTGCTGAGCGCAGCTGTATCAAACACAGAGATTGCTGAGCATCACTGAGGCTGCTGCATCTTACGGCAGGTGTATCAGGTAATAGTCACAACAACTACATTGTAAGCTCTAAAAAAAACTATTTTAAATGTAAAATGAATGCATACAAAACCAAATGGTCAGTCAATCGACCCTGACAGAGGCTCACCTGTATGGGACACTCGTTGTCATGGGTTACATCCAGAAACATGGCATGGGCGATGGCAGGCATTAGCGGGCGGAGACTCGGCTGAACAAACGCTCCGACCGGCTCGCCCCCGTAACGATGGACCAGCCGGCCCTCCTCGTGGCTGTCACCAGCTGACATGGCCTCTGACAACACAAGGGTTCTTTCTTATTTCCCAATCCTGCCTCCTTGACCCCTTTCCTCACCTCGCGTCGAAGGAGGCAAAGAGAGAGGAGAGGAGAGAGGTGTCGGGGCAGCGGACATCCTCTCCTCCCTCTGCCACAATGTCCATTATATAAGCGAGAGACAAACGCAGAGTGTTCTTACTGACATTATCATTTATATGTGTACATCATGTCAGAAGGATGGCAGACGGCCACATGCTGATTGGGATTCACTGCACGAACTGTGAAAGGGAGAATGTTCGATCCCCCATCTGATCATCTTAAATAAATACAACTATGAACATGATAAAAGGAACTGGTTGAACACCTTTGTGTGGCACGTCTCTTATTTGGTTACATGGCTCATAACTCCTCCGGAAAACTTCCTCCATCCTTTGTCCTCAAGAGACATTTCACAAATTGGAATATTCTTCAAGATGCAGCACTGACATTATTTTCCGGGGTTACAAACTTAAAAGAGCACAAAACAAGCAACCGAGGTGTCAAAATACCATTAGTTGCAGCAGCACTGTGGAGTAATTCTGGGCTCCACTGATCTCTGGCATGCAGGAGCTTTGCCTTTGAGAGGCAACGGACAAAACATTCTTTATTTTACCTTTTAAAATTCAGCGACATGTCTGATATTATATCAGCAGTAACATCTAATACTGGAATGTTGATTGATATTTCACTTTTGGGAATTGTGTTTAAATCCACGGACAGTTGATGAATTCCAAATAAAAATGAGAAGGGAAACATGATCCAAAGGGAACTATTGCTGACTGAAGGGTTCGACGAGTATGAATCCTATGACACAACTCTCACAGTCATTAGCATCAGACAACAGATGACAAGAGGCTCTGAACGCCAACAGAGGAATGTGGGCGTGTCCACTTCAATCACATAAAGGGCTGTACCTCGTATGAGCGAAGTGATCCCTAGCTTGGTCACAAAGACGTTATCCAGGTCCTCACTGCCGGTGAACAGTTCAGCCACGACATACAGGTTAGGACGAGCCGTTCGGGCCGCGTCCAGCATGTACTGATCAACGACAGCAAGGCAACACGCCAACAACAAGGCAGAGCAACACAGGAAAGGACGCAGAGGAGGAAGAGGAGAGGATTGTGGAGGGAATGCAGCCAGTTGGTATCAGGCCAAGGAAGCACAACATGCAGTCACCAGAGGAGGAGACAGGGGACAGGGGACGGGGGAGAAGAGAGAAGGGAGAAGAGAGAAGAAAGAAGAAAAAAAACACGTTAGTCCATGCGGAAGAGATGTACCTCGTATGAGGCTGCCGATTCCCAGCCGGTTAACAAACACATTGTCAAGGAGCTCGCTGCCTGTAAACAGTTCGGCTATCACATACAGATTGGGATTGACCGCTCTGGCTGCATCTAACATGGCCTAGACAAGACAAGACAGCAGCATCACAGACAGGGAGAAGAGAAAGGCGTGCTGTTAACACTCATGTACACTGTGCACGTACATTTGAACACACTAAGGCTCGGCCTGGGAGGAACTCATTGACGGCACACTTCTACCATTTGTAAATGCCACTGAGCTCATTCTGTCCTCAGGTAAACACTTCATCAACTAAGGTTGCTTCCCTGTAATTCTCCCTGACCTACAGGGGTCCACAGTGGGATTACTGCTACTGGGGGTTTAGCTTCTCCTTCAGTGCCATAAAATACTGGCTTCTATTGGAGCATGAATATATTCAGAAGAAGGGCTGAAAATAGTAAGAAAGTACCGGAACTAATAATCACGAAAGCATTGCGTATGTTAAAATACGGACGAGACACAACACCACACGGGAATGAGCACGAGTTTATTTCTCGTAGTTGTAAAAAGAACTTTGGGCTCTGATTCTATTGGCCCTCATGTATCATCCCTGAACCGGATGAACCATGAATGACTACAGAGAGATCCGTCGTGGTCACCTGGTGAGGAAAGAGGACATACCTCGGCCACGTGCAGGGGTGTAGAGTGGCAGTTGTCCAATCGGACTCCATGGAAATACGTGGCAGTGATTTCCGTGTACTTCTGCATGTGGGCCCACAGGTACGGGCAGTCCTCAGGCCCATTGCCGTAGCGGAGTTTGACGCTGTCCCCCCAGCAGACCAGCTCCCGACGCACATACACATGGGAGCCTATGTGGCAGGGACACAGCAGTACTCCATCAAGGAACCGCTATTCGAAACGTACAACCGACAGATTGCTTACAGGGTTTTCCTTTGAGATTCTCAGGTCCCGATTATGGACATTCAAACGTCCTTTATTTCAGAATAAAAGTCATGGTCCGTGGCAGGAGTGACCTCGTTGCAGCGTGTGTTTATTTATTAGTTATTGTTAGTTCTTATAGTTTCTGTACCTGACGGTTTGGTAAAAAGTTGAATTTATCAACCTGGTTCGGCAAAGTTGCGCAGCGGATCGTCTCCCATCACCCAACCGTTGTGAGCCAGGAAATGACACGTCTTGTCTGGCTGGTCCAGCAGCTGCATCTCCTGCTCCAGAGTCATGTCCCGATAGGGGAAGGTGAAGTACCTGAGACGCAGAAAAACAACAACAACACTTTAGCCCGTCGCAAACCTCATGTCCGTGTCATCGGATACGAAGTACTCTTCACTTTTCTATTGTATCTTTCATTTTCTGTCTCCTTAAGCCATTTCTTTAAATTCATCACCTGGTAACTAGAGGACTTTCCGCGCACACAGGACCAAGCTTGGGGCCGTGCTCTGCCAGACGCTCGTACACTACGTTTCCCACAATACAGTTGGCAGCCTTGATGAAGAGAAGGAGCACAAAGAACAGGTAAACCCTCCCTGCCTCCGGTTCCAGACTAAATGCAATCTCCCCGCTGGAACGCTGCACTGGGGACGTGCGCCTCATGATGAAAAGTAAAAAACACACACAACGTTTGGTGGCTATTCAGTGCTGAAAGGCAGTTATTCACTTACTATTTATAATGTCGCTGGCAACCGTATTATAAAAGCAATAAGGTACTCGAGGCGGTACGTCGATAATGTTACGATTCAAGGGTTGTCGGATAAAGTACGGCCTCTGGTACCTTATTGCTTTATCATATAGCAGTAAACTGGTACATTTTACACTGGCTTACCTGCTCCTGATGCTGCCGCATTATGTTGTACTGTTCTTCATTTAGCTCGTTCAATTTCTGTCTCAGCCAACCACAGCACTCCTCGATGTGGTGTGGGGAGGAGCTATAGAGAGACGGCAGTGCTACATCCATAAATACATGTGCATTCATCACTTCACAGAAGCAAGGGCTGTTGTCAGTAAAAGAACCACATTCAGATTTCAATTTCAATAAATAATAAAACTAACAGGAAACAGTCCAACAGTCACCGTAGGTAACAATTAGGAGAAATTGGCCCCTAACCATGGTAAATAGGCCCACAAAATAACAAAGCTTGCATGCAAAAATGGAATTTCTTAATTCTTGGCAGGCCAAGTATCCCGCCATATTACATGAGACAGAAATCTATGCTTCACAGCCTGTGCAACACGTGATCTGTGCACGTCACATTTTCAGAATTGAGCTGATGTTTGAACTGCATAGTATGTTTAATTACTCAATATATAATGTCACACAAAACTGACAATATTTTCTGTTGCAGCAACCTGAAACAAGTACTTGGCTGCTGCAGAAATTAGCTGGTGTTATTTTTGTTGAACCTCTCAGCACTGACATTGAAATGTCAAATCAGCAACTCAAAGAAACGCGAACACTTATATTAAAAGTTGAACAATAACTGCTGCAGCTCGACGTTTGGGTCAGACCTGTGTGGTACAAAGGTCTCCAGAGCAGAGTCCAGGTCCACTGTGCTACCAAAACGTTGGTAATTTGGGTCCTGAATGATCCTCAGGTCCTGCTTCCTCCCGGTCCCAATCCGGTCCTGCTTGGAGCCTAAAAACACATCCATGCAAAATTAGCACACCAGCAGCTTTCTATGAGATGGATTCAGCCTCAATAAGCTGTCACTGAACAGTGAAGGATTCAGTCCATGTTTGGAATTCTTTTGACACAATACAACATCTGTATCTGTAAGTGTAATGTATCCGTCATGAGGACTACATTTGTGGGTTGATATATTGACACAGAAATAACATTTTCAATGTAAGACCATTCGAAGCCATTAATAAAATGCTGAGTTCCACAAGGTTCTGTGCTTAGAGCATTTTTTTCTACCCTTTGAATGCTTCCTTTAGGGAATGTTATTAGAAAACACTGCATGAACTCCCATTGTTTATGGAGACAAAACTCAAAGTATCGGTCAATCAAGCCAGACGAGACCGGCCAGCGCGTTAGACTTCAAGAATGTCTCAAGGACATCAAAACCTGGGTGACCAGCAACTTTCTGATGTTAAACTCGGACAAAACAGAAGTTATCTTGATGGGACTAAAATGGACATTCCTTATTGTGGCAAAGTTTTCTACTCAAGACTGGCAGCTACGTCTTGCATTATACCAGAAATACAGGTATTCATTAAAAGGAGCGCAGTTCACTAACGGACTGTACCAACCATTGAGTAGGAGGATCCTGAACTGCTCAACAGTGTTGTCCACTTTGAGCTGGTAGAACTCCCACAGCTTGATCTGAGGATACACGTCCTGCCACAGCACACTACGGATGGCCTGAGAGACAGACAGAGACGGAGACAGACAGAGACAGAGACAGCTGTGTGTGCTTGCTGCCAGATTCCACACTACTGCATCCGAGTGAAGGTACAGTGAAAAGAGAACACAGCCACGTCTCTCCCTTCTTACACAGCCGGTAACAGGAGTGGAATACAAGTAATAACAGTTACATATACATCTGGGTTCCCTCTTTGAATTTGAGGATAAGACGTCCCCCTGTGGGCCCTTGTCAGGCCGTCCTAACATGTGGCTGCAAGTGGCCACATTCTTCAAGTGGTGTCTGTGATTGGTGTCCTGGGACACATTGACGGACAGCTCACTCAGATGATCGGGGTGTAGATTGACATTTACGGTGTGCTGGTTGAGTTATGAAGACAACTTATGCATTGACCAACACGTAAGAGCAGTTGCCGAGACTTTGAGTGGAACAATGTATTGAATATTGAGACATAATTTCCATTCTACAGCTAGTTAATTGCTTCATTTGCAAAGCACAAGTAACTAAATGAAATCATTTTAAACACACAATACATTCGGTGGTTGCCAACACAGATGAACTGTTTGTTTGTGTAGATTCACTGGGGAACCACATTTGAGCTGTAAATGAAATTAATCTTTTAACTGACAAATTCACTTTTCTGGGTTCTTTTTTACGTCCCAAGCACGTGACCAGATGTTAGTACTGATAAATTCACTACAACACAGCCATGAAACAACAGCCGTGTCTGCTCTTCCCGTAGAGCGTGCAGCTGTGCAGCTGTGCAGCGTACTCACGTTCAGATGGCGCTCATTGGTAATATCAGCTGGAAGTCCCTTAGCCTCGTAGCGTCCCTCTGCTACTCTGGTGGTTAAATGGCAGATGGCTCTATCCAAGACCCAGGCTGGTCTCAGGTGAGGCGAGTTCACCAGGTTGTACCCACACTCAGGATGTTCTTTGATCCACACACTGTTAGCAGCTGGAAAGAAAACCAGAAAAAAACTCTCAAATCACCAAAAGTTAGTCAGTATTAAAATAAAAGATGAAGAACGCTGGAACGCATGTTTGAAACAGTGAAGAAAGGAATCATGCTGAGGAAATGTTAATAGTTAGTGTAACTATTGAAAAAGACAATACTCCAAATGAATTGAACCAATTCAATATGGTTTTTCTTGAACTTTACCAAAAAAGTGAAAACTGATCTTATTATTAGCTTAATCCTAGTACATAATCACAGCACACGATGTGTTGAACAGCAGATCATGAAGAAGCCTTTGTCTGGATCTAAAGATGGACCGGCACCACAAAGTCATGGTTTAACCTTTTACTCAGGTTCACTTTACGGTCGACCTTTGCTGGGAGGGGGAGATGACACTTGAGAGCACACAAGCTCCTATTTCAGATCTGCAGTGTCCTTTCACTTGGCTTCCTGTTTGTGTTTGTTAACACAAATTGCTAATCAGCCAATCACGTGGCTGCAACTCAATGCGTTCCGGCATGTAGACGTGAAGACGCTTGCTGAGGTTCAACGTGAGCCTCAGAATGGGGAAGAAAGGGGATTTAAGCGACTTCAACGTGGATGGTTGTTGGTTCCAGACGGTCTTGTCTGAGTACGTCACAAACTGCTGATCTACTGGGATTTTTTTGATGCACAACCATCTCTAGGGTTCACACAGAATGGTCCAAAAAGAGGAGATATCCAGTGAGCAGCAGGTGTGTGGACAAAGTGCCTTGTTGGTGTGAGAGGTCAGAGGAGAACGGGCAGACTGGTTGGAGATGATAGAAAGGCAACAGGAACTAAATAATAAAGTGGCCGGTGAGATAAATCTATATATAGATCTTGAATTCCTCCTCTTCTTAAGCATTCCAACAATTGTTCTTGTAATCTCTCTCTCCCCTCCCAGGGTAGTACTAAAATACTACTATTACTACGATTGATGAACGTATTTCTACTGCTATTGTTACTAAAAATGTTCTTATTTGTGTTTTATGGAGTGGCCCCGATGAAGGAATTACGCGGGGGCGCTTGGACATCTCGATATATTTTTATAATGTCTCTAAGTCTTGTCTCCTCTGCCCGCAGATCTCTCTCGGTCACTGACACACACACACACACACACACACACACACACACACACACACACACACACACACACACACACACACACACACACACACACACACACACACACACACACACACACACACACACACACACACACACACACACACACGCACACACACACACGTAAATACACTCACCAGTATGATTATAGACCACATCTGTAATACACAGCATGTTCCATTCTTTCTTTAACTTCTTCACCAGAGCCCCCACATCTTCCCAGCTGTAGCTCTGACTGTCAGGACTGAACTCGGGGTTAAAGTTCAGCTGGTCTGCCAGAGAGTAACAGGACCTGGACTCTCCCAGAGTTTGCAGAGGCGTGAAGTGGATCATGTTGTACCCTTTGAGAGAAACCCACACACAAGGTCATCAACAAAACTGCAGCATAGCGTTTAAAATGACTACTATTAATGATAATGGGTCTGCTATACGCTATGAAGTAGGGTGAGATGGCTTATAGTAGATCCATCTCTCTATGCTGATAGAGATCCTCTGCATTGGCTGAAGCTTCCTTGTGACCCTGACCAGGCTCGAGTACCACTTCTCTCTCTAGTGCAGTCGCTGCAGCCAAACACACCACATCGGTAACGACTCATTGCACTTCAGCCATGTGGGGGAAAAGGAAAACTAAAGTAACTTCCTGTAAAGAACAATATGGTTTTGTGACCTCGGATGGCCTCTCAGGTTCAGGTGGAGGTTCACAAGCATTTTTGTAAATCTTGTTTCTCATTCAGTAACTTTCTATTGGCACTAGCATAATAACACAAAACAAGTGCAACACAACACACACACACACACACACACACACACACACACACACACACACACACACACACACACACACACACACACACACACACATACACACACACACACACACACGCACACACACACACACAGACACACACACACACACACGCGACTGCGTGGATACTCATAGTCAGTCAGGCCAGACATTAAGGTGCCCCACACATTTTCACAGGCGCGTCTGGATGGTGATGCAGTCCAATGAGAGGACGAGATTGCCCCGCGCCCATATAAAGGAGTGGGTCCGACTACTATGTATCCTCCTCCTGACCGCTCTGTGTCCCTGTGGGAACCAATTGGAAATAAAAAAGGATTAAAACGTGTTTCATTACCAGCTCGCAACTACACAAAATAGTATCATGCAGTCGACACTCACACAATCAAACACTTACCGTAAGAGGTCCCAGATCATATCATTAGACTGGGTTGCACACACACACACACACACACACACACACACACACACACACACACACACACACACACACACACACACACACACACACACACACACACACACACACACACACACACACACACACACACACACACACACACACAAAACTGGTAGGAAGTACATACAACAAACTTCAAACCTCAAACCAGTTTTACAAAAAGCAAAGAGCAAAACAGTGCAAAATCAACAATTAAGTTATGGGAGAACAGAAAAATGCTTTTAAGATGACAATTATTTTTGTCTGTCGTGCTCCTGATTACATTCAGGATTTTCACACAAAGAAGTGCTTTAACTTAATTAAGAGCAGGAAAAAAAGACCTTGATACTGTTTCAGAAAGATCTAGACTCCAAATAATTGGGGGAGTAGGAGCAAAATATTTCTACCTCAAATCACATTTGAACTCGTGGAGCGCGAAACTGTAAAACGAGTGTATTATGGTCTTACCCATATCCAAAGTAGTACTGGTAGGACCCGGCGATCGTGAGGTCCAGAGTGCAGAACTTATCAGAGTCATCGTCCCCTCCTGTTGGGAAACCCCACTCCAGAACACGGAAGTGGTTCCTCCTGAACGGCTGTCCTTCTAGCGGATAGTTGGTGTGAACCACCACCCTCCTCCCCTGAAGGGTCGGACCCAGGCGGAACTGGAGCTCAAAACCTGTGGAGGCAGAAATGCGTTTGATGAATTTCTACACACGGCCACCGTGAAAAATAAACTGGAATGTTGAAATAATTTGGTTTATTAGCGATTTGCCAAATGGCTTGAAATGTATATCCAGGTTTTACGTCGGTGTTACAAAACTAAACTCCATTGAAAAAGGTCAGTGAGGATCAAGACGCTCCTTTAGCCTTTAGTCTCAAGTGGCCTCATGTGCTGGCTTCATCTTTGAGCACCTGTTGGGCCAAAAGCAGAAGCAGGAAGCTCGTGGACGGCGGCAATGAGATGCATCTTCCTTCTCCTGCTGTTGTGTGCTGACCTGAAATGTGTGTGCAAAATCCATTTTGGAAAAAGAGTGTCTCACCCACTTCTAATGCGTATGTGATTTTTGTAGCTGAAAGAATTCATCTTAGATTTAGTTATTGACTCTTTCAGGATTATTACAGGCTGCTGCTGAAGGGGCAGTCTGAGGCAAACATGTTGATGTTCCTGTCAGTTTTGGCATCATACGCCTAATGTGCAGCAGTAAGCCCCATATTGCCGTCGACTGTGTCCATTTGATTTCGGGAGGCCTGACCTAGTTCTTCTAGAACATACGAGACTGCTCTGCAGCTTACAGATCAACAAAAGGAATACTACAGAAATCCTCAAAGCCAAAACAAAATCAGATTCTTTGTCCTTCAGAGATGACCTTAAAGGGACGTCTATACATAGTCCAGTCTAACAGCCAGCCCCCAAATCCCTCTCAGGTTCCGAGCGCTGTAAATGTCAAATGCTAAACTTCTACCAACAAACACACACGTACACACGCAGCTACACACGCTGTTCATTATTGCTACTGGATGTCGATATTTTTTTTGGAATTATTTTACTTTTTTAATTAAAACAAGACTTGTCATGACATCCAAACTGACCAACATGGTAAATGTAATGTAGTTGGATAGCGCGTTTTATCATCCGACCACTCAAAGCTGTTTAACACTTCATGTATCCATTTACACCCATTCACACACAGCGCCCCCTGCCCATCAGTAACAAGCATTCACATCATTCACACGGCTACTGTAGCTGACTGCTAAGTGTCCAACACATTGAGCCGCGGGTTACGAGGCACGTGCAAGTCAAGTCAAGTCAAGTCAAGTCATTTTATTTTGTATAGCCCATTATCGCAAATTACAAATTTGCCTCAGAGGGCTTTACAGTCTGTACACATACAACATCCTCTGCCCTGAAACCCACCATCGGCACAGGAAAAACTCCCCAAAAAATGAAAAAACCCTTACAAGAGGGAAAAAAGGGAAGAAACCAAGCTGGGGTCCTTTGGTAGGAAGCTACTTGTTCCAGTATTGTAACAAAAATGTATTAAGCCCCTTCCTACCTTATCGGACAAAGCTCATTTTGCCTCTCATGAACTCATTCAGAGCCTCACTCACACGCCGCTGGTGACAGAGCTGCCATGCCAAGCACCGACCGGCCAATTGGGATCAACATGTCGCATGTGTACAGACTGTAAAGCCCTCTGAGGCAAATTTGTGTTTAGTGATTTTGGGGTGTACAAAATAAAAGGACTTGAACATGGGATTGAACGTGGGATTGAGAGTCCTGCAAGATGGTACTTTTCTACTTTTTATTCTCCTAAAAGCATTAAATCGCTTTGTTGGCTCATCCTACCCTCAGGTTAGATGTATAAATGTATCAACTGCTGTTTCACTGGGATTAAGCTTTTTGATTTGAATACTTAAAGAAGCATCTATTTACATCCCTAATATAGAATTTCAACAATTTGCAATTTGCAGTTGGTTATGTGCACCACTTAATGACTGTAAGGAAATAAACATAGATCCTAGTTAACAACTGAGCACACATTGAGGCATTAAGTAACGAAGCGTTACCTTGTTCGAGTCGGAACAAGGTCCTCTCGGAGTTCTCCTTGTCGTTGAGCATCAGGACTCTGATCTGCTTCAGGTGCTGTGGCAACATAATGAGAAGATCTCTCGAGTGAAATGATCCCAGGCCTCCTGGAACGAGGGACAAATACCAGAATACAATCATTTACTTAACACTAAACACTTTTCCTAACCATTAAACCAAGTTTTTGTAGTTTCTGAACAGTTGGATATAGTCCCCAAACGATACACGTCCTCATATTACTCCCATAAAGAAGTGCCAAAAGTAGCCTGTAAATTGAAAAGAAGTATGCACAGTAAATAGAGTAGACCTCAGCTTAATTGTTCCTAATGGGTCGAATGTTTTAGATAAAAAGAGTTGAATACAATTGGGGTTTATTTTCCTATTCAATTAACCTAGAATCCTTTGCAATCCTTTCTCCTACTATTGAGTTCACATTCAGCTTGTGGCTGCAGGCATGCAAAAGAGGACCTTACCTTTTGTGCAATATGTTGAGCAAAGACAATTGAGCCAGTAAGACAACCGCTAACTATAAACGGACAAATGGGTGACACAAAAAACTGTCAATACCTCTAAACAAAGAAACTGAAGTAACAAGCAGAGTTACACAACAATAAGAGAAGAGGCTGTGATAGAAAGTTCATTGCACGCTATCAACAGCTATCACAGGTCCGGCAGTTAGACATCCGATCAATATGCTTCAATATGCTTTTTAAGCCACTTGAGCTCCAAAAGGGGCCATGAAACATGTGACCAAAGTACGTCTGCAGCAATCAGACAAATGGTCATTGAACAAGTCAAGGGAGGACGTTTGTGAATCTCAAACGCTTAATGCACGGACCACATTGAGCCGCTCACAGTGCGAAACCACACAACAAGTACACGACGAACATGAAGAGCACGTCCAGGTTCACCAAATATCAGGAGAAGCCATCACATGTTAAATAATCATCTTCAGTGAGATGGTCAAGCTGTGAGATGTGTGCAAACTGTTGTAACACAACACGAGCCAGGTAGTCGGAATCCTTTAGATAGCATGAAGTCTGTACATGAGCTGCTGCACTTTGGCTTTTAAATGTCCATTTCAACTTACAACTTACAACTTGCAACTGCCAATGATGACCTGTAAAACATCTGGCATGATAGCAATTTTAATACTAGAAGACCCAGACTTATTTTATTAAAATGACATAAGCCTACTTTATATAATTACCTGCTTATGACATTACTGATCCTGTGCGACTGAAATCAATGTACCGCAATGGCAAATTAAGACAATAAATAAACTAACAACCATTTTCAGTGATGGAGAGTAACAACATATATTCCTCCGGGTCTGCATTTATGAAGTACACTTTTGTGGTACTTGTATTTCAAGATTACTTTTGTATTACACTTCCACCAATAAAGATGCACAGAAAACTATACCGTTGTTGCTACCTGTAAATACATGTTATGAAATCAATTGTTTCTAATGTGTGCTATTACTATTCTTATTCCAGCTAAAGAGCTTGATAGATCATTCCCCCCGAACTATTATAGCTTCTTGGACTCTGGGATCATGTCCAGATAATACAATTAACTGTCTCCCTTCAGTGTGCAAAGGGATTTTCAAGGATGAAGATTAAAGTACTAAAAACTAGTAGGCACTGATCATATTCTGGACGTTGGAGCAGGTCCATGCATCCGCAGTCAATGAACCCCTCCGAGTCTGCGCAGTGCTGCGGTCCGATAACAACAAGGTCACGACTCCAGCCGGTAATGTCACACCGGCTATTTATAAAACACTGTACAACAAACCAACACGGACTGACGGACACATACAGGCGTGCAGCATCAAGATGCCGCTGGATATTATTCATCTCGGTGATACGGGAATCTGCAAAGCTAATGTGCACGTTTGTGGTTGGACTCAAAATTCCATTCAAAAGAGCGGCTATTTAATGTGGACTCGGCTACTGGCACACCGTTATTCACCATCAAATATCATACTAGACACCAAGTTAATGGTAAGTAACCTCCTAATAATTCGGCATGCCCACACGTTCCCTCAAGAGCCTTGTTCTAATAACACAACGCAACTTGTGGGTCGTTTGGTGCTTCATGCTTCTGCACCGTCCCGTAGTGGGCGGTGCCCGTAAGAGCAAAGTAATGCGAAGCGGAGGCTATTTAATGAATCATAGTCGAAAAGAAACGCTTTTCATGTTGTGCAAAATAGTAAATTGCTATGAACATTAGTTGTCTATAAACAACAGAAGGATGTCGAATTACAAAGCGCAAGGTAGCCGTCGTGAACGTGTAGGTTGATAGTGTAACTAACGTTATGACAGCCAGCTAACGTCAAACTTACACCAGCTACCGTTAGCTAACATGCTAAGTCTCTGCTAGCTCCAGCTGGTATCCAACTTGTATAAACTCAATAATACGACCATCTTGCACAAGAATCCAAACAACAGTTCGGATATATATTGTATCTCACCTGTCGGTTGTGTCTTGGTTGGGTCACAGCAACAGGAGGACAGCTTCGAGTGGGACAGCTCTGTCTTTCTTGTATGGACAGTGAGTGAACGAAGGGGGCGTGGCCTGCAGGCCGGCTGTCTTTACCGTAACTACCAAAGTAAAATGGTCTGAATACAATTTCATGTATTTTTTTTAAGCAAAGAAATGTGTTCACTGATCACTTAATATACGTGAGAATTGCATACATGGCTACAGAAAGCTGTAGCTTCAGTCAGTCTTTTATTTTGCTTTATGTGCACTTCAGCGGGCACTTGTATGTAGACCTTTTTTAGTGGATATAGTCTACTCTGCAGGATTGCGACAGTGTGTGTGTCTGTGTTTTATCCCCCCACAAAAAATTTAATATTGTGCATTTACACCAGTAGGATATTACTGCCTAAATACACACTGTATTGCATAATTTTTGTTGCGCGAGCTTCACCAGACACACACACGCTGCACGTAGGCACACACACAGACACAGTAGTTACATAAGGTGGCACTGCAGTGCAGCTGCTGGGCAGACAAGGTCTGCACCACAAGAGAAATGGCTAGCAACGCAATGTCCAGATTAGGTCATACATTGACATGGATGGAGTCAATGCAAATATCATATGAAAATATGGAATGGGCTCTTTTATTTGAATAGAGTTTATACAACTTTTTCTTGGAAATTACTTACCACCCCTGTTCATTAGAAATATAGGGACACAATGAATTAACAAAGTGTAACTCAAAAAACTTTACACAAGTATTACATTTGACTGTATATTCTGTGTTCAGGGGAAAACAAATGGGAAAGCCATTTGTGTGATTATGTTACTCACTACAAATGTGATTTGATCAAAACCTGTTTGCGGTCTCATCAATATATACATCATAAAATGAGTGTGCATTTTATACCAACAAATATTGTTTTAACATTTTTTTGCTTTCATAGTCAGTGAGGCAAAAAATCTTATTGAATTCCCTCTGTACTTGAAAACATTGAAATTCTACTTAAACCCCTAAAATCTTCCCCTAAAATTTTATTGCAACCATTGAACAAATGTAACCATATTTTAATTGCGGAGGACTGACCTAATAACAGAGATGCTATAAAGGGTCCTGGTGGTGACTTGTCAATCCAAAACATCCATGCTTTAAGCATACCCTAATTTGCAAACTCACACTGTTTACTGAGAGACGTAGAGTCATTTTCTGATATATTTTATATATTCAGACTTATAGATGCAGAGTTGCACCCATTTGAACCATTTGAAATGATTAAAGTTCAAGGTTGCTTCAAAAAGTTTTATGATCTGTTGTTTCATTGACGGTCTCGTTAAAATTATTGAGATTTTTAAGGGCTGCTTAACCAAAAAAACTGCTGGAATCATTTGCAAACAACTCCTTGAGATCAGAGCTGCGCTGCGCATCAACTTTGGAATAGCAACCATATTTTGGAATAACAGGTCATGTGACAAGCTGGGGACAAACATCAGACATTTTACAAACACAATGATAAAAAATAACTATAACAGCTGTAAAACAGTTCCTATTTTTTGTGTCACAAACACTGTCACTTTATACTTTGAATTATCATAATTTGACCTAACAACTAAACCGCTCTGAAGAGCCGCGTGAGGAGTCAGTAGGGTTCAGCCAATGGGAGATTAATGCTCTAGAGCTGGAGGCCCCTCACAATCACCTGTGGACGTTTGACAGAGAGGTCGGAGCGGACGCATGCAATGGCACAGTGGTCACTCAAATCAGTAGTTTGGTGGAGTGTTGGTGAGAATAATATCGATCAGTGTGGCAGATGACGGAAATTTCAAATTATGTCTAGTTGGCTCAGATACAAGTTGAAAGAGGTTTAAAGCGTCATACTGCTGTGTAACTGCAAAGTACATTGCGAAAAATCCGAATATTTTCCAAAACCAAAGACTCTGCCGAACCGTGTACCTTCAGCCTTTTCTGAGAAGCTCGTCACCTGATTTGCATTCGTCGCTATGGAGTGAGAGTTGGACCTTACTTCACTCATGGGGTTTCTGGCCAAAAGTATCAACCAAATATATCCAATACCGGTCTGCGTATATTTTCCAGTGTGAGAGTAGCTGCTCATTACAATGCATCTTGGGTGAAGCTGCCTTGACCACTCATCCATCTGCATGGTGTTACTCTCCACCTGCCTCAGTCAGACACCTTCTCCTGTACCACCTACTACATCACCTGCCATCCTGCCTGGTTCTGTGAGTGTTATATATATATATATATATATATATATATATTTTTTAATATAAAAAGAGTGAAACAAGAGTCCAACAAGACTCCATCTCCCTATTATACACCTTCAGTGCTTCTTCCTGTCCATGACCACCATGGGCCCAGACAAAATGGTTTGACCTTTAATGGTTTCATTTATTGGTAAATATTTAGTTACAGATCCTAAATTAATTATTTTAAATTCAACGGATTCTCACTACGTTCAAATTGAGCAAAACAATCTTGCTGTCAAGCTCGTCAAATACGGTTAGTGGCCCTACCCAACACACTATGAAACTTTACCTGACTCCCAAGGTTTTTTTGGTCACAATACAACATTGAAACACACTGTTAACAACTGTATAACCAACTACCCTTCATCATGACCCAAAAATAAATTAATATTCATCCTTAAATCCTTCTTCATTCTTTAACCTTGAAGGAGCTGACGTGAAAGACAAGCTGATCTTCTCTTGCATTTCCCTCCCAAAAATTACAACCCAGAAAAAATATCAGACATCATGCATCATGCTCAAAATATCACACAACACGGTGAAGAACATTCCCTTTTGCCATATAGATCGTCTGGCAGGAAAGCACAAAAGTACCTCATTGCCACATTTGAACACTGACAGAATGAATTTGTCCAGCTTTAGGAAAACAAACTCACTGGACCAGACTAGCGATTCAATGATCAGGGGAGATTCAGACGGAAGGTTATATTTCCCATTAAATGGCAGCTAATCAAAGAAGACAAATACATATTGAATAGGGAGATGGCCCCTATTGCCACCTGGTTCATGGAGTGAAAACATACTAGGGGTTAAGGTTCTAATATGGGCAGGTCCCAGACAGGACAATGCTACAGAGACCAAATAAACCCAAAGGGGCCCCACCATAGAGCATAATGCTATGTCCATGTGTGTGTGTGAGTCCTAGGTGCTGCTCCCCGGTGAGTGATTGAGGGCACCTGGATGAAGGTGTGGCCTTCACCTATATAAGCGCCTGCTTGCTCCGCCCTCGCTCTCTCTCCTCTGCCTGCCAGCAGACCCTGGTCTCAGGGTTCGAGTTGCACCTTATGCTGGTCCTGTGTCACAATAAACTGTCCCCTTTGGGGTTTTGCCTCTACCATGACGTTGTTGTTCCCCCTTATGTTGCGGCTTCCCAGCCGGTTGTAACAAAAGACATATTTTTACAGTACTGCTGTTATATTCATATATTACCAGCAGAGAGCATTGTTGCCTCAGTTATTGATTATTTTGTCGTGTGTGTTTGTTATTGTGCAGCACGCAGGTATCCGTCCGTCCCTGTGCTGCTGTGTTCTTGTGTTCTCTTGGATTCAATGATGGAGACCATCACCTGACTCACACAGGTAATGATCCTGCTTCTTCTGTTGTTTGTTTGACCAGCAGCATCGTTGACGAATCAGAACACAGTCGCTAGGTAGGCATGAGCCTCCGTATTCTGGAAGTGGATCAGTGTCATTGCTAACTGACACATAGTCATCATTAGGTGTTTGGTGCTTTTGGAGCTTCTTGTCTCTTGTTAGGGGTCCGGTTAGTATTTTGCGTCTTCCTCTGGTCAAATGCTGGAAGTCACAATCTTTTAATCCACGCCAGCTGATTCCCTGTTTTCAGACTTCATGCTAAGCTATTTCCCAGTATGTTATCGATTGCTTTTAATGTCACTACAGAGAACTTTAAACAGGTTATGAAACAATTAAAAACAGATCCAAAAAAACTGCATGAACAAATAAAGGAGTATTAACAAGCATATTGGCTTTAATGTCTTTCAGGGGATTCACCACAAAATCACACAAAATTATTTCCTGCACGCAAGTTTACCAAAAACTCCTGCTGGGCCTCCGGCAGCGCCCCCGTGTGGACGGACATCTATACGGCAGCACTGTGAGGGAGGTGGGGAGCAGGGCTCCTCTGCTCACAGGACCTTTATTTAATGGAGAATGGTTGAAACATCTGTGTGGCCTTTGCCTTTAATGGGACCTTTTCTGGTTAAATACTGGACTTTGTATGTTACTTATACCTTTCTATTCGTTTCAGGGGTCGTTGTAAAGTCTCTCTCTTGGCTAAAAAACTATCAATGTGGTTTATGAGGCAGTATTATAAGAATGCAATTGTGAATGATGAAATCTTGTGTCTACACATATTTAGTATTCGTCTTTAGTATTCTATGTTAAAAGGGTTAGAAATTCTGAACACTAGTCGGCGCTGTTCGGCATCTGGAGGTGAGAGGGTATAAAGTGAGGGAGAGAAGAGGGTAAAATGATGTTAATGCTACACTATTATTCCACATGTATTGTTCAGTTTATATAACATTCAAAATGACACCAGACCTTGGCATTACTTTAACAGTAAAAATAATTCCTTATTTTACAGAAGAGACAATTAAATCTATCATACAGCAGTTCACACTCAGCCAAACAGCAGCTACACTAGAGGCAGACTCAGTAGGATAAGTCTAATTCTAATATAGATATAAGTATACAGTACATGTAGTATTACCCGGCACTTACATGAATGTAAAGTTCTGTTGTTCAATAAACATTAACTATAAATGATCATACGACATTTATGCTCATTTATTTAAGGATCATTCATCTATTTGTTTGTTTTACTATTATGTGACCAGTGTCCCGAGGCTTGTGTTGTCATTCTGAATTATTAAGTGACATCACATTGCACTGTGCAGCAGTAACATTGTTAACTCAACATAACGTGTGAATCAGTGTGTCATCACAAACCGCAGGTTCTCCACGCTGCAGACGTCACACGCACACAATATCTCAATAAAGCAACATCGATTGCAGGAAGAGAGCGAGCGTGTAGGAGGTTATCAAGTGTTTCTGTGCAAAGAGAATAAATGCAACAGCCCACTAATCCCCCGAAAGGTTGGATAAGACGGTCGCAGATGACAGATGTGCTTTCCTCATGTGTGTGTGTGTGTGTGTGTGTGTGTGCGTGAGAGAGCGATGTACTGTGTTTTCCTGCCTCCGTCCTATAATAAGTGTGTCAGTGCGAGATTGTGAGGCTGAACATTTGTGTGTTGCAAATGCCGCTAAAGCTGCTGTTTTGTGATTGGCTGCTGCCCACACACACACACTCAATATGCACCCCGCTGGCCCTGAGATGTGAGAGAGGGAGGGAGAGAGGGTGATGTAAAGGGTAAAGACAGCAGTAATATAAGAGAGGAGAGAGCTACAACGCTGTAGGAGGAGAACGCGAGCTCCCAGTGATCCCAGTGATCCCAGTGATCCCAGTGGACGTCACACCAGCTGAACCGCTGGAGCAGCAGGTAAGACGCTACCGCTCTCCTCCTGCTTTCAGTGCTTAGGCTCAACTTTAACGCTTTCCTGAGGCCTCTGAAGCACATTAAACGGAATAGGAATGAAAAAGTGATCTCTTGTGTTGTGTGGCTCAGCGGTGGAGTTATGGTGTCTGGCTGAATGCAACAATAACACAATCTGTTGTGTATTTGATGAAGGTAATGGAATTCTCATCAAGTTGTTCATTATGGAAAAGTCTTCATATGTTTGTCTAACCTAAACCCAACACACATTAAGGACAAAACTACTGACAGCTGCAGTTCGTCCTCTGCTGTTACTACTACTCGCTGTCTGTCATGTTGAAGCTCGTCCCGTCCTCAAACTTCTGACCCACCTGAGAAACAACTTCATTTAACAACAGTTGGAGTTTTCAGTCCGTCAAAACCGAGAAAAGGTTTCTCTCTAGATTCCTTGTTGCCGTTTTGATTAATAATCCTTATTAAAGATGTACAGAATGACGTTCCCACACGCCTAAATTGCTTCCATATATATTTATATATTATTATTATTATTAATATATATTATATATTTAATATGTGTATATGTATTATATTGTAAAACGATTAAACATCACAATTATTCACACATTTGCAAAATTCAATAATGAATTGCAAAGTAGTACATTGCACACTTTTACTATAAACACTATAAACAAACACGATGTTTTTAACAGTAGTGTTCCCTTTACACAATAGCAGCTGAAATATGTATTGTGAATCTCAAATTAGCCATGAATCAAATATGAAACCACAGCTATTTGCCACTGCCGGGTATTCATGTGTTATCTAGACTGAAAACAAGTTAAACACATTGTAACAGGCAAGTGTACATTTTCATTTACGTATTTATTTATAACAGGTACCAGCACAAACATGTTTCTTTGATTAGGAAGCAGCATGAACAGTCTATCCATTAATCAATAATCGCTTCGTCTATCAATAATGTTCAGTAGCGTGTGTTCCTGTCAGAGTGAGGCGGTCCAGCACTAAGGACACAGCTGGGACTCACTGTGCTTTGGACATTGTTCAGTCCAGAATGCATCGTGGGAAAGACTTTCCAGAACACGCTGAAGGACGGACAAGCAGAGACGCGTGATCATGTTGATGGGTTCAGCCAGCCGTGACACGTTGTATTGTCTACGTCTATGGTTGATTACTATTATATTTATTAATGCAAAACATCCGAATATTATGAAGAAGTGAGTTTGCTCCATTATGACAAGATGACAGCATGTGATACAAAGTAGGATGTCGTTTATCTCCAAACCCGAGGCGTAAAAACATGCATTATGTTGCCCCATATGTGGATTGATCCGTGAGTGTGCAATACAGGACACACTGTTGAGGTTCTGAGTTAAAGAGTGTGTGTGTGTGTGTGTGTGTGTGTGTCTGGCATGGCGCACAGTGTCATCTGACTGTGACCTTGTATTTCATCTACTAGTCAAGCGAAAAGCATGTAATGATTTACACTGTAGGACAAATCCAATAGAGGCATTTGGACACGTCACATAAAAGTAGGATTACAACCACATATGGCTGATTAAAAAGGGAATCCCATCAAGTCAGTGATCTCCGATAGGACATGATGCGTGGACACACACTGGTCATAGCATATAGCGCGTATTTGGATTATGTTATATATATTTTCATTTATTTCTTTAAATCTCTATGCACCCGTTGTTGTTTTTTCTCTTCTTCTTCCCTTTTCAGACCTCAGTTATAAATCTATTCTCACTTTAACTAACTTTCTTATCTGTCTTTCAGTAGAAAGTACTTTCATAGCAACCATCAACAATAGAACTTGCCTTACGTTTTGAATCACTCGTCTCCACGTGCATCGTCTCAATGAATAAATCAAAGGATTCAGTGACACAATGAGCTGGATGCACTAGCTTCATTATTCAGGGTCATCAGTAAGATGCTTCCACATGATGCCACCCTGCACTGTAGCATGTAGCATTACTGTCATATATAAAATAAAGGTTAATCATTCTTTAAGCGTTAGCAGCAGATTGTCATCAGATTAAAAGTCATTACATCAAGAATCCTGATTGGTTTGATTTGATTTCCCAACTGACGGGCAAATCTGTGGTTTGCTTCCCACAAGTGACGTCTCCCTCTCGTCCTGTTCATCCATCTGTCTGTCTGAATCCCTCTCTAATCTGTAGGCCTCGTGCAGGGTGACTGTGTGTGTGTGTGTGTGTGTGCTGCCAGATGTGATCTGCTGCACAGTCACTGGAACCTTCCCTCACTCGCACAGACACACAAATGACATAACAGTCAGTCGATGTTTGACATCCTGAGTCAAACTATGTACGTAGTGAGCTTGAATATCATCCCACCAGGCAGAGACATCTTTCAGTTTAGGCAACCATTTCATTTGGATTTGGAAAGAAGAAATCCTAGTTTGGGGTGATAAATAATAAACAAAAGTATCTTTGGTACATCACGTGACTAAACAAGTTCTTAGACATAAGTCAGAGATCCACGTTTCCTTGCTTGACCCACTTCACTCCTGGACTTTGGTTACAACGCAGTTCTTTTAATCTGTTTTATAATGTTTGTGTCTACCACAACAAAGGACCTCTGTTGACTTTCCATCGGATCTTCTCTGATGAATTCTGTGTTATGGAAACGTTTGTGTTCCTGACCTTAGTTTGGACATCAAACTAGACGGTTCAAGACACAACCGGAAGTAAAACACATGTTTTTTCATCTTAGTGTTTCCAAACTAATGAAGAGACCCGAACGTACGGTAGTCGGCACGACAGACAAATGGCTATTGGATCCTGTTTGACCCGTGTGGTGCATTTTACATCGTTGCATAACTGTCAAAAACATGATCCCCTAAGTTCTATTCTGTTGGGAAAAGACCGCTGCAGATTTTAGGGAATCGACTCTTCCACTAAGAAGCTGCGTAGTTCTGATGCAACGTGAGACGCAAGTCAGTGACGTCAGTCTGCAGCGGAGAAACTACAGTGTCTCCAAAGACGGACCACAAAGAAGCATCTTAGACGCCTTCATGAGTTCTTACAGAGCTGAGTCATGCAGACGACACAAACGACCAGGTTTCAAGTATTACTTTATTATAAATGAGTTATTCATAAGGGTTACTCACATGATCTGCGTTTCTCAGTCATGATTGTTATTTCTTGTGAAGGGCCGAATAATACGTTACTATTTAAATATTGCCGCAGAAAGCAATTTGTGGGATGGAATAATCTCCTTTCCTTTTTGGATGGATGGTCCAGTGGTTCCTACGCTAAAGTAGCCTCCTTTCCTCAGTATATATCAAACAGCTCTTATCGTGGCGGCCACAATGAGCCTTCCGGGTCATTTCACTCGGTTAGGAACCTTCCAAAGCAAATTCGACAATTCAAATCGAGCGAATATGTACGTTTCAATCCAGAATGTAGGCATCCTACAACGGGTCACATCCCGGCCTTGGCCCAAGTCAAGGTGTTGTTGGTTAGACCACATTGTGTGGGTAGAGAAACAGATGATAACAAATTTAGGACATAGTAGGACTTTATTTTACATGCAAGATCATCTTTTACTATTAACCTGCGTCATGTGGGTAATTCATGGATCAATGAAACTGGACATACTTTTTCCAAAATACGGTCCCATCGGCGACACCGGAAGGGGCGGAACCCTCCCTGTCTATTCCTGAAATACTGGTAAATTTAGTGAACGTTACATCTCCAGAGAGAGAGAGAGAGGTGGGGGGGAGAGAGAGAGAGAGAGAGAGAGAGAGAGAGAGAGAGAGAGAGAGAGAGAGAGAGAGAGAGAGAGAGAGAGAGAGGTGGGGGGAGAGAGAGAGAGAGATGAACACCAGTCTGCCAATACAGATTTATCTCTCTCTCTCTCCCCCCCCCCCCCCGCCCTCACACGCGTTGCATGCGTCCGTCCCCGCGCCGGCGGGCGGCCGCCTGGCTGCTGGCGCTGCCGTCGGGGCGCGGCGGGGAGGAGTGCGCGCGGCGCGGCCGCCTGGAGATGATCTCGTTCTGGCTGCTGTGCTGGAAGCTGCTGGTAGGTGAACGACGCGCGACGTCTTTCGCACGCGCCGCCCGCGCGCCTTCTCCTCTCTAGATCAGGGAGCGCGCGCGCGCGCGACGGCCGTGGCTTTAAGCCGCAGCTGCAATCGGATCCCGGTGTTTTTGGCGTCCGCGTACGGTTTCGGTGCGGTGCCGCTCTTAGGATGCTGCCTTATATAACACAGTCAGCTGAGAGGCGAACGCGTTGCGGGGACTAGAATGGTGAGAACGGAACCGCGATGGATGAATATGGAGGGGAATAGAACAAAATGAAAAACGAGCTTTCAGCATGCGCACCTTCTTCCACACATGCTGCGTAAAGCTGTGATCCTCCATCACAGGAGGCCTCTCCCGTCTCCAGCTGTTCATGGGGGCCAGCAGGAGCTCTGATGCTGGATGTTGGTTCACTTTACAGGCAGTTGTTCAGTGCATGAACTTGATTTCATATGTGTATTTAACTCAAAGAGAAGTTGTGTCGTCATAGAGGTCCAAGGTCAAACAGGAATTAGATTATGAGCTGCTGAGCAACTAAAACTCTGCATCCTTCCCCCACTCGTTGAGACTTCTGTGAAGAAGTGGCTATAATTAGAATAAATTGACTGAAGACAGAAGCATCTATGTCACTAATCCTCCCGGGGAATGTTTGACGCTCTCAATATCTGCTCGTCAGCACTGGAGCTTTCATCCGTGTGTAACGTTAAACTGTGCTGTGGTGTCTGAACATGCAGATGATTATTATTTAGTGTTATAATGAGCAATGGAGACCAATTTCAGGGGCATATTGTGGCGGTCATATGAGAGGGAGGAATATAAGTCTGTGTCATTTAGGATGCCACAAGTGTTCAATAAATGGGCATAATAAACTTTAAATGGAATACCTATTGAGCTGAGTTCAGGGTGTGTGTGTGTGTGTGCGTGTGTGTGTGTGTCACTGAAGCAGAGGCGTTAGCAATCTTTTCAAAGAGGCTCAAATTTAGTGTTTAAGTTTAAGACGGCACATTTTATGGGTCTTGTGTTTATTAATATTTTTAGGTTAGCAAGCATATACAGCAATTTTACAATATTATCTGTTGGTAGTTTTTAAACTTTCTCAATAAAAGTATATTTAATGCAGCTAAAGACGTCCATGTAAGATACAATTGTTTGTCGACACATTGTGATATAGAATTCTGTCATCTAAATTGTTAATAACATAACAAGTCAGATAAAACTCACTTAAATAAAACAATTTCCTTAATCTGATGCTTTTGGTCACACGGATGTTGGTGCACAGCTGGCGATATTCATTTATGTTTTTCTCTCTGTGATTTTTACTAGAAACTGTTATCATGTGATTATTCCTAGATAATTGATCTATTGACCGATATATTGATATCGAGATGTGAAATGACATCCATCTGAATGGAATTCTTAGTGACATGTATTCGCCTTTAGCAGCTTGCCTGCCTCTGCAGCTACACTTGGTGTTACCATGGCAGCAGCTCTCGCCTGCCACCAGCACATGCCTGGAACAACAGACCATAATAATCTACCTACCCACTCACAGCCAACGCGATGCCACCATGGTAACAACACGAAGGCTTGAGTTTTTATACGCACTTCAGTCGCGTGTTTATTGTATGTCATTTCATCTAAAGGGTCATACAGTTGTTTGTGTTGTTTCTGTCAGCGCTTTATTGATTTACAAAAAAGGTTCTTATTGCTGTTTCCACTCAGAGGAACACATTGCCACTTAAATGAGATTAGCTTGTCTACTTTAAAAGTCCGTCCACGACAAGTGAGCCAGAAGATGATGCTAACTTCAGGGCTAAACCCCTTAGCTTCCACCAGAAGGTGGAAGGCAAGTGTTAGTGTTGTTTAAAATCAATATAAAAGTGTTTGTGTCCACAGAGAGCAACAGCTGGGCTAAGGCGGACGCCAGCTGAGCTAACGGATGGTAACCCCGACAACGATAACTATAACGACTCCGCCCGTCCAGGACAGTCATCAGATCCAGTTACCATGGAGAGCAGTTCATCTCCACCGGCAACACACACGGATAGTGAAAACTCGGGGCAAAGCCTTTGGGGCGACCAGGAAGCGGAGGAGCACCATTACACAGAGGTCCATGGGCTGAAGCAGCCAATCGGGGACGAGCAGGACGAAGAAGAGGCTGCAGGGAAAGAAAATGTCGTCAGGGATGCAGATGAGTGTGATTACCTTGTGTTTGCAATCGGAGAGCGAAATGGGAATGATAAAGGAGATGAAAGTGGACAGGACACGGGTAGAGGAGGAGATAAGGTAGAAGATGGAGAAAGAGGGGAAACAGAAGGAAAGGAAGAAGGAAGTGGAGCTACAGTGAGGGAAGATGGAGGAAGAGGAGGTGAAAAAGAAGAGGATGAATGCATAGGAGAGACAGTGGGCGAGATGAGTAATGATGCTCCGTCAAAGCTCCTCCTCATCTCTTGCAGCCCGGAGCGTCTTTCATCATCAGAGCCCCTGATGGTCCCCTCATGTCCCTCAGAGCAGCCCATGGAGGCCATGTTGCAAGAGGCCTTAGGTCACAACATTGGCGAAAGAGATGACCTCAGTGACGTCCAGCACACAGGCTTCCCCCAAGCTGAGGTGGCTAGTGTGTACTCGGACAGCGACGCAGGGGACGGCCAGTGGGCTAGCTTTGCACGCTGTGATGTCACCAACCAGGAAGAAGCAGGCGGAGGAATTCACAATACCACCTGTGAAGGAGAGAGCAAGGAAGAGGAGGGAGGAGGAGCCGATAAGGGGAGAGCCGAAGAACAGTTTGAGGCAGAAGAAGCGAGTGAAACACAGGACCAAAGGGAGGAGGAGGAGGAGGAGGAGGAGGGGAGCAGACACGTGGATGATGAAGAGCAGATGACGTCCAGGAGAGATCTATTTCCACGCACACCTTCTGTCAGCTCCACGGGCAGCTCCACAGAGCCTGACAGAAAGGTAGGACGTCACCTCTTTCATTAACACAGAGGCCATGATCTTATCCGTCATGCCTTGTCCATTAGCTATTGTATATATATATATATATATATATATATATATATCTATTACCAGTGTGACCTGTATGTGGAGTTGGCAATACGTGGATATGAATATGATATTATTATATATACAATTTAAAAATCAGTGTGTTTTTTTCTTTTCTTTTTTTGCACTTCAGTTCTTAAATGAATTAGGTTGAATACCTGTGCCCTGAGAGACGGGTGGATTAAATGTAAGCCTTCGCCTGTGAAATGAAACAAATGGCGTCTCAGTTCTTTACCTCGTGTAGTGAGCTGCTGCCCCTTGTGGCCACCGGGGACAACGTCTGATAACGGACCACATGATGCTACACACACATCAGCAGCATATATGAATCCTCCAATATTTGCTTTGTATTTTCAGATTCTCCTTTTCCCCGTGAACATCTATAGCGCACCTGATAAAACAATCAGCCGTTCTGCGTGAATATTCAAATGATCTTCTGTACTGACGTAATGCGCCGCTGCTCCTCACTCAGGCTCCCGTGGATCTCTGTGTCCAAGAAGAGGCCCACAGTGGAAACGTCTCCACTGAGCATGTGGACTTTCTGTTGGCCCGACAGCAGTGGAGGAAGATGGAGGAGGAGGTCAAAGGTCAGCCAATCCCCAAACCAGGCCTCAGAGCTCAGGGGAGCTTCCAGGGCACCCACAGCTCCCTGTACCCGCCCACTCGCAGCCCCCGACTCAAACACAGGTGGGAAACACGGCAGCCGGTCTATTTTCATACTGCAGTGGTTCCCCTCAGGCGGGGGCAGCGGCCTGTTTTCCTCGTTAGATGTTAGGAGGCTCTTATTCACCTTGTGTGATAGTATATGGGGGTCTTTGCAGAAGCGACCACATTCTGTATCTACTCATGAAGAGCAATGCTGATATCATTGAAGTGCTGGAATAAGTGGATAAATATTTAAATGAGAGACGCAGTGGAGAAATGTTGGTATGTTTAACAAGGACATTTTGAATTGTCCTTAAACTTTTTTCTTAACTTAAGTTGGGTTTCCTCCTGTCCTCTCAAAGGGAGATCCATCCTGCAGCGGCCATGGAGCCCACGCTGTCCTCCACCCTGTCCTCCACCCTGTCCCCCGGCTCGGAGGACTCGGGCCTGGAGGAGCCGGAGAGTGCAGTGGAGAGAGAGATCCGCCGGACTCTGGAGAGGGAGGAATGCCACCGGAGAGAGAGGGGGGGGGTCACACAGGGCCTCACCGTACCCAGGTACGGCAACACGAACAGGGCTTTCACAAACACAATTATATATAATGTTATATATAATATAATATTCGCCATGTACGCTTATACATACGTGGAATATGACACAATACATGTACATACAATCGATCTGGAATGAGTGCAGGTGGTGGTAGTAGTGCGAGGTGGGGTCTGACGGCCTGAGGGAAGGGGCTCTTCCTGACGCTGGTGAGCGCTCTGTAGGTTGTGTCCAGGGTGTGAAGCTTCAGCATGACCATAAATGCCCCATGAAACCTGGAACAGGTTGAGTTGGAGCGGCTTGGAGAGGTTTTCTACTACACTCATAGTCCCGAGTAGTACCGAGCAGCATTCCTTTGTCTGCCTTTGAGGGTTCAGTACAGCTTTTTTCTGTGATCGGGTACTGAGCCAAACGGACCTTGTTTCACATGCTTCTCTTTCTGCTATTCTGTTGCAGAGCCTCCACCGGGCAGAGCGGACGATCTCCCCCCAGACCTCCAGCGTGCCGCACCCCTACACTGTCCATCTCCCCTTCTCCTTCCTCTTCTCTTCCCCGATCTGTCTACCATGAGATGACGGCCAATAATGTCATTATCCTGGAGCCCGGCTGCTCCGGCTCCACCTCCAGAAACCTCTTACTCTCCTCCGCCACCGATTGGCCGCTTAGCCAGGATGCTGTGCCCTCCGCCAACGTCATCGTCGTTGAGACCTCTAACGTGATCATTCGCAGCGCATCCGAATTCTGTCTAAGCTCCGCCCCCGTGTCCGCGGAGACCCAGGAGAGCACCTTCTCGTCCAATCCGTTCTTTAAGCTACGCTCCATCAGCAGCCAATCGCTGGTGGAGCGGGAGATCCGCATGGTGAGGCAGAGGGAGGAGGAATGGAGGAGGCAGCGGGAGGAGATGTGGAGGAGGAGGAGGGAGGAGGAGTGGAGGAGAGGGAGAGAGAGGTACGACACCGTGCTGGTGTCTCCTGGCCTGAGCGATAACATCAGCTACAACGGTACGCATACGAGGGATCAGGAACGTCCTACAAACATCTACTGTTACGGTCAATGGCGTCAGAGTCTAATAACAGTTTAACACAAGTCAATACTGAATATGTAGCAGGACATTACAATGTAATAAGAGCATTTTCTTCCCTTGGTATTTATTCCAGTGCCAGAGGTCCTAGATAGATGTGTGTCCTCTCCTTCGTCCCCCTCCAGGACCCGCAAAATGGAAAGATCCAGCATGTCTTGTGACCACAAGGTTTGCTTACACACACACACGCACATACACACACGCACACAAACACCACCTGCTGAAAAACAGTCTGCATCGATCTATTGATTTGATATATTGATATTTGATATTGGTGATGATGGTACACGGTACACACTGTACTTGTACTACAGTACACGCACATACAGTACACCAGTGAGGTCCCCAATGCACTATAATGACGATGTGTTTCATGTGTCAGTACATAGCATGACATTTTTTCAATTTCTCTGATGGATAATTGATTTCTTCCTCCACTCTTTCATTCATTTGTTACGTTTATTAATTGTGAACTTTGATTTGTTAATCAGTTGGACTGATTAATGATGAAATCCTTTACATTTTAACAAACACATTCTTTCATCATTCATTTTGTCGTCTAACCATCACTTGCATTTGTGCGTCTAACGATTCCTCCAACCATCCCGTCCTTTGTTTATTCACTTGGCTCCATCCATCCTATAATCCATCCACTCATCATGCTCCAGTGGTTCAGCTGAATCTTCCCCTCCCTCCAGTTCCCCTCATCCCTCTCTCTGACGCCGAAGCGACCGAACGCCATGGCGCAGCGATGGGAGGCCTCCCTATTAGCCAATCAGAAGAAGGAGTGACCATTTCAAAGCCCACAATGAGATCCGACGCCTCCGTTCCTTCCTGCTTCTCTCCAGAAAAGTCACACGGTGTACTGTAAGGTCTTTGAAAAGGTGTGGCTTGAACCCGTGGGTCACAGATGTGCTGTCTGCGGGACGTCCTGTGAGAAGAGGACTGGTCCTGTCCAACAGCTTTGTTTCAAAGAGTAAGGTTTGGCTTTCCTTAATGCTTGAACGTCTGAAAAGGTCCTGCTTTCAAACTCAAACTGGTCTGCTGCATGATCTGTGAAACATTGGGGCACAATGCCACACGTAGGACATTGTTTATTATAGATAATAACTTCATTGACTCATTCACAATACTAACCGCAGTCATAGTACCACCACTGTTTTTGACATGTCATGCAGACTTCTATGTAAACTTTAGAAACACAATATTTATTATTACCAGTAACACAATTTGATTTCGAGCTATTTATAAATGATGGCAAACAGATATGCATTGAGTTGTATGACTATGAAAAAGGTCTTGGCAGTTGCATTTTAATTTTAGATAAAGTATGAATTTAGTCCCTATATTTTTGATGTGATGAACATATACAGCGTATATTTTACCGTATTGTAGCTGCGTAGGGGTTTGAGAAGTGACATTCAAAAATGATTTAGCATGTTCTTTACAAATGACAATTCATAGCATTTAAGTGCCAACTCAGACTGAAAAAATCACTGCCTTAAGCCGCTGAGAACAGCACACACACACACACACACACACACACACACACAGAAAGACAAAAAATGAATCCATCATCCATTTCGCACATCATCTCTTTTCCACAAAGGCAAAACACGTATTCAAGTATAAAAAAACTGTCCTATTTTATGGAAAATCATTTTTTATGGAAATGTAAGAATGGAAACTGGCACATTCTTTCCCCTTGTTATGACCCGCCCTACTCCGCCTCTGATTGGCTGCTCATCGTGGCCTTTGGTTTGGTTGTGAGATGATGAAAAACGGTAGAGCCACAGGGACGGAGCCGGTGGCTCAATTAGCTTACAGCTAACGGAGGTATAGTTACTTTGTTACTTTAGCGGTATTTCAAAATTATATAATTAACTCGAGTATTCACATGGCTTTAAAAAAAGCTGTCAATTCCACATTTGTAGCCCAAAGGTTTTATGCGTGGAGCACACTGTTGTTATTGCTATATAACTGTCCGTGGCTGTGATGTTCAAGCAATATAACTGAAGCACTTCTAAAACAGAGATTCTAATCCAGTCTAGTGAAGACTTTTACATATTTTATGTCATGTTTTGATTCCTAAAAAGAGAATTGTTTTATTGAATTTGTGCTGCATATATTTATTGAATCGGGACAAGCTTATGAATCCTTAAAGCTTTTATTTCTAAAAGGTTCATAATATATTGTGTCAGAATGGCTGCATGAATTGAAGGTCTGCGATGTTTTTTAGATGGATCTTTTCTGTGGAGTGTGTGTGCGTGATAATAATAATAATCCATCCTCAATACATCGTACATAAATAGAAATCCTTCCTCCTTATTTTGTAGCTCCAGAAGGAGCTCACTGGGTTCCTGATGAACTCAACTGTCTATTACAGGTGCATTCAAGTCAACTCAGAAATAAGAGACTTCACCTGCCAGGTTGCGAATAATACCAGGCGAGTAGAATGCTAGTGGGTTTTTATGAATATATTCTGATTGTGCTCTGAGCATCGATGTGATGTAACACTGTGTTAAGGAATAAACTCTCCATCCGCTAATAAAGTGCATTTCAGCTGTGAGTTCCTGTGCAGCCTGAAGATGTGTCCAAACATCTGACGGGGCTACGATCTATACTTTCTGCAATCAATTTGCAGAGGTTTGGATGTTCTTGAAATGTGCTGTATTGCATGTGAAAGAAGTCGGTTACAGTGCGTCCACTCTTCACACTGGCTGTTTCTGCCCCATCTCACCACACCACACCCAGTGGCAATGTGAGGAAACGGAAAAACTATATACTATAATATTGTGTTGGCAGCAGAAGGACATGAGCATCAGTAAATATTGGCTTTGTGTGTTTTCTTGCACACTCGAGTCACGTCAGATGGGGTTGGTACGTTGTTACATTGTTACATCGTTTCGCTATTATTTTCACACAATCCTTGAACTTGTTATTCAAGGCCCATATTTAACATCATTTTGACGTACCATGCCAGCGTTGTTTGCATGTCATGGTGTTGCTGCGTTAGCTTTGCTGTATGAAGGCACAGTAGATATATATATATATATATATATATATATATATATATACCTGGTCTGCATCCAGTTTAGTGGGACAGCTGAACTGATACTTTATAACTGTAGTTTTAAGAAGGATGTGCATTTGTGAATACACTGTGTGACAGAATATTCCGTACGGCTCCTAGAAACAGCTTTTCCTCACGAGCCGAGCATCATTTATTCAGGTTCTGTTCTTTTCTTAGTTTATTTGCCTTGCGCTTCATTCATTTATTGTTGCCAAATGAAAGGTCTTGTGATGACATCTTCAATAAAACGTAACTTCTGAAACCCGCAATGTGGTCACGGCCGGTTTCTCTTTCAGCAACATGTTGGCGGTCAGACACCAACTTCCTGAAGTTCCTGAATGCAACACTTTCTACCCGTCACCATATAGAGATGTGTGAAGCTTAACGGGATCACTTTCCAGCATCTTTATAGAAATGACAAATCATTTGAATACAGAGGCAAAGCATTATTCAGACAGAGAATATCTAGGCTACTCCTTGTTTAAACATATACGTCCATAGGTTGAGGTTTGCTGAAATAGAGACTATAAACATACATGTTCCTTCCAGGTTGAGACGGCATTCATAAGAACGCCACAAATGTTTTTTTAGTTAGATAAATAACTGCATGTATTTCCTTTCACGCATGACCATTGATGAACACCCTGCGTGTAAAGGACGTTGATGTGCTAAGTGGACCCTGGTGACACCGCGAAGAGGCCTGTGAGCTGCTCGCGTCCGCAGGGATGGTGCCATTTGATAAAAGTCTCACACTTAAGTTATATGACCAAAGACTCCCACAAAGGAACCTCTCCTCAGTGTCTTCTTTAGAACACATGCGTGACCAACTCTGCTCCCACAACATGCTCAACGGTGTCTGTGAAGGTCGAACAGAACAGAGGTCACCATGAAGTGGAGGCTCATTGACTCTGGATCCAGTGTTTATTAAGGGATCATCATATAAAACCTACATACTAAATACAGCAGGGGGCAGCAGTGGACGATGATGAGCGAGATGGGGGTGACCCCCTCCTCCTACACTCACATCTGAGCCTGACACACACACACACACACACACACACACACACTGTCAGAGGTGCAGCGTCACACTTTCACTGGCTGAGGAAGTGCTTGGCTCACAGGCATGAAGTGCGAGCCTGTAAAGGTCAGCGGGTCACAAGTCGGACGCCCTACCTGCCCCCGTCCCCCTGTAGAGGCTCAATGGGACGGGGGCAGGCTTAAAGTGTCCCGCCCTCTCAAAGTGCTTTAGCATCAGTCAGCCATTGATGCTCTGAGTCCGTACGCAGCGACTGCTGCTCATCTGGAACCAGCGATCTCTTCATTCTCCTCCTTCATTCTCCTCCACCAGCCGACGCTCTGCAGCTGCATCAAAGGCATCAAACCCCAAAACACACTTTGTGTGTGGAAACTTGCTTGGCAATAAAAGTTTGTATTTTCTAACACGTTTTTCGGGGGTCAGGTGGGGATTCTTAGAAGAAGCGTTATCGTTACACTTATCTGAATGAAACGTAACTGTGCACTCTGCTTTTTATCAAGGAGGAAATACACAAAAACATGCATCTGAATAGAATAACTTGTTGAGCATTTAAGATATTTAATGATTAGGAAACATGGATTCAGATCTCTTTGTTGATTGTTCCTGAGCTACAATGTCATCAGACCTGAAGCTGTCTACACACACACACACACACACACACACACACACACACACACACACACACACACACACACACACACACAGTGATGAGGGTTAGACAAGCAGACACAGAGCAAGCTGTTGGCATTAATGTGTAACAAAAAGGTTTATTAGCATCATGGTTACACGTGTGAGCACGTAATACACATGTATAAAAGACATGTAGAGCATCTATAATTCAAACTTTTAGTTAAACGTTTAAAACAGGGATAATCATCTGCAACTAAAAAGCACTAGCTAGTCAAAATGAATCCGCCTCAGACCACATTCAATGTGCGTGTTTCATTTGACATTGGGTTCAAATCTAGAGTCATCTGATGGAGACCATTGAGTTATAGCATCTATTTAGAAGTACTACTTTGGAACAGTGACCTACAGAAGCAACTATTAAACACACTGAGATAACGTAGCACCTTGTTTGTACCAGCGGAGGAGCGCTAGCGCCCTGCTGATGGTTTAATACGTATAAAGGGTCAGTTAATGAGACATCATCACTTTGATAGCAGAGAATTAAGAGCTTGAGAATGTATTTATGTTTCCAGATAGTTGCTAATCAACATAATGTCCCCATAAAAAGTATTATTGTTGCAGCAGTTTATAAATGACGAATCACCAGTCGTGAGGTCAGCAGACGGTGCAGCTGCTCATTGCGTCGACGTGCATCACTGCATCACCGTCAGCACACGGTGCAGCAGGGTCGGTGTTTGTTTGGCATCTTTCTGACACCTGATCCCACCCGTGTCTCCTTCCACCTGTCTCCCACCCTGTCCACGCGTTCCCCGTTCCCATTGGATGAACCTCCAGTTGGACAGCCGTTGTCGTGGCGCTCCTTCTCCTTCACACCGTGGTCGTCGCTGCAGTCTGCGTTGTCGTCAATGACGACCAGCTCGGCCTTCAGGGAGCCCTCAAACTGCCGACCTCGACAGCTGTCGTCCTGCGCCGCCTGGAAGCCCATGAAGATGGCTGTGATTGGCTCCGTGGTCTCCAAGGCATTGAGGATGGTGTAAGGGATGTTTTCTCCGTAGATGGGAGAGGGCGCTCTGTCAGAGGGGGCGGGGCCACTGCACAGCGCGGCGGTTGTTCTGCCATCATGGCTGGGACGGGATGGAGGGGCGTGGCCATAAAGCTCTTCTTCGTCCACGCTGATGTAATCGCTGAGAGGAATGTAATTGGCTGGAGTGTAACAGAGCTGACCCGAGCAGTCAAACCCGGTTCCCTGGTCATGTGATCTGGGAGGAGGCCGGCCATTGGCTCTGCCTCGATTAACCACGCCGTTGCCCCGCATGATGCCGCAGGTGTGGTGGGAAGCAGGCCGACCTTCCTGAACACAGTGACAATTCCTCACCTGGTACGAACTACAGTGACGATCTCTCCGGTTGCCCAAAGGGTGTCCCGCCCTCATGTGGTTTCCAAGGCGATGACCTTCCCTCAGGTTGCTTTGGTTCATTCTCTCTTCCTGCTGTCTGTGAAGACTTTCCTGGCCACCGTAGTGGTACTGGACTCCTGGTTGGCTCTGCCCGTTAAATCCTTTCTCCGGTGTGGTGTTTCTGAGCAGATGGCTACCGTAACATCCCCGCTGGTCTCTGAGGTCAAACCCCTCCACGCCTTCTCTCTCATCTTGGTGTTCGAAACAGCACTTCTCGTCCCCTCTGCTGTGGCCGAGGTGGTTTGCTTGGCGATGCGCTGTGGCGCTTCTCAGCAACTGTTCCACCTCGTTTGCTGACAGCTCAGACGCGCAGCTGTGGTCATGTGACCCCTAAACGTAGAAACATATGAGTCATTACCAAGAGAACACAAAGAGAGGTCACTGGCAAAAGTGGAGGAAGCGGACAACCTTTATGGAAATGAGATGGGGAGGGAAAAACGACGAGGACGGTTCGACGTATCAGACAGTTCAAAGTGCATCATCTTCATCTTCTGATCTCAATCCATCTTTTGAGGCTCATTCCACACATTGAATCCCTTTGATCAACTGTTCACTGTGGTGCCAGAAATGTAGGAATCATCTTCTTTCAATCCAACTCCAATATAATTTGTTAATTTTTATGTTAATAAGGTAGTTCACGCTTTTTGTTTTTCATATTGGTATCAGATGATTGTATCATTCACTGAGCAGGAAGTTATTCACCATGAATGAGTCAAGTCTGTCTCTTTGACTTCCTGCGATCACATGGTCTGTCCTCAGCATCCATCTGAGCCCAGTGGGCCCAGTGGGCTCGCCCTCGGACTCTGTCTATGGAGCAGCCAGGTCATGTGATCCTATGAGGAAAGTTTCCCTCGACCTAAAGTGTAACGGGTCTTTGAATTCATTGAGTGTGTAGAGAACCTCTCTCCTTCCTCTTCTCTTTTCTTTAAAACTGAAGTTGAATGTGCGCTGTAACCTTTAACTTATGTCATGCACCACATCATTGTATCAAGCTGTGTGTACAAAGGCTGTTCATGAGTACCTGTTGTGAATTCAAGGCGTAAACACACTTCCTGTCGTGGTGGTAAACCTCGAGGCCGGCGCGCTGGTCTACCTTCTCGGGCTGAACGGAGGCAGTAGAGAGCACTGTGCTCGGCCCAGTCAGCAGCTTTCTAGTCACGTTGATCTCCATGGCGAACAGAGCTGGGACGAACATGAAGACACACAGAGTCCACGCTCACATCAGTGCCCTGGCATCTCTCTCCAACCAAAGAGTTAGTGTTAAATGTGCGTAATGACGACAATATTATAGGTTGTTACTTTCGGATTTAGTTTCTACTAATCAGATCATATTGATAATAAGTGACGATGCAAGGCGCTTGTGACCTGTGACGGTGAGGACGGACAAAGCTGCACGCAGCTCATCACACATTTAGAAGGATACAAATCTACCTAGAGGGCCATAACATCACTACACAGCAATGTGCGTTGGGAGACTCAAACACAGGTATGAGTAGACAGCATCTCACTCCTTCCTGGCGTGTTGGTTTCACAGTGTTTGTTGGCTGGTGGAGAGGGGGATTCTGGGACATCGGGGCTGAATTTGCTGACCAGTAACGGCTCTGTGGGACACAAAACAGAACAGCTAACACGTGCGCGTCTTCAGGGCTGGTTAGCCTCCAAATGATGTCATGACCTACCAGCAACAAAGCGGTCCTGGGCCTCCTAGAGGACGGACACAAATCAACGCGTTAAGGACACAAACACTAACCCCAACCTGCTTTGAACACAGAGCCGCTTTTCTCTCACCATAAGCAAGTGGGTGGGCTCCCTAAACTTAAAAAAATGTCAACCCTGTGGCATTGTGAGTCTGTGAGAGACACGGGGAGTGACTACCTTGATCACGTCCCCTGGACTTCTCTCCACAGCCTTCAGTCTGTTGAGGATGAAAGACTCGTTGGTAGAAATCCTGAACTCCTCTCTCTCCAAAGACTGCACCTCCATCTCCGTCCTAATGGGTGGAGGGAGACACAGTGGGCTCAACAGGCCATGTCGGTGTGCGTCGGTGTGTGTGTGTGTGTGTACCTGTGGATGTTTAGCTGCAGTGCTCTGGTCTGCTGCTGGTCAGACAGAAGCCTCTGTTGATTTGCATTGTGGGAAGTGGAGTCCTGCAGCAGCCACCGCTCCCTCAGGGCTTTTTTCTGATGATTTCATTACGGGAGTTAAGATTTATTTAAATGCAGTTTACATGTAGAGCAGCCGACCGGTCTGATTTCCTCTGTTCAATGTCCCTCTTGTGTTTTGACAGTTGCTCTGACAGCTGCGGATCCGTCCAGTCAAACAGTTAATGGAGACCACAGTGTTAATTATGTGTGCGTTAGTAACATACAGATGTGAGGATTCGTGCTGATGGAGGTAATACATCTCATCTGGTGACTGAGACCATGTTTAACAGAGTGATTGGAACCTTTAGATGCTGAAGTTTGACTTTTTCACGGTCCAGCTCCAGTTTCCTCTGCCTGATGTCTTCCTGGATGCGATGTTTTTCCTGTTGCATCACAGACAACCGATTAGAATTAATAGACGGCTAAAGGCAGATCTGCTGTACATACACACATGTTTTAACCCGTGTTTGGGTTGGTAAAGTGTGGTAGGAATTACAGTGATGGCCTGCAGCCTCTCTTTCAGCAGGGCGGACTCCTCCATGCTGCTACAGGGGGAGAAAAGAAACACAAGACATTTGTTGAACACCTTCGGATCCGCAGTTCAACGTTGAAATAAAGGCAAACTGCATTTATCGAGAGTATTATCCAATCAGAGCGCGGACAACAACGATGACACAGCACTATATATTGATTTGCATCAACAGCAGTATTGATCATACAATACTGTAACATTGTATCACAGTATTTTAACCTCTGAGTTTAGAGCTACACTCATTACAATTTCTTGGTCAGGTTGGAAAATATTCATGGCAATATTTGAACAGAATGCATTTGTGGATCCGCACAGCAACAGCAACCCTTCAGACGTAGAACTTTGTAACAGCTGTTGAAGTACAGTGAAGTGTTTCTCCCGAGTCCCACGGCGGCTACTTTACTCATTACAGATAAAATAAGCGCAACAAACCCCCCCTTTGTATTTATAGACCAGCCGGCTGTATGAATAAAGTCCAGGCTGCGCGTTTAAGTGGGTCAGCGGAGTACGTTGCAGGGTCGAACGTGTTCACACGTCCACGCTCATCTAACTGCCTCCATTTCCACCGTGTGTCACCGTTCCCCACACGGAGTGGAGCTCCAGGTGGCCGGTGTGAGGGTGGAATACTTACTGGTGCTAAACCATCAGCCCCTAAAGCCTTTGCATGTAAGGCCTGCAGTGTAGCCCATGGCTGGACCAATCATATGCTCCCATGTTATTGACCCAGCGCCTCGGGTCAGACAGGAGGAAAGAGTCTCACGTTGGTTCACGTACCTTTAACAAATCATTCCCCTCCACAATAAGAGAGGCACTACGTATTGTTCTGCCCTTCCTGTCAAACTGGGGCTTAATCTGACCCGCTGCCGGTCAAAGCGATTCCTACTCACCCAGTCATCCGCATCCTCTCGTGAAAAAGGAGAAAAACAACCTGCCTGTCATTAAACAAACGAGGATGACTGACTGCTTTATTACTCCTACAAATTAAAAGCAGAGTTGAGTTTATATCCTGTCAGTGAGGTAACGTCAGTGAAGCAGGCAGCAATCTGAGCTAATCTGCTCATGAGGCTGCTAATCTGTGCAAACCATCTGTTTGCCATGGACAGAAGGACAGAATGAGAGGAGGACGACCATGTGCTCACTGTTTTCAGGTTCTCTGTTTCTTTTATTTCATGTTTCGGCCTCAGAGAGTCACTCTGCACACCTCTCATGTCAGATATTTGGCCTTTACTTTTACACAATGTACCAAACATCAAAGTAAAATACTAGAGTACTAAAAGAAGACTACGCACCCGCTGACGATCTGCAGTGTTCATATTTATATAATATAGTTATTACCGAGCATAAAAGGATTTTACAAGTTTAGGTTTAGGCTACAAGGTGTTGTAGATATAACTTAACGTTAGTTCAAACCACCAGGACGAGCAGCAGCAAGGAGAAAATGAAGCTTAAACCGAATTAAGATATTAAGCTTCCTCCATCCTTCTGTCTCTCTCTGTGTCCGACAATGATAACTCACCACAATAAAAGCATCCGTTTCATGCTTGGAGGAAACAGATGATAAATGTACTGTAATTCTGTCTACATAAATCCCTCTCAAGCTGTCGTTTGTTTGTAACTGTTAACAGAATGTTTGGTAACTGAAGACCTGAGCGACGAACTGATAAATAATAGCTGGTACACATTATTTCTCACCTGCACTGCAAGGGAAGTGCTCTTATTTCCCACGCATCAATAATGAATACTACAGAAGAAGAAGCAGCAGAACCTCGTGTTCCGTTAACTTACCTGCAGCAGGCCGCTCGCGCTCTCTCGCTCCAGGGCTTTGATCTGTGTCGCGGGATGCGCGAGACCTCCGGGCTGCAGGTGGAGGTAGGCGGGGCTTGACGGGGATCCGCGGGGCGTGTTTGTCACAGCGGATTGACAGGTTGCTGTGCCCTTATCAGCCAATAGCAGCGCGTCCACCACTAAAGAAAAGTACTTAACCGGCTCATAAAGGTTCAGTAACTGAGCCTGATGGATCAGCTGTCAATGAGACGCTTTTATTATCATCTTTATTGGTTTCAAACTGTATATATTTTGTGGTAAAGAGGCATACTGGAGATTTCAGATATTGACAGCCTCATTCCAAAATATATCAGAAATGTATTGCATGGGGACGGCTGGGGCTCCACTCAGAAGATGGGATGAATGTGGTGTATGAATGGGTGTGGATGGGTGTGCTAAAGCGCTTTGAGTGGCCGGAGGACTAGAAACGCAACATACAAGTTGTGAGAACTTGAACCCAAAAGCACAACAACACACAAACTCGGGTTCAGGTTGAAGAGGTTTACTTTTCAATATCCAGACAAACAAAGCATCACCCCAGGTCATCAGACTGTCTAGCAAACCAATTCAAAATATCTGAACAGTCAAGTTAGAATAATGGGAAAAAATAGCTAGCAAAAAAACACAAGCAGTATAAGCCCAGAAGGCGAGGCTGCGGGTGAGGGTGGAGGAATGAGGTCATCAGGGGCCGATGGACGGACTGGATCTGAGATTACATTCCATACACCATACCTTGGTTTGATTGTCGATGTCAAAACAAATGCTAACCGGCTCATTACAAGTTGAAGTGTTCAAGTAAGAATAGAGCAAAAAATAACATTATTGGAATAACCGGAAAAAAATCTTTTGGTATGAATAAATAATGCATTTAGAAAATATCCTGATTTTTTTTTTTAAATAAACGGGCCGCTGAATATTTTTAGATTTTTTTCATGTTGTTGGGATGATATCTTTTATATTGGGTCATGCTTAATAGCCAATTTGTATTCTTATCATTGTTATTTTTTTAAATGATTGGAAGCGTCCTTTCACACTAATTTCAAACGTTATCTGTGTTAAGTAAATGACTGAAACATCATGTATCTATTTATTTACTATAACCACATTTAAAGAAATCAATCAAATATTCACAACAAATCTCTTGCATAAATCCTTCATGACAGCTACAAGGCACCCTGAGCCAATAAGGTCCTCCGTTACTGTGATACAGCCGCTATATCATGGCATCATAGTGTAGTACCATGTGAGATATCCATTTTTAAAGTTAAATTCTGCCTGTTTACATACACAGAACAAGATATAGAAGGACGGGTCGCACGGGAACACAAAGCAGTGAGAGAATTTAAAAGGAATAATCTCTTTGTTTGCCTGTGATACAAAACACGATACTTTGAAACATGACACAACCCTCATAGATTGGATCTGAACAGAAAAAGTCACATCAAACAAAGGTTAAAAGGAACACACCTGAAGTCATCTTAGGGGAATTTTTTTTTTCTTAACTTAACTTAATTGAAAGAACTGACTGAAAGAAATCTATAAATCTATAACACCAACAACACTGGAACTTAAGCAGTTGGATGAGCACCTCGAGGTGATTGTTCCCAAGCTGGACTTGTTCAGCTGTTGGAACAAAGTACTCTGCTGCCTTGAGTCACTATGACAACTAACTATGTAACACATATGCAAGTAGATTATTCCTCACAGTTTCTATTCAAACAGATTAAAACGTATGGATAACTACCATGTCCTAACATGTAGAACATAAATTCATGGCGCACTGACCTTACACAAAGTATGTCCGTAGTTTCTTTCCTCTGGGTGAAGGTGCTGCATGTACCATCGTTTGTAGCATCAATATATCACATACCTCGGGATAATGAAAGGAATTACGGTCAAAGCGACAGCAGCTCTTATATTATACATTAATAATTAAATGTCTTATCGTCTAGTAGTTCAGTTTAGGCACAAACCGATTTTTGCAACAAAATGATTTAAATTCAAAAAGCTTTAGTTTGCAATGTTTCTGTGCATACAAATTAATATTATGACAAACTAAAAAACAGCATTAGAAAAATGTGGACTTGTCGTGATAATGGCCTGAGACTAAGGTGATAATGAACGATTCATTTACAAATGCTGCAAGAGGCAGCTGGGGGTCATAGTCATGTGACTTCGGTGCAGGATCCTGGGCTCTATCAGAAAAGAAAGAAGGTTCAGTTAAAACATTCCCCGAGCTACTGACATTTTGCTTGTGGTATCTGTTTTTTCACAAAACAAATGCATCTTTATTTCATATACCGGATGCTACGTCGTAAAACTGAAAACTAAAACCCACCGTGCATGAGTAAAAGCGTGAAGCTACCTGTGTGGGGATGTACATGTCACTGGTTTCCATCAGGTGATCAGTTTGAGGTTGATCCGTGTCAGCCGTGCCTTCATCCGAGGGACTCTGAGAAATCACCGGTCTCTTTTTAAAATACTCAACCACAAACACCACCTATGAAGAGATAGAAATAGTGGATAGAGAGTCAATGAACCACTTTTGCACAACAACAAAAAATACATTTTGTATGATTTTGAGGAACGCAGCAGTCTGACAAGGATAACATGTAGCCAAACATCATAGGACGAAAGAGTAGGCCTAACACGATAACTTTACCTTTGAGTTATTGGAAAACAGCTCCCTCATTTTTACATATTGTGTGTGTGATCAAGCTTTTTGTCCCCGCCAACGCTGATGCGCATTACTTGTAACACAAAAGAGGATTTGGAGTTCATTCAAGCAACCCGTGTAGAGTGTGTGTGTCCTGCGGGGATTTAATCCATTAGACCAGTTTTTCATGAAGAAAATAGAATAAAATTCCTTTGCTGAGTAACATAATGGTGTACACAAGCAGAGCAGTGGTCTGACTTTCTGCTTAGTTCCTTAAAATGTGTGGGAAGGAATTCATTTGAAATCAGTAAAGTCAAAGAAGGTCCAGAATTTGAGGAACGCAGCAGTCTGTCTTCTGTCTACTGTCCGTCTGTATGTGGCCCAGGAACTGAAACACGTAGATTTTGAAGTGCGTTCCAGCCTAACTTTTCTCTTTGAAGCGCTGTCTTGATTGATCAATGTTAACTTTTGGTTCTGAAAACCAGCACATCTCCCAACTTCCCTTTGTGAACCTTATTGCTGGTTATGATACCGTTTGCTCGACGTGATACGTCACTTGCGCTGCGTGTCACTCATTGTACCTCAATCGGACCGAATGCAAAAATGGCGCCACGTGTCCGTGGTTTGCAGCGGCTGTGTCTTAGGTAAAAACAATAAAAACAACAAATCAACTAGGATTGATCTTGAAGGTGAATTCAATGGTCTAACCATCTTTTAATAATCATAAGCATAATGATGCTCTTAAAAGTCATTGGGTTCATGCACATGCATGTTACCGCAAACCACAACATGCATAAAACCTGACCAGAAAGACGGCGATAGCTCCCCCGATGGTTTGTCCAACAACGACGTCACTCCAGTGGTTTCGATACTCGGCCACTCGGTTGATGCCTGTCAGCAAAGCCAGACCGACCAATGAGAGGCTGAGAAGCGGGCCAGTCAGGCGGCCTCCTCTGGAACCGATACAGGAAGTGACGTACATCTGCAGAGCACAGTAACTTTATTTCTGAGACACAGTGAAGAGCCAACTGAATGGTGAGTTCAGGCGTGTACTCGTGCACATTTCCAGCACCTTACTGTTTGTCACATGAAACAGAGCCACTCACTGCCAGGTAAACAGCTGTATACAGACTCAGCGCGGCCTCTTTGGATGGAAAGGTCTTCCTGGCTCTTGTGATGTCATCAGGGTCACCAGTGCAAACATCTGATTGGCTGACAAAGTGCTGTGTGTCCAGGCAACCGAGGGCAGTGTAATTGGGCCGGCAGACGGACAGGAAGTGAGGGGCCAGACATCCTGTGACCAGCTGACATGCGTTGACAAAGATGTCTGTTGTGAACAGGCCGAAGACATACACAGCTACAAGGGAACACAGACAGAAGACAAGATGATTCATATAAAAATATGAATATGAGCAATACATTGGCACACTTTCGAGCCGGTTGCTTTTCCGTAGAAACATGCTGGTAAGACATAGCGTTAGGCTGGATTTGAATTGTCCAAAAAATGACCCTATCTGTCTATTCCTAACCACTATTCCTATTTCCTGTGGAAAACGTCACAGGGTCGAGAAAAGATGGTTAGGAGAATTAGGGAATCCGTCTCCACTTCCTCTAAGGTACGTAGTTGTGATGCGATGCGAGCCGAATGTCAGTGACGTCAGTGTGCAGCAATAAATAAATAAAAGAATAAATACCGTTTGATTTACAATATTTTTACTATTTTTATAGAAATGCAATTCATGTCTTTCTGTAATCCTCACAATAGCAAAGTCATCCGGCGGGCCGCACTGAACCCCCTGGCTGGCCGAATTTGGCCCGTGGGCCTTGAGTTTGACACCTGTGGTTTAGGTATAGATTAGGTGTAGATTGGGATTAGGCCTTAATTTGAGGTGATCGTAAACATTATGAAAAATGTAGTTCCGTATTTTATTTTCCATTTCTACCAACAAATCCGCCTAAAAGTTGTAAAAGTAAAAGTTGCAATGAAAACGTTATAAGTATAATTAATTTAGTGTCAGCATTACTAGCACACACAGATATGAATGTATGAATTCATTTTCATCATGACATTAAAACACATTGTAACTCATTATAATAAGGAAATAATCCATTAAGAAAAACGTAGTTATGAAAGGCATTTTATAAGCCATTCTTATTTTATTCTCATTTGGAATACACAACATGATTTGCTCTTTTACACATGAATGAAGGACCTGAATTGACCACTCTAGAGAAAGCTGTCAAACAGCTGAGGAGAAGGAGGAGGATGATCTCCAATGAATTACTGAAGATCAGCACAAATTCTAAGTATGAAGCCAGGGCTCAACGGCCCGTGAGCGGTGGCATAGTTTGTTTAACGTATGAAATCCAATATGGCAGAAACCAGAAGACGACTGGGATTTTATTTCATTCTTGGTCCGTAGTGAGCCTCGCTGGAAATGGACATTCACTTATTATCTGTACTGACACTCAGTTGGCGACTGGCTGACTGTTGAGGTACAAGTGGACTGGAGCTAGCTACTTAGCATGCTCATTTTAGTAGATATATCTGAACACAACATAACAGCCACACTACAACCGTACATTTTTTCCAATTAAACTAAAACTCATTTCAAATCATAAGAATTGTAAACAGATTATTTTCTGAAATTAACATTCAGATTAATGGATAACTAAATGTTAGTAAAGATTGGCGTTACTTCAGCATAATATTTATTATAACGTTACCAAGGAAACGGAAGGTCCTGCGCACCATAGGGTTCACGTAGCAACAGTCCCCCATGACGACCACCTTCTCCTGGTCATACAGGTTGTTTGAGTTGTAGTGAAGGAGGAAGATAAGAAGCTCAACACCTGAAATCTGACAAACAGAAGGAACGGGGATTACTTCCTCACAAGCCAATTTTTACTGTTAGTTTTGTGGCCAGTTGGGGTCAGCGGAGTACCTATAAACACAACATTGACAGTGTCATGTTTATTCTTGTTACTAATATAATATATTAGGTCCATTAGAATCCAGAATTGTTCCAATGTCTATCTCAGAGAGGTTATTCTTGCTCATTCGGCCTGTGACAGTTTTCTACTTCTTCCCAGGCTGCTAGCAGTAGCCATGTTGCTAACGCTACTGAGCCTCAGTAAAACTGAAATATTTTCACACTTCATGCTGCGGTCCGCTATCCGTGCACCCGAGTCTGACCCATTACAGTCCCTCTAGTCGACTATTCACTGACCCCTTTCATCACACATCATTGGATCCCTCAATTATGCAACACATCAGGACAATTAGTAGCATAATTAAAAGACTGGATTGTGAATACCTGAAATATATTGGTATTATTTGTATTTATATTTCGTATAGCCCCTTTAACACGTCCCACTGGGTGCCTTTCTGTATTCCTTCCTCTTGCTCCCCTAACAGGAGCATTCTTATCTTCACCATAGAAAACAAACAAACCTTCAGTTGATTGTCTGGACTTACCAGAACCACAGGCAGTCCACCCACCACGGAGTACAGTATTACCGGCTGTACGCGGCTGCTCTGTTCAGGTCCAGGATCTGGTTTAGTTAGAGTCGGGTCCCTGCAGGCGAAGCCCTGGTGTGCGGGACTGAAAGTGTCCGTGAATTCACAGTAGTAAACCAGCATTACTGCAGCTGCTAGAATTACCATCTGAAAGTACAGCATGATGAACTCCGTCTCCGGCACTCCGACTTCAGAAGGTCACTTGATGCTGTTGCCCCGGCAGTGAAGGATCCAATGTAGAGTTTCCAAATGATCCTCCTCTTCATCCTCCTCCTCCTCATAATGCGTATAATACCATTAGTGGCAAACGATTCTTGAAGGATGTTCCAGTGCAAATATCCAACCACGGATGAAGATGACGATGATGCTTTACCCCTCAGGGACACAGAGCTGTTCCTCTTTTCCTTTTATGTGAGTGAGAGAGAAACCCTTCTCCTCTGCTCCAGTGATTTCCCTGAATCATCTGACAGCAGTGAACCAAGGATGTCTTTCTATTTCTCTGAACAATCTTTAAAGAGCAGCTTGTAGTTTACCACAAACTCCTTTCAGCAGTCAGGACAGTTGGACCCAATGGGGGGCAGACACCATGAGCTCCAGGACATTTACAGGTTTGATCAGGGTTTGCCATCAAAACTAAAGGCGTGCCAATTATTATTTGTTTTTAAGGTTTGAATATTATTCTTTATATTACTAGTGGTGTTCCTTATGATTCACATTTTGGTCAAACAATTACATTTTTTAATCAAAATTATATTTCCCTAAACGTGTCTAAAATATTTTCTCACATGCCTGAAGCTTTCTCCATGAGTACACACATATATATATATATCTATATATATCTATATAGATATATATACACAGATATATATATCTCTCTCATATATATATATATACATATATATATTTAAATGCTAGCATGTCAATATGGACCAACACCCTGTTGAAAGCCACGAAGAAGTAAGGCAGTTCCCAAGTTCAATTTTAATATTTGAAGTAAACATGTTATGTTTCGGTCCATCAGACATCGCCAGGTTGCTCCTCCTCAGACTCTACAGGAGCCCACTGATGCTTTTGGACACATCCAGAAGGACATCCGGCAAGACTCCATTCGTCAGGAGCATGCCGTGGCGTTGGCAAGCAGGCATACAAGCACGTAGGGGGCCACACAAGATATTGAGAAGCACTTTGAGTTGCAGAAATTTAATCTGACTGTTTGATGGCCAAATCCCCCAGGATCCGACATTGTTTTTGAAAAATGTGGTTGATGGTAATGTGACTCATCTTATAAGCTACTGCCACCAAGTCATCGAACTAGATGCAACAAAGGGTACAGAGTGCATTGTTGTTGGGAGGTGGGTGTTTGCCATGACCATAGATATATAAGGTCTAGATGTCTTATACGCGTTGCCGGCCAACGGAGTCGAACGCCCGCACATGGCGGCCATCTTGGAAGGGGGATCGATTTTTAAACGATTTGGTTTGTTATAAACGTCAGAGATGTAGTTATAACACTGCATACATAATCTGAATAATTATGTTATGTTCTAGAAAATAGAATAATTTTCTGAAATAGGTATATGGCTATCCAATGACTGCTGGAAATAAACATGGACAAATCAGACTTATTAAATAGCATTGATCAATCCAATACATTTTTCTATATACATATAAAATCCATAAACATACATCATGTATCTATAAAATAAATTCCCTGAGAAAGGTTATAATATGTAAGCATAACATGTAGTGTTACAAAAGCATTGCTGCCCTCCAGTGGTGTAACTGAAACAGCAGCTTATGACATATGTAACATATGACATTTGTTTGTCTAAGAAAAACACTGAGTGTGAGCTTCAGCACACAGACTGTGCTCTTGGAACAGTGTGTGCAGCAATTTATTTTATATGTATAATGTGTGTTTGTGGATTTTATTTAGTGCTGAAGGTGTTTTTCTATTGAGCCCAGATAGTGACTATCAGGTAGACTGTTAACACGACACACATCAACCGCCCCGCTGCCCTGTCAACGTTCAACACAATCAAGAACCCCAGCAGCTCTCTCTAACCATTCAACATGAAGGAAACAGAACGTTTATATCACCTGTGTGTTGACAACGTCAGTATCCATGATGGAGCTTTTTCTAATGTTTTTAAAGCAAGCGCTACGGACGTGGATGAGTGATTCACTTGGAACATAATCACTGACTTCTGACAATACTCAGTTCAGACTTAATTAGTTACACATGCACTAGAAGAAATGCTCATCACCATTAGTCTTCATGGCGGATATGTTTTATTGGATTCTAGATTGAATTATTATTCTAGTCGTTGGCATCCAGACTGTATCTGTGACGCTCTACTATGATGCTGTTATTTGGTCAATAATGAGCCTCTGAGCTGGAAACCTGGTCATTTTAACAAGGCAAGTAAAACATATTTATAGAGCGCTTAGTACACACCAGGATCACAAAGTGCTTTACATGGCAACATAAAGAGAAAAACTGTGACCAAAAGGGGCCAATAAATAACAGACACATTACATGTCATTTAGAGGACGCTTTTATCCAAAGGGACTTACATTGCATTAGTTAATCCGTCCCACACAGTGGGAGTAGTGTGCAGCCGTAGGGACGTCCAGGGGTTGGCCGTCTTGCTCAGGGACACTTTAACATGGGACATGGAGCAGTCAGGCTTTGAACCGCCAACCTTGCGGTTCCCAGTGGACCCTCTACTCCATGAACCACCGTTGCCCCCCCGCACATGATGGACAATACACAACGTAAGTAAGTTAAAAAGCAGGAACAGGACATGGGTTTTACAGAAACACCAGTTTAAAAAGATGGGTTTTGAGCTGCAGGCAGAGCATTCCACAGTTCAGGAGCTACTGCCTCAAAAGCTTGTTCACCAACGGTCTGCGTAAAAATGATGCAAAAATGACTTTTTAGAATTGGTCCTAAAAGGTAAGAAATAAAGAGAAAAGGCAGAAAACACTGGAGAGGTTTGAGACCCAAACCAACCCTCAGAGACATTGAAGCTGGTGTCAGCAAGGTAGGAGGTAAGCCCGTCTAATGCCATCGCCATGACATGGTCGGTTGAAAAGGAGCTTGCGAGCCTGGAAAGTGTGTACAGTATACACTGTCTTTGTCTACAGTATCGAACACTGAACTAAAATCCTGAAGTACTAATAAAGAGCACTCGCCCGCATCAGAAGACATGAGAATGTCATTTGAAACCCTCAGAAGTTGACTGTTTTTTTTACAGAACCCAGACTGGAATCTGTCACATATATTGTGCCTCTCCAGTGCAGCAGTAAGTTGGTTTCTTTTCTTTTTCTAACATTTAGGACAGGAAAGGAAGTTGATATGGGTCTGGAGTTTATATGCAAGCCGGATCTAAGTTGGGTTTCTTCAATGCAGGTTGGGTAGTGGCTTCAGGTAAGACGGGACAATTCCAAAGATAAAAAAAATGCACAGCCAGGAGTCTAAGCCACATGAAAAGTCAAGCACACAAGTGCTTTAATTAAATGGCAAAAACACCTATGTGTCCTAATTAGCTCTATTATAATATATTTTATCATTTTTAGATTAATACGGAAAGTTTCATTTTGGATATCATGGAAACCAAAACATCTCCTGATGTGTTACTGTATATAAATCCATGCATGTAGAGACAGGGTAGAAAGGACCCATCACTCCAACCTAGTGACTGGAGCAGCTTCGGGGTGCAGTGTGGGTTACCACGGTGATGATCTAAACACAAATAAAAACAACAGTCTGCACTACTATCCAGTCAGTCATGACAGCAGCCTGTCAGCATGTTTGCAGAGCTACTGCTTCATGTGAACAGATCCAGACAGTCATCCAGCTCCGGCAGGAGGCTGGCCCTGTCACCATGACAACAGCCAGCTCGATGGGGTTGTTCTCTTTTCCGCCTCCGTTTATACACACTTGCATTCTTCTGCTCTTTGTCCTCCTTTGGTTCGTCCCTCCTCTCTGTCTCCAGTTGATTGTCTCGTGGTTTCTGTGAGATGGGAGGACTTGGGATTGGGAGTAATTGGAGTTTCTCTTTAGTCAGGGCCGACTGTAGATTCTGGTAGTACCTGGTGATGACCAAATATAAATCAGAGCAGCCTGCTGCATCTTTGAATTCTGTTGTATAGAGACTTCAAACATGCAGGGCAGGAGAAAGCCATGAGCAGACGAACCTGTGAATCCTCCTCCGGTTCTCCTCCATCTTCTGATTGGCTATCTGAGTAAGAAAATGGATGTACTCATGTTCAACCAGGAGCTTTCCTTCGCGGCTGAGAGGCACCTCCAGTCCGTGGGTGCTTCTGACAGCCTAGATGGACAAAACACATTCACTTTAAAAACAGTATATACAAGCAACTCATGCAGTAAAGCAATCATGGGTTCTACTGCATGGATTTCCCAAAAGTTTAGGTAAATATCTAATTATCTGATAGTGACTGGACCCATACATGTCATTGATGTCACAGAGCATACCGTGATGATTTTTCCTGTCTTGCCGACAGTGAGCCCAGAGTTCCTGAAGCCGGAGTTGACTGCCACAGAATGCTAGACAGAAAACACAGCGGCACGTTTGCTTAATTTAAAATCAATTTACGTAGAGACCTCCCTGGCAAGGCCATGTTCACACAGGGCTGCAGAGAGCCGTGTTTCATATACACCTGCTCTGTGATTGTTCAACAACACACGCAGACACACACACACACAACAACACCTCACCATCAGCTGAGCGTCCTCCAGCCACCGACACTGAAGATGGAGCACAAAGGGCTCGAACTTAAACACTGCATCTCCACTGGACCCGGCCAATGCGCACATCTGAGGAGCAAAGCCGATGTGCTCTCGTTCATATCAAATCCACATTGTAAGCGTATACACGAGTAGTGCAGGTGTCCATCACATCTCACCAGGTCTTCCGATGTACATTTCTGGTGTGAGACAAAGAGCCAAACGCAATTCTGTTTGTGGATATCGGAGCTCCCTGCAGCCTGGAGGAGAGGACATGAGGCAAAGACAGACTTAAACACAGCAGTGTGGTAATAGACCATGCTATAGATACAGGTTGCCAAAGAACTAACTAGCTGACTTTTGTTGGGCGAGTTAGCTAGGTAGCTAGCTAACGTTAGTTACTTCCAGCAGTGTTGAATGGTCGCTAGCGTCAGTTAGCTTGTTAGCGTCAGTTAGCTTGTTCCTCACCCGGTCGATGAGGATGACTCTCCCGGAGCAGGAGCTGGTGGTGAAGTACTCCTCACGGCTGTTGAGCAGAGACACGACATTGGCGATGTCCTCATCCACGCTTCCCTTCTTACTCAAGTCCAGTTTGTTGAGACACTGCTTCTTCCACTGACTGAACGCTTTCTCCATCGCTCACGTGCACGTGTTTTCCACAGCTGACGTCAAAGTGAACAGTAGTCACGCGAAGTAACCTTAGCTACACACGTTACAGCGTCACCGTGAGTTTCCATAATCGTTGACGGGACAACAATTCATTAAAAAAAACACTTTGTAAACAACAGCCAGCTGCTTTCTCCTTCTTCATCAGATAAACATCGGCGATGGCGCACAGCGCCACCTGCCGCGCCGGAGGCGACACTCTCACCCGCTTCTTCGTTTATTGTGTCGTATTTGATCAGTGAGCACATGCTAATGGTTATATACGATGATTGGAATAAACAAATGCGCAGACCAGAAGCATACTATTCAATAAACAACAAGCAAAGATCCGCTTCTGCATTGACTATAATTGTTCTCATGATTCATTTGATCAAAGTCTTTGTAGCTATATATGTTACATTTGTATGTTTTTACATCATTTTAGAGGAGCCTAAAGTTTAATACTACGCCACAGCTGGACAAAATCACAAAAAACTCAAGACCTGTATTACACTGCACAATGTTTTTAGTGTATCGTTTTGAATTGTATTGGACTGTAAAATAAAGGGTGCGAACGGTCGAGGGAGATAAATAAAAAAGACTGATGACTTTTCTGTTTACTGCTGCCTTTAATTTAATTTTTAGCTTGCTTGTTGTTTTAATATCTCTTTTTAAAGTCTCAGTCATAACCTGCACATGTCACCTATTTTATTATGGAATATATGTGGAATACTGTCAGAGAGAGAGAGACGGAGACACAGAAAGAGAGACAGAGAGAGACAGAGAGAGAGAGAGAGAGAGAGGAATTATCCCCTGTTGGACTGGCATGATTTAACTGGCCCAGAATCTATAAGTGACAGGTGAGCAGAGAAGCCATTGACACAGATCAGAGTACAGTGACAGAGTACAGGAGATACAGGCTCTCTGCCATGAAGACATTATGAGGATCAGACCACAGGTCAGTGTCACTCTTCTCTCTCGCTGTGTTTACTGGTGACCTTACAGTGAAACCTGACCGAGTGTGTAAACTTCTGTTGCTGGACAAAGGAATACGGCTCTAATCACAGTCAAGTGATGTTTATTATAATCTTCATGATCGTTGTCACCCACATTGAATTTAACCACACGTTCAGCCCTGTAAATACAGCTGTTACCTAGAAAACCCACCGTGTTAGGAAATGTGTTGTAAGAGACAAACAAGTGGTTTGCACTTCTCTAAACAGAGAACTGTTTTCTCCTGGTGCCAGATGATATGAATTTTTTTTGTACTGCCTTAAATCAGAACTTCACTTCAAACTTCATTTGGGATGTGGTTTAAAACATGTTTCACTGAAATCAGGTCATGACCCTTGTATTTTGTTAGTATAAACAACCATAAGAATAAAACCAACAATGTGGAAGTGGTTCTGACATTAGATGACGCTCACAAACATGTAGTTTTATTTTTAAAAGAGAGTAATTTTTTATAAACAATTGTATTTTAGTGTGAGTGTATTCAGACAAGTGATTCTGGCAATAAAACAGTATTTGGTTGTGTTCAAAACGGCATAATGGTATAAAGGTACATATACTGTATATACAATGTATATATATATAATAATATTGTTATATATTCATAACATTATCTTTATTTTTTTATTTAAACCTTTATTTAGCCGGGGAAGTCCCATTTAGATTAAAAATATTTTTTTCTGACACGCTTTTGCATGATGTAGACACACAGGTCGCTTGGCAGCAGACCAAGGATTGCCTTATAAATGAAGGTGTACCGATGACAGAGCCTACTGGTCGGCCATCCTACCCGGGACTATAACTCACAGTGGGTAGTCAGAGGTTTACAAGTTGTAATGAACCTCAGTGAAGCTTTGTTTGACAGTTTGCAGAAGCATGCATATAAAGAAGATCACCATAGTCCAACACAGGTAAAAAAGTAGCAGCAACTAATCTATTTTTTACATTAGTTGAAAAGCACATCTTATTTCACAAATAAAAACCCAGTTTTAACCTCAATCTTTTCACCAGGCTGTGGCTGAAAAGTGAGGGAGTCATCAATCAAATTACCCAGATGTTTATAATAGTCAACCAGCTCTATTTCATTTCACTCAAGAGTGACCACTGAAGGGATTTTCTGTGGTTTACTCACTCGAAAACAATATGAGTTTTGTCTTATCAGAATTTATAACACGTTTCAGTTGAAAAGGGATAAATTGAACAACATCAAAAGCATTTTGCAAAGAGTTGATGCACAGCAATATATCATAGTGTCATCAGCATAGAAGTTAAAGTTAGCGTCCAACATATTTTGGTTCCGATTATTTACATAAATAGTAAATAAAAGTAGACCCAATAGAGAGCCTTGCGGCACACTCTTGCAGACCGTTGCATTATCAAATGATAAACCCTAATATGTGATGCACTGAGACCTACCTGAGGTGGCCCAGCACTAAGGACACAGCTGGGATTCACTGTGCAGGGACTTTTCACTCTATAAGTTCCATGTGTGGACTGGATTTTCTCTTAACTCTGTTTTTTGGAAGAGATTTAAGATGAAAATGGCAATTTACAGAGTTTTCCACCAGTTCTTTCTCTTTCGGTTCATGTGAGCCCTGAAGTAGTCTCAGGCCCGCACATCATCTTATCAACCACAGATCATTCAGAGGTCTATAACAACTCCTCTTCAGAGCGCAAGGGTTGATGGGAAACGAGGTGCAAGAGTCACCTTCCTTGTAGCCTACCTGAGTGTGCTATGAGTTCCATTAGTAACACAGACCACATGTGTTGTTGTTGTTGCACCTGTGGGAGCTGGATGTTTTCATGAATACGTATGAACACTTAGCAACGTAATCAACAAGCATGACTTTGTACCTCAAAAGTAGGTTAAAGATCTTTGAGTGGTTGAGAGAACAGAAAGTTAATTCACCATTTGTTCATGCACTCTGAGACAAAGTGGGTGACAACTCATCTTTGTCCCCATGTTGGTATGTGGGTTGGGTGCTTGCCATGCTCTGCAGGTGTGCTGGATGCTAGAGGGGGTCAGCAGTGAAATCCTCGGTTGGACCAGGTATACAGGGGGGAGAGTGTCATAATGGGTGTCACCTGTGCACATGGTGCAACCTGGGGCGGGTTGATTGACGGCGCTATACAGGTGAAGGGCATTGACTGTTGGGGGGAAAATGGTGGAATCTCTGCGTAGCTGAGGGCACGTGTTAGATGAGGTTATGTGGAGTTGATTCAGTTAACGAATTAGGTTTTGTTTTGTTTTTCATCTGTTTAATCAGACATGTATCAGGAAACTTCCTTTTTTTACAAATAAAGAAAACTTTTTTACCTGGACCAAGTCTCGCTTGCCTGCCTCCTAATTCCAGGATTCGCTCAGTCGTGACATCTTCACACACTCACTCACTCTAGGTGATGTTCTCTTTAGGTTTACCTGTTCCTGTACACCTGTTCAGTTTTGATACCATGTGTTATGGTATCATTATTTGGTTGTGTTTATGGATACGTTTCAGATACAGTATTTAAATTAAACATGTACTGCTTAAGGGTAGTAATCCAAACCATTGGAACCAGTTTTAGGAAATGGATCAGCAGCATTTCCCCTCACGTTCCCTTCAGGGTTTCCATTAGATTTTGCTGATGCAATCAGATACAGTCAAGTCAATCAACATACGTTTATATAGATTACAAATGACACAATGACATACCTCCTTTAGAAACAACATGTTGCAGGGAGTGGCCTCGGGCCACAACATGGCACATGGCTTAAAGCCGGTGCGTCCGGGCTGTGCGCCCCACATATCCTCACGAGTAACGGGGGGCGCACACACACACACACACACACACACACACACACACACACACACACACACGTGCCTACCCGTGCAGAAAATAGGTTTTTAGCACACTTCTGACGTCACATCCATGGTTTTTGTTTTTTCTCCAAAGGTTGTATAATGAGGAGATGATTTACCGTGTGGATAAAATCCAGACACAGAAATAGTTAATAAAACGATTAACAATTTGTTACATCGAGCAATTATTGAAGTTTGTGGTTCTCTTTATACTTTATGCTAAAGGGAATGATGAGTGATTCTCAACCTGGGACCCGGACCCCGGGATTGGTGGAAAAAAGAGACTTTTTAATGCCAACACTGTATTTGAGAACAATAATCTATTTTATCATTATTTTTAGCTTTATTTTGCTCATTTCACAAAACACACATAAAATCTTAAGAACTTTGCCAAGAAATCATCATCATTATCATTATTTTGAGCTTTTTGCTCATTTCACAAAACACACGTAGAATCTTGAGAACTTTTCCAAGAGATTAAATATTCTGAAGTAAATAAATAAAATACATTTTTGATGCAATAAGTCAACAAAATAAACAGAGACACGTTACAGTCAATTCCAGAAAAGGGTTACAGTTTCCTCCCTTGCATTTGTCTGTCCCTAAAACAATGCAGCCTTCCTCTGGATGAAGCACAGTTTACAAAATAAAACAACACTTCAGCATAAATAGTTCAATAAAAAAGATCTTCTCGTGTTTCCGCTGCACCTGATGTATCACCTGCGGATGGATGTGGTTAGGATTGTTGTTATAATTCTGCCATCAAATTAAAAGCACCATTGCTCTGTAGATAACAGCACTAAGTAAATACTAATAGTTTTCCTCATGCTGCTTATGCTGAGAAATAGTCGTGTAGTGTGTATTCTGAAAAGCCCGACAGGAAGCGTTATTGTTAGTGTAAGTACCCACGGCCCCCTGCCTGCTGCCCCCCCCCCCGCTGCTGGCTGCTCAGAGCCGGAGGAGAGCGGTTGGACACGGGGGCGACCGTCCTTTCCTCTCAACGGGAGACAATGTCCGTCCTGCCGCGGCCGAAACCCAGAAACACGCATTCTACAGGCGTTTAGGGAGAAACCACATTATCACGTGACGACACGTCCAGCCCACCTCACCGGGCGATGGTCTGCCGTTAAGGGCTCGGTGGAACCGGAGTCCATCGGAATATCACCAAAATTACGACCGGAATCAAGTACGGGTCCCTGTCTCCCGACAACGGGAGAGACCACCGGCCGCTCGTTATGTCTCGCGCCAAGGAGCGTCTGAAAGGCGGGAACGAGACCAAGGACAGCGTCACTCTGCTGCCGTGCTTTTATTTTGTAGAGGTGAAATATTCATCTATCTTTCTGTATCTATTAATTCATATATCCATAATTCCATCTATGTCTATGTATGTATTAAGGTATGTATGTATGTATTAAGGTATGTATGTATTAAGGATTGTATATGTACGTATGTATGTATGTATGTATGTATGTATGTATGTATGTATGTATGTATCTTGCATGTATCTTGCATGTGTGTATGTATCAGATGAGATGACACTGGATCTGCACGCTGCTGCTGGTTTGCGATGGTTGCTGTGCTGCTTGGTTCACTGGCTGCTCTGCTGGTACCACAATCGAGTTTAATCCTGCTGTGAAACGGAGAATCTGTATTCACCTCGTTTCTGTTTTCCGGCCAGTGACACTGCATTCAACAGGATAGCCTGAATGCTTTTTGTGATGCAAGGTTATGAAAGAGTGCTTATCATCACGTATCATCCGTGAATACACCTTTAAAGGAAGAGAGAGCCACTGTGTTTATTGACGACCGAATGACATCGACTATCCAAACATGCTCACATACTTGGATATATTGCCATATTCGCACCATTTAGTCAAAATGTAATGATCAGTATGATGAAATGCCCGTCGCCGTCACATCTCTGTGTTCCTCTGTCTCTGTCTCAGTCATTGTTACTCGCCCCGGGACTAAAGCCTACAGGGCTGCTGCATTCAGTTCCTACGCCCCCAGCTGTCCTGGAAGCTCCACAATGTGCACGTCTTTTACATCCAAAATGATCAGTAGCAAAGTGTTGGCTGCAATAGTTGTGGCCTTTAATGGTGACTTTTGTTTTGACATAACTAGAGACTATGCAGGGACACATAGTCTTAGTCATAGTTGTTTATTTTTGTGCAATATTTTCCATACATTACAATTGCTGTGTGATTACTTTAAGGGACCTCAATTATTAGTCTGTATCGCAATTCAGGGGCGACCCTGCTTCCCATCGAGTTGATCAGCAAAAGACAATCACATTTTGCCACTCTGACTACTGAATTTCTTCTGCTTCCATCACGAGCTGTTGATTTGGGGTTAGGGGGGGTAAGAAGAGACTTTGGCTACTTGCAGGTCATATTGCAACAAATGGACACAGTATCTTTACATTCAATTCAGTGAATTACCATGCAACCCCAATTGCTGTAATACACATACATTAAAGCACTTACATGGTTAGCAGTGACCATATTTCATAAGTCTAAAGGATTGCATTCCATTAAGTTTAATGACCGGTAGAAAAAAAGGACAAAGAATTGGCCAAAATTAAAGCGGCAAAATTTGAGATTACCTGGCATTTTGTCCTTAAATATAGGAACAGCTCCAACACGATTAGTCATTACTGTAATGCAACTCAATAGCCTCTTTTGCACAGTGCTGCTGAAGTGAATCTTGGGCCGTCTATTGGCAAGCAGCTCACAATCGCTCCACACGTGTCACGATACGATATATTGCGATATCAAAACATATTGCTTTATACCAACGAGATAGTCTGAACTGCCAGACAGTATGTCAAAATAAAGTGTATATTGTATTTTCATAGTGTCCCTGAACACTAAAAAATAAAATATATACTGTATATCACGCATCACATGATGTTTCAACACATTTCGTCCTCTCATTGTAAATCCTACATTGCTCCATCCCCCATGTGTTGGCGACTCGGGTCACTGTGCCAATCCACAGTAAACGGCAGCTTGCTTGTGAGACGCCATCTTGGGATTTTGGGGCTGTCACGTGGCAGGCTGCTACATGCTTGTATAGCTCAGAAGGCAATAGGCAGCCAGGGTTTAAGGAGCCATGGTGGAGGTTGTCTGCCACACATTATAATTAAAGCAATATAATTAACATTTTATTCAGGTCGAAACCTGATTATTGTTGTGCATTGACAGCAGTTGCTATCAAGCAGTTACACATAATTTAAAACGTGATCGCCTTAGTAAGCTAAGTCTATATTATTCCACAGCCATAGCTAAAACCACCAAGTTAGTCAGCACTGTGTACTTCTGGTTCCCTTGCCTCAAAGTCATCTATTTTTTGAATGGGCTTTTGGTCAGATGCCTGGAATACGGTATGAGGTTAACAAAGCTTTAGACATTTGAAGGTTTGCTTGTGCTACATGAAATATCCCAAATCTCAATTTTTTTTGTTATTATGTGTTTAAATAAAGGCGTTTGTTAGCAAGTGACTAAATGAGTACAAAGTGGTTATTTGGCTTAGAGGGGAGGAAATGATATCAATCGATTCTGATGTCATTCTAATCCAGTGAATACATTATACTGAAATCCTGTGTATCGCATATCACCATAAATCAGTTCACACATTGATTTGCAAGATTTGCCTACTAACCAGCATAGATACTAAATACTAAAATTTATACAATTGACACATGAAAAAACATATGGAGGTTGATACATGTATATTAAATCATTCAACTCTAACTTAACAACTAGTCTTGAGACGTCTCATTCTCGGTTTGCACTGAACTTTTTCTTCCTTCCTTCCTCAGCCTATTAGTCTAAAACAATTGTAAAATTGAGGGGTGTCATTAATATTTAAGCTACAACCCATCAGGGATACACATATCCCAACAGTATTTCAGCAGTCAACTACTTTGTGTTAGTGGTAAACTGCTAGACGAACTAAATAAACAAACTGTCAAAGAATAGCTGTTCAATTAAGGCTTTGACGGGAGGATTTGGGCAGTTAATAAAATATTTGAGTCAATATTTGCTCAGAGAAAAATCTAACAAAAGGCTTTATGTATGCTATCAATGTCAGTAATAAAGAGCAAAGTTCCCGCCAGGTCATTACAAGCTCCCTAAGCATCAGGGATGTTTTTAAAAAATTTCAAGAGGCTTGCTAAACTTAAACGTGTTGTAGTGAACTCACAAAGTATATAATAACTTCTAATCTAGGTTTCGTTATGTTAGAAAGTGTTCGGGGAACTCCTCACCTCCAGGCCAGTGCGCAAAAAGGTTGGCGGTGTGCAGATTGCCAGTTCAATCCTGCCTCCACACCAATTACGGTGGGAATTGGTAATCAGGAATCAGGAACATTTATCACCAAAATATGTTTGCCATACAAGGAATTTGACTTGGCGGTTGGTGCGTAACAGCAGATAGTAAGACAATGGACAACATAGTGCAAGACAATAGCATGTTAAATTTACAAATTTACAATTTGACTCGGTATAAAATAAAATATAAGGCTATGGGCTAGGGGATATAGAATAGACAATTCTAAAATAAAAGGATAAGAATTAATTAAAATTAAAATAAAAGTTGAAAATAAAGTGAACCAGCGAACAGATAGCCATTCTCTACACGCTGTGTTGTAAGTGTATGTGAAAGTGACCGGTGCATGTGGAGTATGAAGGGGAGTGACCGGTGGGATGTCCGAGTCAGTCAGTGGGGGACCGGCTCTGTTGATGAGCCCGACTGCCGACGGGAAGAAACTGTTGGTGTGGCGGGAGGTCTTAGTCCTGATGGACCTCAGCCTCCTGCCAGATGGAAGCGGCACAAACAGGTTTTGTCCGGGGTGACAGGGGTCGGCTACGATCTTTTTAGCTCGCTTCAGAGACCTGGAAGCGAACAAGTCCTGCAGGGACGGCAGATTGCAGCCGATCACCCTCTCTGCAGAGCGGATGACACGCTGCAGCCTGCCCTTGTCCTTGGCTGTGGCTGCAGCGTACCAGACGGTGATGGAGGAGCAGAGCATGGACTCGATGATGGCCGTGTAGAAGTGGACCATCATCGTCTTTGGCAGGTTGAATTTCTTCAGCTGCCTCAGGAAGAACAACCTCTGCTACTGAAGGTTGGCTCATTATTGAAGAGGCTTTGTGAGTCTACATAGAAGACATGTTGGTGTCTTGTCTTGTTTGCCAGACATCCAGTGACGACCACAATTGTTAGATAAATTACGTTTTGACAAAAGGGGTTGGAAGCGCTTAGTTGAAACTCACTATGCGGGTTGTGTTATGTGCATCAGACTTGCTCATATATTGGTAGAGTTTTCCCCGTACCAGTTTTCAAACTAATCTTTAATGGAGGATATGATCAAACCATGATCTGACCATGCTATAGGCAATCCTTTAAATTAAGTGTTCGGCACAGTGAATAATGAATAAATGACTAAGGCGGATAAAGCCTGTTGGCACTTAGATTGGCAGATTTTATTATTTTCTTGAAATATTGCCACGTTAACTGTAAACAGAGCTCACATCGTATACTGTGTATCAATTTTCTTGGCTTTGGTAAAAAAAACAATTAGAATCCATCTTGATTATGTGCGTTTCTGCTTTCTCTCCCTGCCAGAGCAGCTTGGTTTCCACTACATTTTCTATCTCAGACACTGTCACACCATCCTACCCTCCAACTGGCTGCTAGGCAACATGGCCCTCTGAATGGGGTGTATTTTTACATCTGTGTGTTCAGGGCTAAAGACGCTGAGAGTAGAAAAACATCCCTGCTGCAGCCTGGTTTCCTCTGTGTGCACAGTGGCTACTAAGACTTGGTTGACTATGGGACTCAAAAATGATCATTGTTTTACTCACTTCATCAAATATGCATTACATAATCCAGACCGGATCATTTACATTAAGGATTAGAATTGTGACAGCTGTGGCTGGAGGCATAATGTTCTTCCAGCCACATGTAGGCCTACACAATATCTGGAGAATCTCCATTGTCCTCATGGACTTTAAATGAGGATTACCTCACTTGAACTTAAATTTGGTGTTCAAAGGCAAAAAGGTCTCTGACATAAGACAATAATTAATGTGAAAAATAATGACAAGTGATCCTTCTCTAAGCCACGTCTTCCTGCGTCTAGCTGTGAGAGTTAGCGAGGAGCACGCACCGCCACCGACCGCTGTCCCTGAATAAATATGATCCAATTTTAGTGAAAAACACAATTGGCCTCATTCTACAAATGTTCTTAAAAAGAAATTTGTGCTTAATCCCCACTTTACTTAGTTTTCACGAAGATTCTGGCATTTACCAATGTTTTCTTATTTGGGATTTGTTCTTAGGTAAGAACAGAATTTATGCACACACAAGAGCACTCTTACACACAGTTGAGAGCTGACATGTGTGCGCTAAATAAGTAGATATACCATTTACGTTTCAAAAAAATATTTTTATTATTTTACACATAATTACATGTCTGTTTGTTTTAATAAATACACACTACACTTAAACCTCTGCTCATTTGTAAAGCACTTTGAATTGCCATGGTGTGCTAGGCCTATATAAATTAACTAGCCTTGCTTTGCCTTTAGTTCACATCGATTATGTTAACGAGGAATCTTGCCATCCAATAACAAGTGAATTTATCTCCATCGGTTGTGCGCCCTCCGGATACAGCATTCACTGCATGGGTAATTGCATTCCATGCATCGGTTTTATTTACCGCTTTGTAGCCACTGCTGGCGCTACTAAACATGATGTTGCATTTTGCGCTTACTTCTTGCAGCAATATCCCCACTTCAGAACTACTGAAGTTTTTCTTTTGGAGTCGAGGCCTCCACCGTCTTTCCCACGTCTTTTGGACATCTCGCTGAGTGTGCACACGGCCCTGCCATCTGCTAAAAATGCTAAATAGGAGCAACGGGGCACAAGCTTTCAATTTACGACATATTGGGAGTCATCTTTCTAAGACTGCAACTGCGCACAATTCTGCTGTTTACGAACACGTCATGAATCACACGTAGACTTTTCTCAGGAACTTTCAACAAATGTAAGAAATAACTTAGGAAGATATTGGTGAAAGAGTAAGCTACAAATCACCGTCTCACAGTAAGAGAACCACCACACTATTCCTGCAAAGCTTTAGGTCTTTTACTCACTGTAATCACTAAAAAGCAGCATGCGTATGCACGTGGTGTCGAGCGTAGCAAAGAAGTGCAAATGCTAGTTAATCTCATCTCTGTAACGTTAGCTCCACTGGTTTTTAGGTAGAAACCTGATATAATATGTTTAGGGTTACATGCGGATTCTTTGAGCCACCCTAAAAATATATTTTTCATTTTCTAGTATTCCTAAGAAGCAAATTACTGATCGCTCAATATGCTTCAAATATGGATCTTGTTTAGAGATACCAATACTAATGTGTGATTGACGTATGATTGTATGACTTGAGACTTCTCTCATTTTGCTTGTATGTGGCGGACGGCCAACCAAGGTGGTGCTTGGCTTCCATTTTGCAAACCTTACAGCAATGCTCCAAAATAGTTGTTAAAAATGACTCAGAAATGGCTTAGTTCTCTCATTTTGTTCACTTTTTGACAAAACAAAATCTTACATTTGCTTAATGACATATTTTTTGATTTATCTGTTAATCTCTTATGTGTTATTATGTATGTCTTGTATGTTTGTTTTAATGTTTGTTTGAGAGTTTACAGAGATATCAGTTGGCTCATGTGTTAAACACTGTTATATACGACAGAAAGCTGGATTTAGTTTATGTGCAATCATGGTACATATTCAATATCATCAGCGTCTGCTGTATTAATGAATCCTTTTCTGTCGGCCTGTCGTTGGTGACCACATCTGCCCCCCCACAGGGTCGTACCCCTTTTCACGAAGGGGTTTCTTCACCTTTCCTTGCTCTGTCTATAAAGTGAACTATGTGAAATCTGTGTAGATACGGATTTTAAGTCCATGGGGTCGTCGTGGCGCAGGGGTTTGAGAAGGTGTGTTGGGAAGCACAAGGTTGGTGGTTTGATTCCAGGCTGCCCCATGTTCCATGTTGAAGTGTCCCTGAGCAAGACACCTGACCCCTAATTGCTCCCAAGGCAAAAATGTGAAAAAGCCATGGGTTTAAAGTCTAATGTAAGTTTTTTTGGATAAAAGCGTCTGCTAAATGACCTGTAATGTAAGTGCGTTTCCATGAAAATGATAGGAATGAAGCTACCCCCACCCCACCAGAATATAGAAAATCTTGTAGGTGGGTGAGCAGCTCCTTCGGGCAGATAGCAGCTCTATTGACTGACACCCATGCAGTTGTTTCTGTAAACCCTCCTACACTAAATGATCTGTTTTTATTTATCACCTGGAATGAATAAAGGATTCCTGCAGGCAGGAAATCATCAATATTAGGCTTTAGAGTGCGTGTTACACAATCCAAAAAATAAGAAATCTGTACCTATATATCACCATACTTTTTTAACCCTTTAAAACTGCAACTTTAAGAAAAATGAGTAATTGTAATGCAGTGAATGTTAATGATGGTGGCAGACATTCAGGAGCATTTCAGCCTCCTTGTGCGATATATATTTGAGCGGATGCCTCGGCTTAAATATATATCAGACTTGTCGCAGCCATTGCTCTGTGGATGGCCGTGTCTGTTGTGTTCATAGCTTGAACATTGGCATGGGGAGCATTTGGCCATATTGATGTTTGTATTTAGCTCACATCCTTGGTACAGCCTCAGAGCTGCTAGCGATACTGTAGACATGTTAACATCTAATCATTGGCAAATGTTAAATTCTAGTGATCCCATACTAGTGGTGTGGATCCTGGTTTCCCCACTGAGGGAACAGAGAGCCTTCCACAGCCAATGACAGAAATCAACACGAGAATCACTTTCATAGTCCTATGAACGCTCTTCTATGTCTTACACTTCAATACCACATGTCATAATGCTACATATCGTTCACCCACTCATAAACTGATGGCAGGGGCTTAACGTCCTGCCCAAGGACAGATCAACCGCCCCGGATCAAAGGACGGGCAACTCTAACACTGAATAGTCCACCCTGTCAGGTTTTAAGTAGTGCGTATGTGTCTTCCATGAGTTGCTAGCAGTTCTGGACGTATTCAAGTATGTGTGACGACACAGAGAGGTCACTGTTCTAACAAACAAGGAGCATTTTGAAAATTCTGCAAAGAACAGCCATGGAGGTTTTCATGATACTGCTGCTCACCCCATTGACCTACTGGCTCCTTTACGTCGTCCACTGATTGGTTGCCTTGTTGGGTGGACAAAGATACACAATGATGGACAGATGGTTCACACAATCCTTTTCCAAGTCTTTTTCCACTCACCCAGCCAATCATTATTTTACGGCACTATGTATTACAAAACATTGTCTTGAGCCCATTAGAAATGTCTTATACATGTCTTTTGAACTCAAATCCTGTCCCTTGATGAATATTTCTTGGAACGTGTGCCCAGTTAGGAGCGTGTTTGCTTATTAACAAGTATGAAACTAAATTATAGACATCAATACGATTATTAATGCCAATAAGATCATTTAAAAACGATAATGAGACACCACCTTGGGATTAGGGAGCAATAACCAAACTTCAGTCCCATAATTGGTCTTTACTCAACATGCCAGTAGTCAAGTACTAAACCACAAGTGTAGGGACATCTATTTGTGTTTGTAAGGACGTGTGCTGTAAGCGCCAGAAGTTTATGTATTACTTAATTGGAATTTGGGGAATATTAATCATTTAATTTCTGAATTATGCTCATTGTGCAGCAACTAAAGATATGGGATATGTGAAATATATGGAAAAGCATTTATGTTACATTGAAGCGCCTTTTTTCTCACAATTGAATGACGTCATCGTCGCAGCAGGTCCAAAACAGAGGAGCTGCATTAGGCTGCTACATGTTGGTAAAACAATACGCAAAAAGGCAAAGAGGCAAAGACTTAAAGCATGTAAATCTTATCCGATATGGCGATATGAGACAATAACCGTCACTCTACAATGCAGAAAACACGACTCGTGTTCACCGGCTGTGGATCTGGTCTTTGAACCAGTAAAGTACCAGTTATGGATCCCACCTGCACTCACCAAACTAGCAAAACCAAACCCTCAGAGTTGTACACAGTACATAACCAAGGTCCCCATCCTTAAATATACACAATAAATCATTAAACAATACAGTAAGCTTATATATATATAATATTCTATTTGCGGCTTTGTGTCTCTGTGTCTGTATTCAGCTAACCTTATGAGTATATTTGTATTAAAAGCAAAGAGTGTTATTTAGGGACACTGTGGGTGAGTGGAGAGTCGGTGGTTCAATCCCCGGCTCTGCTGACCCGCATGTCCTTGGGCAGGACACTTAACGTCTTCGGTGTGTGAATGGTGTGAGTGTCTGGTACTGATGGGCAGGTGGCTCTATATGTGGTATCCTGTCATCAGGGCACGGATTGGTGAAGAACTGTTGTGGTCAGAAGGACACAAGGACAGAACCATTTAATCCTCTAGACCATCTGTCCCTCACAAAGTACCTTTACAACCACCTGTTCCTTCATGTTTGACCTGTGACTTCATAACGCTAGCTCAATAACATTTATACCATCTATTATTTCTTATCATTTGAATTGTGTATTTTGCTGCAGATAATCGGGATGGATGATCACAGCGTAAAAAAGTATCTGATGAAAACCATCTTTATCTGATGGCACGGATCATTAAAAGAAAATCTGGAAACTCTCATTCAGATATATTCACTGTTTCTCTCCTGTGCTCGTCTGACTGACGAGGCTTTTCATCCAGAACTGGTCTAGAAACGTACTCTTTCATTCACAGAGACAGGGAAAACATTGCATGGCAGTTGGGGCTAAATTAATAGAATAAATAAAATACATTTTCAGAACTATTCTCTCACTTGTATTGTTGCTCCTTAAATGCAGATCCCCATCCTGGCGTCCTCTGTTGTCAGTCTCTATTTCCTGGAGCTGACGGACATATTCCAGCCGGTGCATTCTGGGTACAGTTGCAATGACCGCAGCCTGTCTCTGCCCTACATCCTTCCCAGACAGGAGGTCTGCACTCTGCCTCTGCTCTTCAGCTTGGCCTTCGCCGCTCCCACCGCTACGGTAAGTAATCAGCCCAAACTGGACGTCTCGTCTTAGCTACAGCTAGCAAACAGGTGCTGTGAGTATACATTTTACATTACATTACATGTCATTTAGCTGACGCTTTTATCCAAAGCGACTTACAATAAGTGCATTCAACCATAAGGTACAAACTCAGAAGAACAAGAAACAAGAAAGTGCAATTTCCTCAAATAAGCCAATTTACAATTTGCTATAGATAAGTGGCGTTATAAGTACAATTTAAGTGGCGACAAGTACAAAAACCTACAACATTTAAGGAGACCTTTCTACAAGCATCACAGTATATTACATCTGGAAGCACATGCAATTATTGTATCAGGCAGGTAGTGTTTTTACTGGCGCAGTAAAATACTGGATCAGACTCAGGAGGCAATTTCCAATAGCTGAAACCGATGCAGATGCGTCTCAAACTTGCATTCTCCCTACTGGCCACCAGGAGGCGACTCTCCTGGTGGCAAAAGAAACTGTGATTGTAGACTGTGAAAACTTGAGAATGTGAGAACATTGTAAACATGAGTTCATGGTCTCAATCTCTAGTTTCAAGTCTTCATAAATACGGCATGAAGTTCATTTGTTAAATTATAGTCCATTAAGAGTCAAACAGACCATAAAGCAGGGGATGCTTTAGGGCGGGGCTACATGCAGATTGACAGGACAGGTCACTACCAGAGCCTTATAATAAGAGTGTCTAGCATGGCGTCACCCCTCCGCAGTCCACATAGATCACTTCACTTCACTTGCTGCAATAAACCACAATGGCCAAGGCCAAAATGCAAGCAATGTGCGTTATGCGGGTCATCAGTTTTGGTGAGTAATTCGAGTAATTAAAGAACAGCAACATGAATATCTGTTCTAAAGCTTATAATAAATTTAAAAAAACGAATGACAACATTTTGTTTGATGTATTTAAAGAAATATATAATAATGTATAGCTATGCATTTGAATTTGAATAGCTAACGCATTTTTGTAAATAAAGTAAAATTAGAACATTTAGAATTTTTTTTGGTTTCCATTAAGACGGCCGAAATGATTGATAAGAACATTTCAGTTAGAGAGACTATGCAATGGAGACACTGTTGATAAATGACGTGCAATTAGATAATATTTCCGGCAAAGTTCATCAGTGATCCTTTTAATATCAATTCACTGCAGTGCATAGCAGCACTGTTGTTGCTCGTTACCTTTTCAGCATAAGAGAAGCAACAGTTTGCTTGTAACTTCTGCTGCTTTTCACGTTGTGATCCTTTCAGTGCTGCTGCTTGCTGTGGAAAATGACTACTCTGTATCATGTCTTACATGAAATTTGTGATTTGGTTGTGACTCAAGCTGAAAATAGCAGGAGATGAAAAAATCCTCAGTTCCTCACATTGATACAAAAAACAAACATGGTTTTCCAAAGTCAGATGTAAAATCAGGTTAACACAATATTTATATCAGAGAGCCAGCACATTTTTGACAGAGTAGGTTGACAAAAAAGAATAAACAGACCAGTAGCTTTTTTTTGAAAAATTGATTACAAATTACACATATTTTCATTTTAACTTCTTCTTTCTTCTTTGATGTTTAAATAAACAAAAAAACCCGTAAGCTATCCGTTATGATAGTGAGAAATCAGCGATAATAAATGGTCTAGTAATATTCTATTTGGTGATATAGCATGTGCACTGCCAACAATCTCTTCTTGTGTCTTTGTGTAGATTCTCATAGGAGAGGCCATTCTGTACTGCTATCTATCCAGGAGGTCATCAGCCACACAGACGGAGGCCAATATCAACGCTGCAGGCTGTAATTTCAACTCCTACATCCGCAGGGCTGTGCGCTTCATAGGTGGGAGGACACATGCTTTACTGATTACACGCATGCTCGCAGCAACTGAACTAAAGGAACAGAAAGAAAAATAACAGACAACAGCTTAAACAGTGACATTAAAATGTTCTCTCTCTTCTTAGGTGTCCATATTTTTGGCTTGTGCGTGACAGCACTGATAACCAATATTCTCCAGCTGTCCACTGGTCAGCACACACCCTATTGGTTGGATGTGTGCAAACCCAACTTGACCCACATTAACATGTCCACCTGTGATGAAGCTTTCATTCTGGAGGATATCTGCTCTGGACAAGATGTCGGGCTCATCAATGCTGGGAGGTAAGTCTGTTTCACCAAGCAACTTCCTGTGGGAGAGAGTGATCTAGTGAGTGGTCAGAGGATGAGTGTGGGTGAGATTTTAATGTTTAGTTTTAGCACACTGAGACATGAACAGGCATCTTCTTCTAGGAGACTGGTTTTCTCCGTTGTTATGGTTACAGATCTGCTCTCGGGATGCGTATTCAGAAAAGGGCTAAATAGTAGGCACTGTCCATCAACACATGTGCTAGAACATGAACAGGGTACAAAATGGCTGTTTATGTGTGACATTATAAATGATGTTAGCCCACATTTACACATCGTAAATACCCAAAGTGGGTGTTTCACTTAGTGGCAGGTCTACCAAAAGGTGAGGCTTGTCGATAAAATGTATTGTATTGTACAACAAAACAGAATTATGCATTTAGTGTCCCCCCTCTGACTTGGCCTGCACGCCTCCCGTGTATGTGTGTGTGTGTGTGTGTGTGTGTGTTAAGGCCTACTAGAATCCGCCTCTTCGGTTGCTTGGAATTTCGGTCCCCGTTCGACTCTTAATTTTTGTGCTATCTGCATTTGAGTCCTCCGGTCCTTAAACGATCCTGTGATAATTGGTTCTATAGCTGAGTTTGTGCATCTAGTAGCACTGGGCAGTTTTATTGTCCCTAATTGTTTGCACTACCAGGTACTAAATTACGTTTTATTGTGACGTGTTCAGATTAATCTCATGCATAAGCTGGCAGAGGCACACAGACCTTTCTAAAATCTCATTAATGAAACGTTTTACCAAAATGCGGGCAGAATGTTCTGTGCCTCCCTGAGCACCAGAATGGAGAGCTGTTCACCTCAGATTCCTGGGTCACACGGGGAAAGGATCTGAATTATGGCAGGATGCACACTGACCTTTTTTTTTCTTTCTTTCTTTTATTAAATCTAATAACACCATGGCGGGTGCATGATTAAAAACATTCTCTTTTCTCTAAACTGTATTACTACTGTGGAATGTGTTTGAATGTGTAAACTTTTAAACGCGTTCAATAGGCTGTCTCAGTAATATTTTAGTTGTGATAATATTGTGCATACGTACATACTGCATTTACTACACTCACTCACTTTACTACACAAACACAAAATGAACCGATATGTGTCACCAATTCATGCATGTAAAATATTAGTGCAAAATCAATACTGTATCACTAAACATTATATTGCAATACTCAAGTGTATCGATAGGTTCTTGAATCACTGCAGGTTACTGTTGCTGTAGCCTCATACAGTAAGTAAGTAATCGCCATATTTGGGAAGCTATGTAGGCTTTTAAACACATGGACAGCTACCACCACACACACACACACACACACACACAGACTGTTGCAGATGAAGATTCAGCGTTGTCCTCAGCTTTTGTAGACGAAAAACACTTTCTTCTGTTCTTTATAGGAAGTCTTTTCCTTCCCAGCATGCAACTCTAGCTGCCTTTGCTGCTGTCTACATCTCAGTAAGTGGTTCAAATATACTCTATTATAAATGCAGAAACTTGTAGCTGACGATGTGACACCAAATCTAGCCCCAGAAATAGAAAAATATATATTTTTTGGGGTAGTTTACAAATGGTTAAATATATTTAGATTCAATTTAATCAAATGCTTGAATTGGACAGTCTCATAGAACACTTCTTTGGGACAATCTGTGTTTCCATCAACATTTTGGAGATGATGAATGGCTCGTGGGAAATATCTGTGTTTCAGATGTACTTCAACACAGTGCTGACGGACTCTGCCAAGCTACTGAAGCCTCTCCTGGTGTTCTCTTTCGTCATGTTGGCCATCTTGGCCGGGCTGACTCGGATCATCCAGTTCAGAAACCATCCTGTTGACGTCTACTGTGGATGGTTACTGGGATCTGCCATTGCTGTTTATCTGGTAACACCTTTAACCAGTCACACCATTATGATGTATGGACAGAAGCTTAGAGGCTGTGTTGTTTTTGTGGGCTTCTAGCGGTGAGGGTGCAACATTTTGAAACTTTCTCTAATGTGTAATTGAACTGCCATGAAATTACTGTAGATACATTGCCCAGTGGTAAGGATGTGGATATACAACTTTTACAAATGTAACGGAAAACATATTCTCATTTTTTGGCGATTATACCTGTATAAGTATAATTAATAATTCATAAATATTAGCTACTTTTCAAACGGAAACTGTCATATCGATCTACCCCTCCTCTCCGAGGACGAGGTGGCATAAGTCAGCCGAACGAGTAGTAGCGGCAACCAAACGGAACAGCGCAAACGAGTCAATATGAAGAAAACAACGAGCCTCTCATCGGTCGGAAGGAGGGAACCGTCACAAGCATCCAGCACATTCTTGCTCATTACCTCACTGGAGTCGGCCTGGGTCGCTTTGGAATGAAATTAAATGTGCCCGTTACTAAGCAAGGATCGCCAATTAGCATTAGCATTAGCTTCGGTCATCTCTTGCGGTCAACCGCACTTGCGTGACGTGACGTCGTTTTTCTATGGCACGCGATCAACCTATTGTTCACCCTGCTGTAGAACCTCCGTTTTTATAACTATTAGGTTACTTAATATTACCATTACGTCTTGAAAATATGCCGATTGTGATATCCCCACACAAAAAGCACATCGCAAAGCAGATCAAGTACTGATGTTATTGTTTTTTGTAATCTGCACCCACCATGACCATAACCATTACTATGCATACGATTTGATGTACATTATAATATATTTCTTTGAATACAATGTGAGTTACAGTAGTTAGTTAGTCGGTCAGAAGCATTTCGATCAACTGACCCTGTGGTCAATAGAAAGGTTTATATTTTATGTATATGACCATTCTTTTTCAGTGTTAATATGTTAATTACTGTATGCGAGAGGGCGGAATGAAGATGTTTGACGTTGACACATTGTCCAACTCTCTCTATGAGTGTGGTCTGAACGGTCACAATGGCTAAGTGAAAGTTTTCTGAGGGCTGGATTTACAAGCGAGGGGGAAAAAAACTGGATGCAAACTTCTCCAACATGAGGGAGCATCCTTCGCATCCAGGGTCACAAAGTCAAATATAGTCTGACAGTATACAGAGGTTTGGTTTGAGTCTGGAAAAGTATGGCATATTAAAACAGAAATAAGGTGACGCCTTTCAGCCAAAAGCACGTTCCATCCATGATTTATTATCGGCTCATTTTGTGCTAGTTTGTATTTGAAAGAGGGTTTGTGTTTGAAAGGCATTTTATGGAGATGCCATACACTACTATTGATTAATTGCGTTATTCTGTAGTTTTATGAGCTAAAAGTTGACATGGCTGTTCATCTCTTGAGTTGAAACTGGTCGGTATTTGCACAGTATATTTGGTACCTCCCACACGGCTTCACCTTCCAGCCCACACACACAAACAACAACAGTGGTACTGAAACAGACACGCCCACACGCTTCTCAGCTGTCGACATAATAATAATGTCCCTCTTTCCCTCTTTTTCTTTTCCAGTAAAACATTAAAAAATACTTCAATTCATGATGCACTTGGGGACAGATACATTGTGATGAATCATGACTTATTATATTATTCGTTTCCAGACCCGGCCAGCGGAAGCTAGTATTGCCCCTATAAAGACACATGCAATTAGTAATGTTAATTCATACATTTCAAAAAATCTACCTGTCAAATCTCATCAATATATATAAAGATTTACAAGTCTAACAAGTTACTTTGATGAGAGAAAGTAGTGACTCGGGCGACGTTCGGGCAATGCTGCGGCGATGATGAAAGCACTTTTATTACGCTATTTGGAGGTGTTGAGGCGGGATATCTTATTGTTAAGGCCAGAGGTGGGTTCATTGATGGTCATTTTGTCGACCCTTTAACCAATACTTAATCTCAGCAAAAAATAAATGTTTACAATGACGATGGACGGCTTATTCACCGGCGTTAGCGTCCTTTTACCAACTGTGGTTACGACAATTTTAACTGTTTATTTTAACACTGTTAACACTGTTAAATCACCTGAAAACATTACACGATCATTTTACCGGATAGTTAAAGCTAAAGCTAAAGACTGGCCGGGTTTGGAAACCACGGCCAGTCACGGGTGGAGGGACTGGTTGGGGCGTAGCCTCATTAGCCCGCAGCCATTTTTTAGGCCCCTGCTAAAGAATATATTAGAGTATATTTCTGCAACCACAAGGTCTATTGGAATAATCTCTGTGTAAAAATGGGGAACACGTGAGATTTTTTTAGATGGGTAAATATCAGTACATAGTATATACAGGTTAAAAGTAAATGAAAATCACACAGCACAAGTAAAAAAGTTTCATGTTTGCCTAAAATAAAAAGCCCTTTCAGGATGATTTTCTGCTTGTAATGATGCTGTTATGGAAGCACATAATGTTAACCTTCCAGCAAAAGTTGATTTTGATGAAGAGAAGGACAAGTTTTTAGCAATTATTCTTAGTACCGGCAATTCAGATGAAATATCCAAAATGTCCAGTTATGCATGTTCAGGAACGTTTTGGCACACAATTTCTGAACATTTCTCAGAAACAACCCCAGACCCTAATTTGGGTGCCGGGGTGGGCAGGCCTTAGAGGATATCGGTGAAATCTCCGGTGGGCCGGCGGAGTTGGGCTGGTTTATTACCGGCCCACCTCTATCACCAACTAGCCCTCCCTATGACATCGCAGGACCTGTCTATTTTATTATTAGTCACTCCAATACATAAAGTTAATAATCACTGACTGACATTTAAACTACTTCTCGCATTCTGTATTCATGGTTTCCATCTTTTTTACTCACCTAAACGTTAGTCTAACTTTGTTTTTTGATGTTCTTAAATATCACTCTAGCCCAGACATGTCATAATTATATTTGTGAGTAAATACCATATATCTATCATAACTGGCCCGCCGGTCAAAAGGACGCACACGGCTAATACTAAAAGTCCCAGAAGGCACTGCAAAAGCTATTAGTGACACAAGCGCTTATGGGCCGCTGCTGTTTCATAGTATCACTCAGTCAGAGCCGAGAGCATCTCTGCGCTAATGTTGCATTGTATCGATACTCAAAGGTATGAGTACGTTAAAAGCAGTACAATTTGGTATATTTTTAGTATTGCTCTGTCATTAAAATAGCGTGGGATCAGAGCGCGCTCACTGCTCCGCTCCCACTGGTCTACCAAGCCAGTCCTCTGCTACTTACCCCATATCTCTTATGATATTACTACAGCTATCGCATTGCTGTATGTACTAAATCATTGTTTTGGAGCATCCAGTTATTTACAGGATTTTATTTAACCCCTCAAGAAACTAAAGTCTAAACTGAATACATCACATCTCTGAAGATTAGGACACTGTTCGTTTCACTGAGGCTTTAGTTGAGGTTTTGGTTCAGGACTGTGGAGCTGACATGACTGCTACATGAAACTGGATTTGACAAAATGTGTGTATGCACATGTATTTGCTCGATTCTTCTCTGCTTTTCACTATATGTGTGTGTCTGCATGCAGGGCGTCTATGCAGTCGGGAATTTCCAGCCCAGTGAGGATCGGTCCAGAAGTCGTGCATCTACCCCCACCCTGAGAGAGCCCCCCCTTACCTCCTTGCCTAACGTCAGTCAATCTGCGATTAGCAACAGCCACCAAGGTAAAACCACGCCTGCAAGATGTCGCTTGGAATTACAGATTCCTTCATTATTGGTTAGATAAGGACCTTTTTTGTTTGTTTGTTGAGGATAAAGTTTACCCTAACCCTAACTCAGGAAACAATTCAGGATCTTGATTGGCGAATATCTGTTGCCAAATCGGGTTACCTGGCAAAGCCTGGATGTGCTAACAAGCTAAACTGTTAAGCTCAAAAACGAGTCGATCCTACCCTTCCTACAAAGCAAAGCAAATTGTGTTTTTAACTACAGAGGTTACCCCTAACGCAAATACATAATGACTTCTGGGTGAAGCAGAATATTCTTGAAATGGTCTACAAGAATCTGGAAAGAGTTTTTGTACAAAATCTCCCTCTTTTCAAGGGAAACTTGAACTTGAACTCTCCCGTTTATCCCGTAACAGGTCACCAAACCCTCGCTCCCAGCCAACCAGAGCCCATCATCACGAGGACCTCCTCCCACACGTTGTCCCCCAACCAACCAGAGACCAGATTGACACGAAGCGCCTCCTACCGAGAGCCATCCCTGTCCAATCTGAAGCGAGCCAGCGCTGAGGTGGAGGTGATAACCCCATCCAGTCCCCTGGGCAACCATGACAACATGATGACCTTCAGCAGCAGCACACTGCCAAGGTAAAGTTTTGACAACTTCAGAATCAGAACAAATGTAAATGTCTTGTACTTGGGTTGGGTTCGGTGGGAAAAAAGTTAAGTGATTAGGATGACTCCATTCAGCACAAATATATGAAGAAGAAATGATAATGTCAAAACTGTTCAACCCAAAAATAGTTTCCGTCCACTTATTTTTATTTGCGGTATTAGTGATTCATTTAAAGTCTGGACAGAGGGGTTTGTCTGCTCTGAATGTGGCTGTGAAGGACTGCTGTGTGAGGAGTAGGCCACCTGTGCGTGTTTTTGCAGGGAGGGAATGAGGCAAGTACAAAGCTGGGATTTACTGTGAAGGGACCTTTTAGTCTGTAAAGTCCATGTTTGTACCAGATTTCTGTCAAAAAGAGAAAAAAATTCAGCGATGCAGGTTATTAATAGCTTTGCTTCTCTCAACTCTGGAAGAGATTTAAAATGCAAATGCCCACCTAAGAGTTTTGCTGTCTTTCTCCATTTTTCTGTCCCCCAGTGGACTGGTTGGTCTGTGTATGTATAGGAATTAAAATATGAATATATATATTTTTAAACATGTTAACGTTTAAGCGTTACAGCCGGGGTTGAAGGCATTATCCCACTTTACATCCGTCCATAATGCTGTCAATCCTTACCATTCTGGTGGACATGACATCTCAGCAGATCCTTGAGGCCATTGCTTGGCACGCATGTTGACTTTGACTCAAGAATGAACTGATCAGTATGTGGTGGTCAAATGTCATAGGTCAAGGACACTCTGCCCTCACATCAGAATCAGAAACATTTAGAATCAGAAACATTTATTTGTATGGTGGACATATGAAAAAATTGTCATGGGGTCATGGTGTGGGAGGGGGGGGGGGTGCATACACGGCATTGGACAAAAGAGAATAAATCCATGAATTCATCCGGCACATACATTTATTCAAGAAAACTGATAAAATAGGATAAAATGATCAAGTGATGGCTTTTTTGGACTGATGGCCAGTCGGCGAAAGGTGGTAGTTCTAGTGGAGATGTTTGTTTAAGGATTAAAGTAACAGAATGTTTACTACAATTTATTTGAGAGCACAAATTAACAATTGGTACATTATTTCTGCAATGTTCTTCTCTCTGGTTGTTCAAAAGGTTTCTTTGCCCATACTTCCAGGTCTCATGGAGGCTCCTCATTGGAGGAGGGTCGTATTCCACGTCGCCACGCCTCCATCCACACATCAATGGACTCAACCCGATCCAAACAGCTGCTCAGCCAATGGAAAAATAAAAACGACAACAGAAAGCTATCGCTGCAGGTGATGGATGGAATACGACCAGCCTCCTCCTCCTCTCCTCAGAGGAACATGGAACTGCGCTGCTCCTCCGAACCTTCTGCCATGGGCCTGGAGGACCACCGAGGTGCAATACACCTGCCTTCACTTATTGCTTTTCAGGAAACAGAGCTGCGTGCTGGGGCCCACATCCCAGCTCAGTACATGAAACTAGCGGCAAGCTCTGTTCCTATGGGCAATCATAACCACCTGACCCATAATGGCAGCACTGGATTGACTGGTGGGGCCAGAGTATCGATCCAATCCCGACCTGGATCCTCTCAGCTAGTTCACATTCCTGAGGAGGAAAATCTCACCAGCAGGGATCAGGAAAGTGAATCAGAGGACAGTATCATGGATGGGGGCGGGTCAGTCAGGGAAAAGTGGCTAAGAGTGGCAGAGAAGACCACCATCCCCTGCCGGCCGCTCAGTGCTGGAGGACAGCCTCGTCTTATGCAGGTTAATCATTGTTTTTCTGCACTAACTTCTGCACTACCTTTTCCTAAGCTATCTGTTTTGTGATTCTAACAGCAAGTCAAGCACTTGCAGATTTAATTGCATGATATACATGTAGAGTTCCAAAAATTATTTTCTAAGAGAATGTTAGAATAGGAATATCAAGATGAACATGAACAGAAAAAAAAGAAGAAAAATAAGCCTAAGCTGCAAACAGTGTATATGTGTCTCTGAAGTCCGTAAAATACACTTGAAACCCTTGTTTAAGATGCTTTTTGCCTTGAACAAAAAAGTGTTTGTTGCACTTAAAGGGTTATTAAAGCACCTTTGTCCAAATATTTATGAAGTAGCGTACACCCATTTCACATGACTAATCAGCTGTTTACATATTCACGCTATATTGTCAATGGCATCAGTACGAAATCCGCACGAAACATGGTCAGCTGACCTGAAAGAAATCTAAAGGTCCGGTGAAATACTTTTGCAATAGTTTTTTGAACATTAAAGCGTGTGAACATGTCTCATAGAAACCCAAGATTAAAGCATGAACCTGGAAATGGGTTTATGTGTCTTTTACACATTTGCTTTTTAGTTATCGCCTTCTGTTAAAAGGCTCTTAGTTATAGCATCAGCACATCTCTAACAGACGAAGGTTAGTAGCTAATGAGTAAACATCACAGCTACCAGGCACACAGCTCACATACACTGTTCTCCTATTTCAGGTGATAACCTTATCAAAACAGCAGGGTCTGCTGCACTCCCCTCGATCCGAGGATGGCGGTAGCACCGTAAGCTGCACCGGATCCATTCGGTACCGAGCCCTGACGGACCAGGACCCATCACCTCCAGCTTCCACCACTGGAGCAGTGGGAGGAGGAGGTCTGTACTCCTAATACAGTATTCTGTGTAGAAGAGAAAACGAATACATGAGCAATTCTCTGCATATATATGTGAAGACTCTAACGCGAGCGCCTCAAGCTGTCCCAAAAGAGTCCGACTCTCCGCGGGAAAGTCCGTTGTATTTAAGACTGAGTTACTTCCCCTAAAACCTGAGCTGCTTCCTCCTAAAACCCGGTTCAGACTGAGTCTAGGTTGCACAACGTGTTGTTTGTCGTCAGGCTGCCGGGGTCAATCAAGGGGTGAAGTCTGGTTTGGCCCCTCAGTTTATCGACTTCTCCTACTCCGTCGGTCAAGCACAGGTCAACACATCCTGTTTGACACTTCTGTCTCCTATTATTGAGCGCCTGTACTTGCCATCTGAACTAAGCATATAAGCTTTAGCTAAAGTAAATACATAGTACATCCCTTTGCCCACAAACAAATAAATGAACCGTCTATGATTGCAATGGTAGTTTTTTCCTGATATACACACAAAATTGTTTTGCATGACACCAAATCATATTCAAGTTGTACATGATTTTCATTTGAATTTTGGAAATAAGTATTTGATCTTCTAACTGAACATGACACAGTACTGTGCTAGCACAGAGGTTAGACGTTTCTTCTAGTTGGTCACCAGATATGCACACATCTCAGGAGGGATTTTTGTCGACTCCTCTTTCAGTTCCAGACATTCTCCAAATTCTCAAGGTTTCGAGGCTGTCGCTTGGCAACTGAAAGCTTCAGCTTCCTTCACAGATTTTCTATGAGATTATGGTCTGGAGACTCCATGACTCTGCTTCATCTTGAACCACTGCTTTGTTGCATTGGTGGTATGTTTTGTCGGGAGCATGGAGCATTGTCGGGCTGGACGACCCATTTGTAGTGTCCTGGCTGAGGGAAGGAGGTTGTCGCTCAAGATCTCACAGTACAGGGCCCCGTCCATCCTGCTCTTGATGCAGTTAAAAACGGCGAGTCGCTTGACTTTGTCTCATCTAACCTTTTCCCCAGCCTTCTCAGACCCATTCGGGTGTTAATTGGCACACTACAAGCGGGCCTGTACATGTGCCTTCTTGTGCAGGGGGGACTCTGCAAGTGCTGCAGGATTTTAATCAATTACAATGAGTATTGTTTGGGTTTTTTCTAATACTACTAAATTGAAAACCTTTAAACGATACCGGTGCCTATACGGTGCCTGAACCAATGATGGGAAACATTGAACTGGCTGCCGTCGGTTATCAAAACATTGGCCAAATAACCCGTTTTTCAGGCTTCATGAGCAAATACAGACTCTCTTTGTGTTCATTTCTAAAGCCTCATGAAGACACACATCACTTTATTTAAGACGCTGCGCTACTTGCAAGTCACTGTGTTGTGCCAGATTCTCAATAACATTTACGACAAACCCATGGTCATGAAGATGCTCATTTGACGTTACATGGAATCTGCATGAGGAGGAGGAGGCTCCATGTCGCTAAATACGCAACTGAGATCGGCTTGTGCCGCTCCTCATTACAGCAGCCCCATCGTAAGCTTGGGCGATACGTTTGGGCTTTTGCCCATTTGGGAGTATTGTGCCCAGCCTCTCCATGAGTGTGGTAGCGATGGTGTCAGCGGTTGCGTTCTGGATGGTAATACACTCAAAAAAACGCTCTTGGATCTTACTCTCCAAGTCGATGTAGCGCAACACAAGCACCAGCTGGCAGTGGGTGGAAATATCAGTTGTCTCATCTGCTTGGATGGCCATAAAGTCCGCGCTCTTCCTTCAGAATGCAATCCTTTATAACAGCCAGCATGGAGTCCATCAGCTCGTTTTGTACCGTCTTTGACGTGTTCCTCCAGCACACTGTCTGGGGAGGCAACAAAATCCACCAATCTCTTGAAAATGCCAGGGTTGTCCGATGAGTCAGTCTCATCGTGCCCACGTAAGGCCAACTCATAAGCCCCACAAAACTGTTGTTTTCATGTCCCTTGCCGCCCCCTGCCCCCCTGTCCTCACACATCTCTCAACTCCTCCTCAGTCTCTCCTCCTCCCCCACTCCATCCTTGTCATTGCTGGATCTGTCGCTGTTGATTTAAAAACTAAGCATAGGAAGCAAAACACAGAGTTATCATAACTGCATCCAGTTAGCCAAACCATGCGGGTGTACCAGCTTTCAGTCAGAAGCTTTGCACGTGCGTCTTCCCTTTCATGGCAGTCTGTTGACGGATTGTGAGGTCCAGCTGATCTGGGCCCAGTTATTTCCCCTCTTTCTCCGCAAAAGTTCTTCTGTCAAACGGCTCTTTGAGGAGAGAATGTACCGAGTTAGGGTTTGGTCTTGTAGCAGGGACGTGACATGACAATACCCAGCAGTATGCTCAGTATTGTCATGTCATGTCGCGAGACTCACCCTGACGAGAGCGCAGCGTAGGCGCGGCGAAGGGCAAGCCCAAATCTCAATGTATTTTAGGATGCTAAAAACGATATGGCACTCATTTATCTTTATTTAACTGCTTCTTAAACCCGCCGCCAGCTAAGACATGCAGACATGTGGAGAGGACGTACAGGAAAAGCATATATTTTGCGCACATATATTAATTTATAAATATTCCTGGGTATATAATCAATGTTTCAAAACAAAAATGCTGACTCTTTGTAAAAAGAAATAATAATAATTTTATTATTGTTTTTTTTGTCGCTCAAGGTGGGGCCAACTGTACAAAGTGCTACCGTTGACCTAACGAGTATCATCCGAGTTAATGATGGCGCATGCTTCTGCGTCGCTGTGTCGACGCACTCGTTTCAATTCATGGTTCTAAAAGTATTGCGTGTGTTGCAGAGCAATTTACCGGCAGAACAATAGGTGGGGTAACGTGTTTTTGTCGAAGTCGTTGTTTATTAATCATAGACTTTATTGACCCGTGCATCGCCACTGCTGGTTTTCACATTTGTCACATATTTTCCTCCACAACTTCAGCCCTCGACCGGCAAACTGATGTTTGCGGAGATCTCCCTCCATGAATCAGAGGCCATCCGCGCGTCCTTATAGTCCGCCAGTGACGGCTTGTATAAGCGGTCATATTTACGCATTTCTTCCGACAAGAGTTCTTCAATCTGATCCGTTCCCTCGTAAACATTCTTCGGTTTAATAATGGCGGTAACCGGAAATGAGAGACTCCTTAAAGAATGTAGTTAGCAGACCAATCGCAGCCTTGTGCGCTACGGGAGGGTTGCGTTGCTTTCAACGCAAGCCTAGAAAAATGGGTCGACGTACGCAAGGTGTGAAAAGGCACGCAAGGGACATGGACAATGGACTCTTGCATCTGCGTCTCTCTGAAAACGCAGAAGCATAAACTAGGATTTAGTCTGGCCGAGAAAACCTTGCTAACTGATTGTCGTAATGTTTACAAAACAAATATACAACGTGTTACGGTTGATCTAGTCAACTAGTACTGCATCAGTTAGTTTGGGTGAAGCCACCCTGCTAACTGATTGCTGTAATGTTTATTTAAGCAATAAGGTACGAGAGGCTGTACGTCCAATAATGTAATAATAACAGTTTGGGGGTGTTGTTAGGCCCGACACGCAGCGGAGGGCCGGCAACCCACGAACTGTTACATTATTGAAGAAATTATAAATAGTAAATTAGGAATAGTAAGTAAATAGCTGCCTTTTAGCACAAAATAGTTGTAGCTGCCAAACGTATGTATCGCATTTCAGTAGCCTAGAGAAAAATATTGGTCTCCTTGCAAGTTCTCGCATCATCTCATTCATTCACATCACTCATGGCGCTTTGCCCGAAACCTATCATTTGTAAGATTTCCGGTCTTTTTTCGGCGATCACCACCAAGCTAAAAGCTGAAACTGTCGCACAAAACCTAACCTGTTACTTTGAGTGCGCAGTGATACGGAACGCTCGGGTCAATGTGAACAGGTACTGTACATTATCACTGAATAAGAATAGGCTGTTTCCTGCGGCGTAAGATGAGCTGACCGCCCGGTGCTGGAGGAGTCAGATGGTCCCGTTAACAAGACCTCACATCTCCCACATCCTCAGAGCAAATTGTTACGAAGGCTGAATGTTGATAAACCCACCGCAGGAATGTTGCTTAGACAACTAACTTCTCGTTTGAAAAAGTCCTACAATTACATTTCGTGACTTAAATATGGTAGTAGTTATAAGCTTGGACCTACACAAGGACGGGCAAGTCCGGACATAAAAGCATATTAAGGAAGGGCGTAAGATTGGTGCTTTTCGCTGTTCAAAACCCGCCCTCTTTGCTTCCGCCTTCCAGTGTACTGAGATGCCGATGCTAGTGAGATTTCATGTGTACACACTAGTGAGATGCTCTTAGGCGGACCAGTGAGATGCGCTCGAGTGTTTCATTAGTACGCGTAAAAGTGTCTCAGTGGTGTGCGCAAGAGTGTCTCACTAGTTAAGTCCTAAACGACCCCTCATAATTATTATTGTTGATTGTAAAATGTACTGTTTCTGTGTAATGTAATGTTTCTTGTTCTGCTAGGAGGAGGTTTGGAAAGAAGCGGCAGCATAGTCCGTGTTGAAGCCCACCCAGAGTCCAGATCAAATAAACCGGTGGTAAAACCTCCGAGCAACGACGGAAGTGGCTCCTGGCGATGGAAACCACCAGATCAACGAGCTTCGCTTCGACAGTCAGCTTTCGCCCTCAACGACTTGAACAGACACACAGACAGCTGTGATTCGCTGAGGGATGGAGAGTCAGTGGATGGGCGAAGGAGCGTTACAGGAACAGAATCTGAAAGTGAAGGGGGAGGAGATGGAGGGGGAGGTGGAATAGGAATGGGTAGTGGGGGAGGTGTGTACACCAACCACCCGCATGTTGTACACCCTTTACACCCCTTGCATCCCAATAATCCCAACAATTTCCAACACCCCAATTTTAACCCCAATAATCCCAACTGTAATAACCCCCACTTTAACTTCAACCCTAACTCTGTCAACTTCAACCCCGACTCTGCCAACTACAACCCCAACTCTTCCAACTTCAGCCCTAACTCCGTCAACTTCAACCCCAACTCCGCCAACTTCAACCCCAACTTTGCCAACTTCAACCCCAACTCGAGCAACTTCAATCCCAATTCGACCAACTTCAACCCCAATTCGACCAACTTCAACCCCAACTCCGCCAACTTCAACCCTAATTCTACCAACTTCAACCCTAACACAACCAATTCCATGCCATTCACTCCCTCTGCATCCTTTGCTCCTCCCTTCCACCCCCACCCTCAAGCCCTCACCACAATAAGGGTCACCCCGGTGGAGGGCACGACAGCCAGCAGCGACGGTGGCTCTGACTGCCAGTCGGTTGCATCGTCGAGCCGTGAGTCCACGCTGCGGAGGAAGAGTGGCTCCCAGTTCGTCCACGCCCCCGAACGAGGGCCCACCCCTGACCTCCACAATAACCACCACGTCTCTGACGACAGTAACCGCCTCGACAACAAAAGCAGCAGCCGTTTCCACGAAAACCTTCGAAGTTTTCAAGAGAACCCCATCCACCCTAACCACCCCAATCAAGGCAGCAGGCAGTTGCAGGGGATGTTTGGCCGTCCAAACCCAACCCCTCCCCCTACCTTACCGCGCCCCATTCTGAGTCACACTCCGCCCCCTACTCTGGGGTTGGCCTATAAAGAATGACACACTAAATCAATTCTTCTTTACCCGCGATACAGAATATGTCCATGGCTAGTACTTTCCTCTATTACTGGTAAGCCAACAGAGTCATGGCCAAAAACGTGTTCGTCCCTACTACAACATCTCACCTGGCCAATTAGGGAACAATACTCTAGTACCCAATAGAATGAATACAATGTCTGGACAGGAGCTATACTGTCCGCTTGTCAAAACAGCCAGAGGTTCAAGATCATGATCTAAAGCCAGAGAGAGTAGTACACAATTACCACGATCTAGATCTCCAACTGGTTAATAAGAAAGAACTATAGACAGGGGCCAACATAAGTGGGGGGAAGATGATTCAACATTTCTTCTTGTGTTCATATTTTATCTGGATAAACCCAGCCAGTTTTTATAAATGTAAAACATTGAGTGCACTTTCTCCATAGGCACAAGGGCAATGGACTAAATAAACTGCTGATCCTGTGACTTGAGGGAGAGACTCCATCCCTTCGGTGTGTCCCATAGTCCCTGCTAGTGAGGATGGACTAAGCCTCGTTCCTCTGACTGCTAGGTCAGTTGTCATTGCGGTAACTTTCTTACCACAACATTTATACATACGGTATATTCTCAGCTCTTATCCTTTATTCAAACACAGATACCGATATTGATACATTCATGTACAAATAACCACATGCCAATGGATGGAAATTTGCATCCAAAGCCCCTAACTGTGCTGTGTTTGTGCTTATGAATGTGGGTGGCCACAGTGGAAATTAAATTCACAGTCTTAATTGTGTCTGGGGTGCTTGGAGTCCCTTCTAGGCAATACCAGTATCTCTTAGTTGATGGTGGAATTCTGTTTCTGTTGGAGAAGAACAATATCACCTAACATACTCTGGATCAATGGATGTACAGTATATGAATCATTCTGACTGTTTAGTAGCTGTTCTGTACACTGGCACATTCAACATCTGAATCTTCTCAACAAACTTGGACGATACAAGATTTGTTTGTTTTGTTTTGTTGTGGTTAATTTGATCAGCTCATCATATCTCCCAGTATTAATGTGTAGGTGTAAGTAACAATTACTTTCATGACAGCTGTTGGGGAAAAAAACAAATCAAATGTTTTTAGAATAAAATTGAGAAAAAGGTTACAATGTTCCCTGGTACATTACTGATAATTATTAGTATAATTTTGGTAAGTACAAATTCTCAAAAGACTATTTTAAAAGTTATTTCAATTTTACAACAAAACATAATAATACTACAAGAATTGTCTTTATATTATTTTTTGGTCAAGCAGAAGATTTGAAAGATTTGGAAAGCTTTTACTTTTGGACGTCAAAAATCCTCAGTTTGACAAGTATGCTGTTCTAACCTGGTTTCAACCATAGAATATCAATAGTAGTTTATCAATTACATCTTTATTCGGAACAGATTACTTTTATTTAACTAATGTATTGTTGAAATCAGTATTTCTCTGACATAACAACTTAGTCAGAGTGTAATTATGATGCTTACTTTGCTATTGTAGTGTACATGTGTTTGAATTCATGAAGTTGAAAATGCAGAGATTTTTTACACCATGAGTCCTGGAGAGAAGAACTCATACCATCATTTAAGTTTGCTGTTTACTGAGAGAATGACCAACAGACTGTCTGGACTATTCGTCCAACATAACTCCTGATTTTCTTGCCAAGTTTTTACATAATCTTTTAGCTTAGTACCCAAGTGCAATCAAAAGAAAATTCATGTGGTTGTGGGCTTGTCACATAGAGTTAGTGCAGGACTGGAATGAATCTGCTTGAAGCAAAGATCTTAAAGTGTGATCATGCAGAACTTTAGAAAGCACAATTGCTGCAGCTTAATGACAGTGTCAACAGATACAACTATACAGGGGTCTTGTATTGCTGTGTACATATTTGTATATTTCTGTAAACTTCCACCTCTGCATTTGTATGCGAGAACCTGTGATAAATATTTAGGTAATGGTGTCGCATGAGATGATGGGTACTACTGCTAATGGCGTTGTAGAGCCGCACACATGTTTCTAATCGACACCAGTGGAGAGGACTTAATTATAATGTTTCAGCATTTATTATAGGGAGTATATATTTAAACAAGCTAATACTGTATATTATGTCTCTATGGTTGTGTGTGACAGTCACTACTCAAATCTGTCACATTTGTCTTTTCTACCTTACAATTAAGAATGGACACACGGAATAAGATCTAGAGTTTGCAAGCTAGTGCCCTCATTGGTCAACGATTAACACTGACTTTAATTAATGAGAAGGCTTTAACAAGGTTTCCGTGTCCAGTGCAGTAATCAATGATCGTATTCTACTCTTTTCCGTTTTATTGCAGTGCTTTTTCATTTTATCTGGAATTGTCTTTAAAAGACCAGTCATTGGCTTGTGTGAACATACAGTATGGAGTAGTACTAATGTTGTAGAGGGTACAAGCCACAACACGCGTGATGCAGATGCTGACTTACTTACTACTAATTCAAATAGAATTCAAATCCTTTGAAAGGAGAGCATTCAAATATGTTGAAGGTTCAACAACAATTTTGTATTCATATTACAGCCAACATAGCTTTGGCCAAAGTCCTAACTCAATGACCTTTCTAGTGAATATGTACCAGGCAGTCAACATAAGTTAATGACATTGTAAACAGCTGAGTATTGAGTTATGGAACACATTTTTGGATATCGATGAAAGAGGATATTTTCTGGCAAGTAAAAATGGCTATTTTGCCACCATAATAATAGATACTTGCCAAATTATAGTTATTTTGCCACTACAGAGCAGCAGTATCTCACTGAAGTTTAATGTGTAAATGTATGCATGCACAGTGGTGGCTAAGAGGCCATGTTTTATTTATAGTCCACGCCAATAAATACTTTTGTTGGATACTAAATGAAAGTGTACACACGACCATGAATGTTAGCCAAGAAAGGAACAAGTGCTATACTTTCCTGAGACCCTCCCCCCTGTTTTCTCAGAAGCGAGCTTTCCGGTCCTGCTATGCCCCTTTCCCTCAGGCCTGCAATGCCCTTGCCGCTGAGTTCAGTGTACGTATGTTCATGTAGAAACAATAAGATCATGTTCGCCTTGAAATGTTTGCAGCACATGTGTAGAGGAAGCACAACTATTAACCACATGCTACTAAAGTTTATGGGTAGAATGCCATCGCCGGGTGGATGTACATCTGTATCAGCCCCATGACCCCGGCCTCACACAAAGCTGCTTTACCTGCCTAAAGCTTGCAAATATTTTCTCACGACAAACATGGCATGAAATAGTTGTGCTATTATTGTAACACAATCCAAAGGAATTTAGTCCTGTGTGTCCTATATATTTTTTTCTTTTCCTTTTAAATCTTTGCATACACACATTTTGTAACATTTATCCAGTATACTCATTTCATGAATTTACTGTGATGCGGCCAAGCAGTCCCTGAACAAAAATTGCACACATGAAAGTGTTTTCCTTTTGTATAGTCTTGGACGACAGAGAAGTATATTTTGATACGATAGAGTGGAGTAATGTAGTTTGTATTCAAACACAAGAAATGTTGATGTAAATGGCATGTCAGTGGATTGTCATTTCAGTTAGATATGCTACAAGTAAATATTTTTAAGTGACTATTGTACATTTGTGTATAGTTTTATGTGCTTCTCGTAATAGCAAGTAAGTAATATGTTTGGGGTAAAAGATGCATTTGAAAATGTAATATATGGTCTGGTTGGAAAGACAAATGGATTTAGAATATTGATGTGTTTGAAGGGAAGACCTTGGGTTATAGTTCATTAAGAAAGGTCCATAATTAATAGTTTATTATTAATAGTTTGGTTTCTCATGAAACCTTTAAACTGATTTTTTTTGTCATTTCAATTCCTTTTTTCAGTATTCTGATATAGTGATTTTTCAATCAATAATCAACATTGTGACTTGGTGAAAGTTTCTGAATGGCTACATTTACAATGATGGCTTTGTTAACAGAAAGGTTTTCATTAAGGGCCTCGTGACAGCTGAATTGAAGAAGCACGAATTGTATTCCTGGTGGTCTTAATATGTGTGTCAACATATGGTTGGAGTAGTAGGAGCTGGTGCGATGTAATCTCAGTGTCCAAGCAACTTGTTTACCCCTTCATGGAATTGTGCCAATTTCAAGTATATGATTACATTGTTAAAGTGAGCCCAACAATAGCATCCTAATGAAAGATTGCCAGTGGGTCCCAACACTTCAGCGACAAAAGTACAGCCAAGAGATGTAATCAGAGACCAAACGGACCCAATTAGTTTTAGTAAACATTTTATGAATCAGATGATATTTAGACATCTCTGAAGCATTTCTCATAATGTGGTGAGCTAGCTTCATTATTAACTTTATCAATCAAAAATGTGTTTGCAATCCTAACAATCATTTCTTTCTTCATCCTGTGTTACTATTTTATGAAACTACCACATTTAATAAGTATGAAAACCGGTTGAACTAGCTGATGATCAAGTGTCTTTAGAACAATATTGTGATGGTAATAAGATGTTTATTATCTCACTTGGATACAAAGGTTCCTTGGATTGTTGTTAATTTTTTTGCTAGCAGCTACAAAGCTAGCGTTCATGCTACCTATTGTAAATAAAATTATTAGGTTTCTGGTTATTAATTCAAACCACTGCTAAAATTTTCTCTTGAATGTGAATTATCCATGGATACATACTAATTTTTCATATTTATAATAATCACTTACCTTTGTCTTTTCCTTTCATTGAAATGTTATTGATATGATATAATATACAGATATTTTTGATCATTGTATATGAAAGAGATTTTTCTATATCTGCTTGTCAAATGTCTTGCTTATTACCATAGCACACATCTTCACTCAAATGATTGCATGGTTGCTATACCTTACAGTTAGCACTAGCCAACGTGGAAATCTCATTTTGATCCCACCGGAAATACATTCTGCAAATGTCTCTTAAGGATCCTTAAAAGCAACCAAAGCTGCTGGCATTTACTTCATTTTCTTTGACTTTCTGCTGTTGCCTCCCAGCAACGGGTCACATCAGAATGCTCTTACAACCTGCTGGTACAACAGAAAGCACTTCTTATCAGATACAGGAATCTGGTACAAAGTGGTTATCAGAAGACGGATTGCTTGGCCAATATTGGTTGCAGACAATACATATATACAGTATACACATATATTTATGTAAAAATAAATGTTTTATGGTATAGTTCAGCATTCATGGAAATACACTTAATTTATTTCTTTAAGAGAAAGCATTAAGGACGGAGTTTGAGTCAGGTTGTGGTTAGCTTAGCTTAGCATAAAGACAGGACGCAGGATCAACAAGCTTGCCTGCTTCTATCTGGAGTTCAAAAATACAACTAGCAACAAAAGCTGACTACCCAACTACGTGCATGCCAAGAGAAATGTAAGCAGCTTCTTGGAGAGTTGCACACTTAAACAGTTCTCTAAAAAAAATCAGATTAGTTATTTTCCATAATATCTTGCTATTACAATAATATGATCAAGAAGATTGATTGTCAATACCTACTGTCAATCAGACTGTTACCATGTTACTGAAAAGAGAGACAATGCTATTACATAATAAGTTATACAAAACCAATGTCATCCAAAATGAGGACTAATTCGTATTAAGAGTCGTATTATAGGTTGTGTTTTGTAGCTGTTGTTTTTTCAGATTTATAATTAGTTCACATACGCTAAAAGCTATTTATAACAAACAACAATGATGGTTTGCTGTTTCTATTGCTGTACATAGAAATTTGTATCTTTATACCCACAAGTATATCCTGTGTGTAAACCCAGCCTGGTGGTCTGGGTTGTTAGCTTTGGGAGAAATGCTACTGTATGCTAATGTTTAGCATAGACTAACGTTGATTTTTAGCCAGGCCTGGAGCCAATCCTCCTGCGAGTCAATCCATCCGCAGCCTGAACAGACAAGAGTGTTCATGCTGTAGCCCACTATCTTACTAATGTTACATTGCCTAGAGGACAGAAATGTACTGTATTTACATTTAGAAACTCCATTGCTTGGTTTCCATGGATTGAACCCAAGCCTCACGTCCATTTGGTACACTACAAGAGCTCTGACATAATAATAGAAAGTCCTTGTGAAAAAGTGGCTGTTGGAAATAAAGTGTAGGAGATTTTTCACACATACGTTTTGTAGATAGCTTTAGGAAACATCCACTGAGAGGTAATGGTAGCCATCATGAGGATTGTTAAATGATGAATAAATAAATTAATCAAAACATCAACCTTTCCAACACATAAATGGTAAAAAAAACAGAGAAATAATAATTTTATTGAGACAGAGATTATGTCACTATTTATATTTAGAGGGCAAACGTTTATTTCTCCACAATGTTTGTTCTGGACGTATCACACATACATGGATGTCTTTATAGGGATGTGGTAAGGCCCGATGGGCGGGTCAAACAAATACAGGACCTTTACCCAGAAGACTTTTGCTTGTGTCCCTTGTAAAACCAAAAGGGAAAACCCAATATCCTAAAAATAAAGTCATATTCAAATGTATTTTTGTTGCGGACAGGGTAGAAAAATGTGTGTATGCGCTAGCTAGCATTGCAACCAACATAATTCCTGCACCGCTCACTCGTCCCTTTCCAAAACTGCAGAGACATGACCCGGCCAACAACAAAACATTGGTAAGGAGTTTTGCCTCAATTAGAGGTCATCCTTTTCATAATGTTGAGTAACAATAACAACAGTTCAGACCTGAAATGTGAACTTGGTCCGTATCCAAATAATGTGTATGTGTTAAGATAGCTATTGAAATGAAAATTTGCCTTTCATTAGGACTATTATTTGTTGACGGCTAATTGCATAGTGGACGACTGATTTGTTATTTTTTAAGTTACTCTGTGAACATGTACAACAGTGATCAGTTAACTGAAATGACAGACATCCTTACGTTTCTGTTTTCCAGTGTTGTCTCTGTAATCAAATAAAAGTTTGATATCAAATCTGTCTGCCACAGTTTGTATTTATTTTCCCAGCCTTTTTTGCCTCAGCACTTGGTTGTGTTCAATTCGATTAATTTTATTTTATTTTGTACAAACCAAGATCCCAAATTACAAATTTGCCTGAGAGGGCTCAGAGGTGTGTACAAATGCGACATCCTCTGTCTTGAAACCCTTGCATCAGCACAGGAAAAACTGTGCCTCTATTAGCCTTGCTCGTTTACCATCCATCTCTGTCTCTCTCTTCTTCCTCATTGCTGCGGCAACCCTGCAATCTCAGTTGGGTTTCCATGGCAATAACACGAAGGAAAGCCTAGAGACCAAGCAGACTGTGGGTGGGTGGGTGGTAGATTGAGAGGAGGGAGACAGAGGTGTGCTTTATTACACATATCTGAGCACAAACACGCGAATGTGTTTGTGTGTTAATGTAATGTGGGTCTATATTTATGTGTGTGGGTTCGTGCACAAAATGCAGACGAAGCTTTGAATGGCTGGTCAGAAATTCACCATGGCAACTATGCCAGTGAGCGCAGAATGACTTCAGCACACTGGCACGTTCACACACACACACACACAAAATGGAAATAAACTAGTCAGGGTCCAGGACAGCAAAACAGCTAATGAGTGTTCTCACCGCCGAATTCAGAGGGCGCTGTGCTGTCTGACAGTAGAGTCCACACTCTGTGAAGGGCAGGGGGTAAACATGAAAAAGGGACACCTCTGAATTTACTAACTAGTGCTTGTTTTCCTTTAACATGAAGTAATATATTTTTGGCCACCTGAGGGCTATTGCACAGAACCAGGATAAGGGATTAAGCTGGAATACTCAATTTATCCTGGATGAATTTAGTTTTGACTTGGTTGCATGAAAGCAGGTTGAATTAAACTCATCCAAGTAACCATGGTTATTTATTTCTTTGCAGCTAGCCTGCTCCAGACCAGGCTAACATGTGTTAAATCAGCTACCACTCTGATCTGAAACAAACGTGTTTAACAGTTATTCCGGACTGGTCAAGAAGATCCGGCGGACAATAAAGACATCGAAATAACGGGGGGCGGGGTGGGGGAGTAATCGTTGTGGGCGGACCGACCTGCATGAGAGGTATAGATTTACTGGAGATGGAATCTGTTATTTGTCCAGACTGCTGACTTCCCAAATTCAGCACCAAACAGCGCGGAGCCATGCGCTCACCATCACAGATGCAGAGCTGCCAACTTTAAAAAAAGTTTTTTTTGTCGGGGGTGACCAAAATATTGCTGCAACTCAAATATCAGTGAATTGTAATTAATTTGGTGTTGTACCCATGTTGTGCCCTGCAATCTGGTGGTTAGTGGTGCCCAAAGTCGTTGATTGGAGCGGCCTACTGGAGATGGACAACATTGGTTACATTCTGTGAAGCAAAGACATAGCTGTAGGTCCAACCCCAGGAAATTTTGGTTTAAGTAGATGTTATTTCCTGCATTTTAGTGGGGGTTGTATGCTAAAGGTGTGCAATTCCTGTAGTTATTCTGATTCATGATCATCTGACTTCTAGACTTAACATTCAACCAGAAAACTATTGTTGTGTCTCAATGACTGTCTATGTGCCACAACAAAGCCTAATTAATACACATAGATTTGACATTCTGATTACAATGGTGTTCAACTAATTCTTAATTGGAACCTAACCCATATTGTTAATAATTGTATTCTTAAGAGCACTCAATGATCTTTGTTCAGCAAAAAATTACACAAGATTAGTTGGGGAGAAACATTTTTTATTATTCAAAACCTCCCGCCACACGTTCCATCAAACAAAAAAGTGCAACAAATAAAGTGCTTAAAGAGTAGCCTTTTTAAGCAATACAATGGATCAGCACATGACAAAATAACTAAAAATGAGGTATCAGATGCAGATCAGAAGTTAGTTAGTAATTTTCTATGATAGATCTACGGGCAAGGTTGATTGATCACTATCATAGATATTAAATACTATGACGTTAATCACTAATGATGTCATCTTACGGTATATAGCCTCATTGATCACTATATTATATACATAAAACACTATGCGCTTAATCACTATTAATGTAGACACACAGATGAGGTTCAGGTACATTTTCAATTTAATTTATAGTGATGTTTGTGCATTTAACTGTAGGAGGACTACCAGACTGATTATCGGCCTCTTGATGTTTAAGTAACAAAGACAAAAGCTAGATGTGTGTGGAATGTGTTACTATCCAGTAAAATATGAACTGTTTAATTGTTGTTACTGTATCTAACCTCCTCTTACTGCATAAGATTTATAATATTTCATAAATGTCATGTAATACAACAACCCTGAATTAAATATTCACCTCAGTAATGTTTTGTGTTTCTTCCATTCAATATGAATACAAATGAGATATACACCTGTCAGTATAATCCAGTAAAGTTCAGCAGCACCACAAACCACAGCTGCTCCTCTTCGACGGCTTTAAAAAGATGTTCGACTGTATAGCAACTCTGATCTGACACATTATGTCTGACTGTATATATATTATATTGTGTATATATACACACACACTACCGTTCAAATGTTTGGGGTCACATAGTAATGTCCTTTTTTTAAAGAAAAGCACTGTTTTTTCAATGAAGATAATATCAGAAATACACTCTATACATTGTTAATGTGGTAAATGATAATACTAGGTCAACGTCTGGTTTTTAATGAAATGTCTACATAGGTGAATTTAAGCCAGCAACTCTGCTCACTCACAAAGTAGTAGTACATTTTATTTATATAGTGCTTTACATGGTAGGCTACTCAAAAACACTTTACAGTAAAACCAGCACATGTAACACATGAAACACCGATACAGCATTAAACCAACACATAGAACAATCATATTAAAAGCATTTAAAACAGTCTACAACTTTCCTAGTAAGATATTTTAAAATCTTTACGCATTCAGTCGGTCCGCGATTGTCTGCCAGGCTTTTTTTCTCTGTTTAATTACAGCTGCCATTTAAAAACATTTTTTTGCATATTATATGCATTACCTCCCCATTAGTTTTCATAATTAGTTTCTGCTCAGCGGGTGAAAAATATACCGCACACATCTTCTTCATTTCTGCATCAGTAAATCTGTGATTGATACCGTGGTCTATTTAAGAAAGCCGTGAACGTGCACTTATCCCAGCTGTGTACACCTGGATTGACTTGGCTCCTCCTTCTCATCCCGGCTCGGCAAACATGCAACCGATTACGCCGCGATGACCCGATCAAGTCAAGCTGCGCTTATTCAGTTATCCTGGGTTTTTTAATCTACTTTTGTGCAATAGCCCCCTGGTAGCAATGCAACAAGTTACACCGTCGTATTATGACCACATAGAGTTGTGCCGAATTTGTTTGGAAATTATCATTGAAAAAATATGAATGGAAATTAACAATAATGTTGCTTCATTTTGTATCAAACATTGACATTTTTAGGCAGTTTTAAGGCCACTACATCTCATTTTTTTTACATAGCAATATCTGTCATTTGACATTTGGATCCTGAAGTAACCCAGCCAGAATAGCCTGTTGCAATCTGCTGCTAACATTGTCCAGCTTGTTTTTAGCATGAAAGCTAGCTAATCAACTGTATTACCGTTGTTTTTACGCTATCTCTACCTATTTGCTTCTGCAATGACACTGCAATGCAATGCTACTTGTTTTTCCCATTAAATTATATTCAATTTAGGGAGATTAGAGAAAAAAGGGTAGGAACCTGAGTGAAAACGACAGAGGAGGATCCCTCTCCTGGGTTGGACAGACAGCAACGGATGTCATGTGTACAGAATGAACAACATAAAAGATGTACGGTATGTTCAATGCATGTGACAGAACTGATTTAAATATTGACAGTAGTTAGCCAGGTGCAAGGTAGGACCACTGCAGGGACAACCACCAGCAGTGTAATTTTATTATGACGTAATAATAATTGCAGCAGGTTTCAGCAGAGCCATAGCAGGAGGCAGGACAAGGTTCCAGATAGAACCACGTTCTACGAAAACCTGTGAGCAGAGAATACCAGGCTAAACACATACATGATAGCCCAGTGTGTGCACAGTAAACATGTAAAGTTTCACATTGATGAGGTACTGAAAACTGCTCTAGAAGAGGCTTTTGTGCAGGCGTCACGGCAGAGAAAGACAGGAGTAGTTTGTCTGCCGTGAGGCCTGCAGGTGAATGCACTTTTGTGACAGATATTTTCAACTCATAGGAGATGGCAGTTGATGTTAGCTCATTAGCTATCGCCAGTAAAACCGAGAATAACATTAATAATACAAATCTTCATACAGTTTTTAATGTTTCGAGTGAGTTTTGTGAATAACTAACAGACTAACTTAATATAGACACCTGACAACATGTACATATTAATTATCAAGTTTTGAAAGTTTTGTATTTTTTATATTGCTTATAATTTATTTCCAACTTTGTAATCTCATATAGTGGTTACAATAAGTGGACGCGCACTAAAACATAATTTCAATAGACAAAGAATGAAATAAAACAAATACATCTTTATTTATCCTCATATTCACTGACTTATTCAAACAGTATTTTAAACACAGAAATTGGTTTTTATGTGAAAGGTTAATCAATAAGGTGGTCGAATTCAATATATCTGAGCAGAAAAGAGAACCAATATTGTCTCGACAATTTGTCAAAGAAAACTGAAAATAAATTGTGTTGTCCTAGCCGTAGCCATACACTATTTAAACAATAAAAGCCACTGGATTAAAATAGAGCCTGGTAAAGCCTGGTAACCCAATGCCCAATGCAAGTATTAGTGATACATTTATATTTTTCAGTTTTTAATTCAATTTATATAATTTTGTATGAATGAAATAAGATGTGTTACCATTTTGAGATAACACATTTTTTGTTATACAATGGTAATAGAAACATTTTTTTACAGAACAAGTTAAACCAGGTTTTTGCAAATGACAATGTGATTTTACACATCTCATAAATGTCTTCACCTGAAGAAAATAATGTGAATTTAATTTCTCAAAATTTGAGTTCACATCAATCCCCCAAATTACATGACCTATAACTTAAATTAATGACATTGGTTTATTTTTTAGTTTCTATCAATCCCATCTGAAATAGTCCAATGAGTGGTAGTTGTCATTTCAGTTTTAGCACGGTGACGGTCGCCCAAAGAGCGGAAACACCACAAATGATCGGTTTTAGGCGATGCAAGCTTTTGCAACCGGTTTTTCTGAAATGAGATACACAACATTTGGTGTCTACAACTATTTTGTGCTGAAAGGCAGATATTTACTTACTATGTATAACATCGCTGGTAACCGTGTGATAAAAGCAATAAGGAACTTTAGGCAGTACTTTATCTTCAATAATGTAACAGTTCGAGGGCGTTAGCCCGACGCGCAGTATAGCCTCCCATACCTTATTGCTTCATAATTGCGGGGGCAGGTTCCGAAAGAACCTCTAAACAACCTCAAAACATATCATATCAATATCATATCAAGGGTGCTGAAGGTTGTTAAACGTCATGTACTGGTAGAAGCTTTTGAAAGAGAGTCTATAAATAGTGACGATAATAAAATAACATAAATACAACTCACTCAAAGGAATTCTTCTTAGGTTGACTGAGCAAATTGATCAGCTACACTGTGTGAGCAAATACATTAGTAGCAGAGCTAAAACATAATGTGCCACTTACAGAAGTTAGGAAACACATAAACTGTAGAGTACATATAACATTACTGACTGGATCTACTGTAACACTAGTCTTTGTTTGGTATTTCTTATTTTTTAACTCCATTCACCGTATCATACATACAACTCCCCACCTGTGCTACACCAGCCTGTTCTCCTAAAATGTGACAGCCCCATACAACACTACATGTCTTTTCATTCATTTCAGTCACACCTACATAAATTCTGAATTTATTTCTGCGTTTGTATGTATTTCTGTGTGGATTTTTCTATTTGCCTATAGTGTAACGTTATTTGCCCCCCCCCCCCCCCCCTCCAGCCTCCTACCCTTAATGTAAGCTGCTACACACATATATACAGTGGAGAACTGTGCAGAGGAATTCCTCCACATGTCAAACAGAAGGAGTAAGTGGCAAATGGACCACTGGATGCACTGCTGGGCTAAGCTAACTGCTAGGCTAAGCTAACTGCTAGGCTACTTCCAAAACATCTACCCTGCAGAGGATCACCACTGTGTCCCTAAAAGACCATGGTTCGGAAATCGTCCTGGCTAAATGTCGGGAGATGTTGGCATTTCAAACACAGCCATCAAATGATGGAGAGTTGAGAGCAAAGTGCACGAGGAAAGCAGGAAGAGTCGCTAGTTCAACATGTTCCACCAGGTGGAATTCTGCCTCCATGGTGATCACATGTGTGTAGTTTTGTGTTTAAATTACACAGCATCTAAAAAATACACTTTCTAAAGTGATTACTCGTTCATTCATAAGATTTAGTCTTTGAAGAAAAACAAACTTTTAATCTGAATTAATTCATTTGTTAATTTTCTTGATTGAAATGGGATTGGTTGAAAATGAGGGCATCTGATTGGCTACAGATAGATCCATATTAAAAAACACACACCTTTGCGAATCGAGCCACATCAGAGGAGTCTCAAAAAAACACACACACACAAATGTGGAGAAATCCACAAACAAATAGACAAATCCACACACAAATACAGAAAGATATTCATAATTTACTTATTGGTGCATTGGAGTGTATTTGCTAATCGTTCTGCAAGTATTTGAGTCAAATTTATTTGTAAATGTGCATTAGTAAATCAAACGTATTTGTGAAATGTTCTGTGCAACGTTTTGAATCTTTCTGTTTGCATTTGTGAGTTTTTGTGTGTATTTGCAGGCTGTGGTTATACGAGCTGTGAATGTGTGGGCAGAACCTTCCAGATACACACAGAAAAGCTCTTTATCAAACATTTCAGATTACAATAGGCCTACTCAAAAAAGGTCAGGGAGAGCATTCAGCTTTGAATAATAGTTTTAGCCAGAGAAAAATAGAAATATTTACAAAACAAACCTCAATAAGGAATCAAAAGAAATGTTCACCTGCAATGCTGAACAGTTTTATTAGCCGACCAAACAACAGCTAAAAAGAGGACACAATTAACAACTCCTGAACTCTACACACACAGGTCTAAACAAAGAGCACGTGGGTTTGAGGTTTGTAAACTACCACATTATTTATAGATAATCTTACATGTACACAAAGTTCAGCTGGCTCTCACCAAACCTCTTCATCACTAACCGTTGACCTGCTGGGTTTGAACTGTGGTGCTGAGTAAGCCACATGCTGTCCAGTGAACCCGGGACCGACATGCACCGCTGGCCATTCTGTATTGTGTTGAGCAGATGAAAGCCGTGGACCCTCCCCCTCATTGGTTGATTCCACTTTTGGGCAGAAGCTCTGACTGAAGGATGGGGGGAGGACAGGGTTTTTCCTCCGTCGGAAGGAGCGGTTGTCTGTCATCAGATGGGCGTCTGGAGGACTGGACCTCACATTCTGAGTTCAGATGCTGCTATGGACAGATATACAGTTGGTTACGGAGTTCTATGACTTTGTTAGGAACTATGAACTTTTCTTTAAACCAAGCTATACAAAGAAGAAACTGATGGGTGTCTATGTGGCATCTTTCTTTACATCATGATGATATACTAGTCACTAAAATCAGAAACAAATAATAAAATGATGGTAGCTTTGATGACAAATTAGACAGTGATTCTACACCTTAAAGGCAGCCCATTCCCTCATTAGTCCCTCACTATTTAGTGTGATCTGCCAGATAGTCTTCTATGTCACTGAAAAGCTCTCCAGCGTAGCCTGAGGCTGTTCCTGATCTGTTTGCCCGAATATTCGACCAAGGATTTTTGTGTGACGCCTTTTTGGATTTGTTGGCCTGTTGGACTGATATCCCGGTTTTGACCCTAACTGGGTCACACAAGTAAAGAACTTTGATTGCGTTTCTGTTTCCGAGTTGTGCTTTTGGGTTCTAGTACCTGTAATCCTTACAGAGAGCATGACACCTGATTAACGTGTTGGGTGGGTGTACAGTACAATGGGACCCCTTGACGTCAGGGGTGTGTGGAAGCACATTCTATCGTTATCAGCCTCATAGATTTAGCCACTTTCACCAAGGAGACCGCTGTTATTGTCCCATCTAAGTGTTTCTCATTCTCCTCTGTGAGTTAAGAGACTGTGCTCCTGAAAGATGAACTGTACCTGTGAGACTGAGTCTGAGCTCTGGGTCCGAACAGGAAGCAGTCGTTGATCGAGCCTCTCTGGCCACTGAAGGTTCGGGGGGCTCAGCGGTGAAGGCCGGGAGTATGAATGAAACACACATTGACTTCCAGTCTTAGGAAGCACAGAGGCGCAAGCCATGAGGGAAGTTTGAGGAAGGGATGAGGATGAAAAGGCATCCTGGGGGACGTTGGGGGAAGAAAACAGTGAGTGATATGAGGTGTGAATGACTGAGGTGTGCGTAAGCGGGGAGGGGGCAGCCACATGGGAGACCGAGGGACCAAAATCCAGAGCGGTAGATTCTGGTTCATGTGGTTGATCTGTGTTTTCATTCGACAGTCGCTGCCCAGAGTTGGTGGTTGGTGACTTGTATGTGGGTGAGGCGAGGCTCGGGGTGCCAGTTGGGGAGGCAGCATTGGTGGTGGGGGGGGCGTTTGATGTTGGTGTCAGGGTGCTGTAGGAAGGTGGGATCATTGGCATTTGCCTCTGCAGCAGCTGCATGATGGTCCCGATGTCTGCTGACACATGAGACTCCAACCTGGGAGACACACACATGTGCACGCAAACAGAAGAGCTACAGTACGTGTGTTGATTAACCATTGAGACCGGACTGCAACTATGCCAGCTGCTACAGTCAGTTCTACAACCTGCTGCATGTTGTCAATTGAAAACGTTCATTTAATAAAAAAGAGTTCAATAATGAAAGTTATAAACACACCTACATACTCATAATGATATGAAATGATCATAACACACTATAAAGCATATTTATCAAAAGAACAATGCACTTTAAAAGTAATTTGTTATTTATCATTATAAAACCATTCTAAAATATTACAACTTTGATTCTGATTTCTTACAAACAAAATATCACCTGAAAACAATCAAGTATTGTGATCACTTGAGAATGTATTAGATATTTTAATCTAACTATTCTGAACAGTGTGAGTGCTTAAACCAGGGGACTCAGGGCAGGGGCCCGCCGGGGAGTACCGACTATGGGGGGGGATAACAAATTCTGGGGGGGATGGGTGGATTAACAAATTCTGTTCTGCAGGTCATCAGGGACGACGGGGAGCATTTCAACGCCAATAGGCTATCGCGCTGCAGTGTCACATGATTTTGTCACCAAAGTATATATATTTCAACTTTCAACGCTGCTTGCAGCTTTAATTTATTCATTAAAATTGCAATCTGACGTACATGTAACATTGCCGCCAATACTGACCAAGCCGTGTTGTGACCCACCTGGTTATCTGTGTCTGCAGTGCTTCCAGCCTCTTCTCCAACTCCACTTTCTTCCTCCAAGGGATGGACAAAGGAGGAGCCGTGCTGGATGGACAGTGGGAGCAGAAGGGCATGTCTAAAAGCTCCAGGGAGGGGGGCTGAGGAGGAGGTGAGGGAAGGCTGTGGGAGCAGGGCACCTCCTGGTATCTCGGCTCCTCTCGACTTTCTGATCCCCAGAAGGAGAAGATGTTGGACACTCCTGACAAGGCGTCTGGTCCAAACACGCAAACACACACAGTGTGACACACAGAGACATTTGTTTGTATCTCATTGGCCTTTAATCCATCTCTGCACTGACCTGTTAAAGGGTTACAGGTCCTCTCCCTCATGTCCTTTGTGGCAGCAGCAGGATTGGAAGTCTGAGCGGGGATGCTATCCTCTGAATCCTCCCCTTCATTGTCACTGAAAACACAGGGTCGTGTCGACACAGGAAATCAGTTCACGTTCCTTTTTAATGAAGGATGGTGTGCTTCACAGGAGGGAAACAACAAAGGAGGTCTTACCTTGTTGGTTGATGATCATCTCTGTTGCTGCCTGCCCGCTGCTGTCTGGAACATCCAACTCGCTCTCTCCCTGCTGGCATGGCGTCACCTGACGGACACACCAACACTCGCTGTGAGTTTCTGTGATTTCCACCAATGTGTTTGTATTGTAACCAGTGGTTTGGTTTTATTCTGCTGCATTTTCTTTATTGGTACCACTATTTGAAGTTAGAGCACTGGCAGTTTTACTTTTCCAACAGTAGGTTATTAGCAGGGCTGTAAAATTGAACGTGTTAATCTATGAGAGAATTGTGGCCGTGATTAACGTGACTAAATATTTTAACAAAGTTAACAGAGCTTCGTTTTCTTCCGGTGTGCTTTGACCCCTGACAGGAAACCGCCGCGTGCTGCTGTCAGTTAGATTGGAGAGACTGAGCCGGTTGTTGAAGATGGAGAGAGCTTTTTACAATGGAAGTAAAACAAACAGAGGAACTCCGCACAGTTCAGTCCATTTAACTCTCAGTCCGTTTAACGTGTCAAACAGAAGGGGGGTGAGTGACAAACGGCTAAACACTCTTGTTTTACTCGTTTTGTTTTGTCTTCCTATACTAGATTGTATATGTGTGCATTTATGAAATGAAAATGCAAATATTGTCAACATGTAAAAGGAGCGTTAAATGTGAGATGCAGCTAAAAATGATGTTTGTTTATTATATTATAAATCTGTTTTACAAAATGTGTCTAAAAAGAGACAGAATGCTTAAATATTCCCTCTTGTTGACTCCTGGTGAACATGTGAAACTTGTTTATGTGCTGCATCCTGGACCTGGACACATTTACAACCTGGAGAAATGAACAAATTGAAATGATGGTGCAAGCAGCAGAAAACAGACTAAACTGCGTGTGGGTCCTCAACGAATATGCTGCTCCAATAACCCGATTGAATGTATGGTTAAATTTGAGCTGCAAAGACGTTCTCATCCGATACCAATAATACTAACATCTATATGTAGTGGGGGTGGAACGTTTCACCTTTGTGAATGGAAGACATTTTGTGTTTCCTCAGAGACGTGCTGGAGCCCTCACAGTCCGAGTCTTCATCCTTCAGCTGCAGACAGAGCGAGATGAAGATACACGTCATTCAACATTTGGTTTAAAAAGAAGACTTTATGATGTACTGTGGTAAGAGTTCACTCATTAATCAAAATTTGACATAGTACACCCACACTATTCGTATATTTATGGATAAAATGTACACGTTATATGTGTAATTATATTTAACATAATGTTTTCATATAATACATCTTTAATTGCAATGTGTTAATAAGTTGAAGTCATCCTTTTAAGTAGTTTTGAGCCTTAAGTAAAAATATGACGTGAATTTCAGACATCTACATTTTCACTGAAATTCAACATGTCGCACCAGTTTAATCCAGTCATATTTTCTACCTGTGTTCCGCAAATACAGGAACTCTAATAAGAGTAACGTACATCTCTGAGATTGAAGGTGATCTCCAAATTGGACCAGAAATATTCACAAAATTCTGGATACATGCCCAGAACCTGCATACGCAAAAATAACAGTTAATCAGCAAAACACATTCAAAACGTTTTAAAAAAAATACAACATATAAATATACAGCACAAATAAAAAAAAGAAGCATACTGAATGTTTTCAATAATTTGGGTTCTACAGTATTTATCACATTGACCAACACCCCCTGACTTGTCTTCCATTCACTGATGTCCCGAGAACCTGGATGGTTATACATAAAAACACGAAGACATGTGGTACCTCCAGCATATCCTCCCTTTGTATTGTGTGCAGATCACAGTAAGTCAAAGCTCTGACATCTGCGCTGGATTTTCCAGGGAGAGCAAACAGATTAATGGGCTCTCCAAAGACATCATTCTTCCCTGCAGAATAAGAACACAAAGTCGGGACATGTATGAAGGTATCTTGGTGTGTCCATTTATTCATGTTAGAGACATTGCTGAGTTCACTTGATAGAGCCACTAACATGTACTGCACCTGAGGCTCATACATTCACCTACCCAGGATAGCTATCACCACGTCTCCTTTGAGGATCTCTATGGATCCTCTAGAGATGAAGTACAGAGCTGATATCAGGTCTCCAGTGTGGACCAGAGTGTCACCAGGAGGAGCATGGGTGGTCTTAAACCTCATGGCCAGGGCCCTTACACAGCCCTTAGTAGATCCTAGACAGAAAACCATGTGTTGGTGTCATTTAAGAACCACTTGATATTTTTTTAAACCAGGTTGCTAAGTTGACAGTTGAACTGCTACTTCAGCCGCCGGCATGAAGACCGTGAAGACTTCTTAGTCTTAGCACGGTCCCTTGACAGCTGAAACCAGGTACCAGTATTCTTATCTGTAACATAATAAATCCAAAGTGCTGTTCGCCATTGGTATAAAAGTGCCTGTAAAAACTATTGAGAAGAAGCTCGCACTGCTTCCCATGTGTAGCTGCTGCAAACTTTGATCCCTTTGCAAAGAAATCAATGGAAAAAATACAACTTTGACTTCTGGGACTTTATTGTCGATGTCTGATTACTTTGAGAACCGTGTTGTGTCAGAAACTGTGAAGGTAGGCTGTATTTTCCAGCTCAATGGAATTATTGGAAGCTGAAGATCAAATTCAAATATTTCCGTTTCTCCAAATAGTTCACTTCTAACTGGTTTACATGTTTAACTTTGAACGGTGTTTCAATTTACTATGCACCGTTATAAGAAGTGAGTAATACTAACAAATGAGTCACTGGGTTCCATTCTTAAACCACAAGGGAGTTTGATGAGTGAGGCATATCTGGTGGAGTTGACTTTACTTCAAGTCAATGAATTAAAAGCATAAGAATCTCAAGATGTACGTTTGTGTTGTACTTTTCATGTGTAATGTAAAGTAGTATTACCTTTAAAAGCCTTAAAGTTGATGAGCAGGGATCTGTTGAGGTGCAGACAAATGTCGGCCTGGAGACACTCAGGGAAACCTTTTAAAACCTGGACAAGGCAACAAAAAGTGTATTAACTTAGCTGCAAGTAGCATGCAGGCAGGAACCCTATTCCATTACCTCACCCCATACACATTCGTATATACACTTTTGCAACTACAAAATAGTCTCTTCATCGGCTGCTTGTTAATAAACAATGTTTTGTGTTAAAGTCGATCCGATCCTTCAGGGCGATATAGAGTCGTTGATGCACATGTGTGGCACTCTTAATCCCCAAACAGATGTTGTTTTGTTCCATCTGAAGAGTTTCTACTTCTGGTACTACTTTTTTCGGAAAAGGTTAAGTAGTGTTTTTGTAAATGTAAAAATATTACTTGAATTACAGCAATTGCTTCTTTTGAAAGCAAAAGCATGTTTGGCACGCTGGGCCTGTTGGGGACTTCAATTATTTGCATAATTATTGTTGTATTCATTTGTGATATTGTTGTTGAAATTCTCTTTGCCAAGTAGTGGGTTTTGGTGCGAGTGGCGCTGCAGTTTTTGTGCAGGAAAAGTAAATGATTTGTGCCATTACGGACGGCAAGAGAAGCATCCATTCACATGTAAACAGTGCTGTTACCGTTTTGTTCACTGAATGGAGAAATTTGGGATTGTGACAAAAAGTGATCTTTCAAATATGTGTTCAAAAAGTAATCGGCATGCTGCATCTACAATACTTATAAAATGGAAATATTGTGTATTTTGCATTTTGTATGGATCCTTTGGACTATTTCCACAAAATTTAACATTATAATTTCAGTAGCTTTGGAAACTTTCATATTTTAAGCAGAATGTGTTTGAGAGCTGAGGACTTGTCCGTACTCACAGCATTCATGTCTATTCCATTAGTGTATGACCAAGCGTGTTGGAAGTACTCCTCCAGCCGCTGCCTCAAAGGGTTGGGGATCTGGTGGAAGCGGATGAACTCTCGAACTCTCATCATCTGAGCATGGTAGCGTGCCGTGCCAGAGTACAGCCGCTGGATAATGGCTGACACGTTACCGAATATACTGGCATACATCAGAGCTGGAGAGGAGACCGAACCAGAGCGCTGCATCATTGACCTCTTCATTTAGACACCAGGTTAATAGAATAATTAGTCTAGATCATAAGTGCCCTGAGAAAAGAGATCAACCAAAACAATGATGAAAATAATCAAATGAAAGGGAAAAGCTAGAACTACTTCTCTTATATCTTGCCTGTTCACATTAAACATTCTAGAAAGAGCTATTTTTTTAAACAAAACTGTAACTTTGCAGGCGTCGACCTGACCTCCTATGAGCATGACGCAGATGGAGAAGATCTTCTCAGAGTTGGTGTTTGGGGAGACGTTCCCGAAGCCAACGCTGGTCAGACTGCTGAAGGTGAAGTACAGAGCCGTAACATATTTATCTCTGATGGAAGGACCTGACCCGATGATGGACTCGTTGTACGGCCTCCCGAGCTGCTCGCCCAGATTGTCCAACCAGCCAATCCCAGCCGAGGAAGACCGCTCCACATTCCCTATGGCGTACCTGGGGGAGGAAAACATGTCAAGTGCACCTCCCATACACGAGATACAGCATTTTACAGAGGCTCCTATGCCTGAATTGGAAGCTTCAAATGATTGTTTTCAACATCTTATCTCTTAAAATATTCAACATCTAACACATTCATTGAAAGGCGCTTACTTATGGTTTTGAGAGAAATGTTAGAATGTAGACGTGTCTTTTATACACAAAAGTAAAAACTAAGTTGGTCAAAGCTATGGCATTATTCATTACAGACTTGGTACAGTCTGTTAAAACTAACTATCATTGTTAGGAAATGTGTGCATCCACTTATTCTGCTTCAGCAATAAGTTACAGCATTGCTTTGTATATTATGCTATTTATGGGTTTAACTTCATTAAGCCCATAAATAGCACTTCTCTACTGTACTATCCTAATGATCGTGACATGTTTTGTTATAATGATTTATTCTTTGTCATTTAAATTCATTTTCTTTGTGTAAACAATATTTCCTAATTGAGGTCTATATGAGGAAATGGATGTCTGGTCTTTAAATGCTAGTCACACTATAAATCTGATTCATGCCAAGAGACTTCTTTAAAGGCCATCCATCCGTTTGTGCTACGATGCTTCTCTGCTCGAGTGTTTGGACGTCGGACGACATAAATACTGCAGCATAGAACAAAGTACCAGATGCAGGCCAGCCAGTGGGCGATGAGGGCAAAGGTGCACATGAGGAGGAAGAGGACAGCTGCACCATACTCTGAGTAACGGTCCAACTTCCTGGCTACACGAACCAACCGCAGTAAGCGAGCTGTCTTCAGCAGGCCGATCAGCGTGGTGGTCTGTTGGGAGGGCGAGACAGAGAGCACCAATGTGACTGTGTCACTGGAGCAAAGTCTTAGGTCAGTGAACATGTGGTGAATAACAACATCAAAGTGCTTGTGCTTGTTTTTCTTAAATCCTGAAAGTCGTTTCCACAACTCCGTTTAACCAAACCTCCATTTCTCCCCTTTATTTGATCAATATTCTTCTTTGCCTCCCTCCTCCCTACCTCTCCCTCTCCACCTCCCCTAACCACCTCCTCTCCTGAGCGGTAGATGAGGAGGTCAAAGGGAATGGCGGCCACCATGTCAATTAGGAACCAGCCTTTGAAGTAGTGGACAGCAATGCGAGAGGACTGGCTCACCACCTGAGGAGACAAAACCCAACGGATATGACAGCTCATGATGACAAATAACAAATGAAGATATGGATGTAGTAAAAGGTATTTGTCCTCACCACCAACCGCTGTAACTGGATGCATTATGTTATGTTACTGGTTAGAATTCAGCTTTCATGGGTCAAGGTCAATGTTGGCCCAATTCTTGTGGTATCTCAGGAATTTGTTCAAGCTAAGTTCTTCAAATTTGGAACCAACGTCCACTGGGCCTCGGCCAACAAGTGAATACATTTTGGTGGTCAGAGGTCAAGGTCACGTTGACCTTTTAATGAATGAATTATTGGATGCAAAGCCTTGAGTATCCGTACTTCAAAATTTGTCCCAAACGCCCCCCCTCAACTGATTTCACGTTTTAGTCCTGTAGCTCATGAATTGAAATGGCAATTAGGACATGTTGAGACAGCACACACCGAGCACTCATTTGTGTGACCCTGACACTACTAGTAGAGCAAGTGGGTCAAATAATTGATTTAATTTAGTTAGTTCACAAAAAAAGCAAAGTTACTAAATGAGTCAGTTTATCAGTAAACGGGTCTCCAGAATGAAGTGAGGTGTAGGGTTCTGCATACCACCCAACGTCTGAGTCCGAGGCCGCACAGATCACATGTCAGTTTGAAATGTTTCCAGTCGGGATGCTTAGTATTGCAACAATCAACTAGATGCAGAAGTTGGTAGCTCGAACTTTGCATCTTTGCACTTTTTTGTGCAGTTGGGCCCTCGTTAATGCTTCGTTTGGGTCCTTACCCATTCTTTCCTGGAGACAAAGGAAAGGTCAGAAACAGGCTGGAAGACCTTTGTGACCACGGGAGGCTGTAAACACATTACGCTGAGCAAAGTTCAGTCATAACTTTGCTGGCCGAACAAAGACCAAAGACTTTATTCTTCTTTATTTTGCTCCTGTTTTATTTCTCTCTTACTTCATTTTGTTGGGATCCAGGATGAGGGAACTGGTCCTTCCGCTGCTCTTATTTTTAGCCATATTATTTTGTTAACCAATGACCTGTAACCATGCATATTGATTATAGACATTTTACACACTTCCCTATTTGAGATTACACTGGTGGCCGCTGCTGTTTACCAGCACTACGGACCCCCTTTCTCAGCTTTCACAGCTCGTACTGATAGCGTTGACGCAGCGTTAGCTGCGCCAATTACGTCTCCCCTGTGGTTGAATTAACAGTCGTACTACTGCCGCCCTTGCTCTCTCTCGCCACCGCTGGTAATACACACACACACGTTTTTGATTGATTGTTTAGCTGTCATGGCGATTGTTGTGTTATACTGTTATACTTTAATGAACGTCTTTCCTGTGTTTATTTGTATGGTGGACTATAAATAGTCCAGTGCTCAAACTTAAACATTCAAAACTGTTTACTCTTAAGAAGTGAACATGACTTGTTTATAGCATTGGTCATTAGTCCCTGTTTGCTCAGGGTGATCCCGGTTTAGTTTCACACTTCAACCAAACACAATCCTGCCGTTCCCAAAAGTATGAACTTCTTTTCTTTTCCCGTTCATTACTGGACGTATGCCATGAAAGAACAGAGAAGGAAGCACAGTGAACACATCACAGCCCACGGCATCTTTAGACACCGAAGCCACCGGAAGCAGAGTCAATTGCTCCAAGATGGAAGCTACGCTAACTTAGCTTGGCCCAAAGGCTATTGAGCTACCCAGCCTACTCGTGTCTTTTCCCGTGCATAGCAAATGGGCTACAGTTGAATTGTGTTATGCTATCTGATAATAAATAACGGAGCTGAACGTTTGACAGGCCTTCTGTGTCTAACAACAGTTGCTAACGATGAAATGGACAGTGGCCGTTCACTGGTCTCCTCGGTTGAAGTTCTGTGGTAGACTCCAACTCAACCTCCTCTATAGGTCACATAGACATGGGGGTCATACTGCCGACCCCTTTAATTGGACGGGAATTGGAATTGGAATAGAGGGCCCCGCACGCCACGTAGCCATAGTCGGTAATAAGCCAATCAGATCAGCTCACCTCATCATTGGAATTAACATACGTGGTCCTGAAGTTGATGATGATGTCAACGAGGAACATGATGTCCACTATAAGATCCACCACGTTGAGGGGGGAACAGGAGTAACCACAGGTTTGTATCGCTGCCTCCTCCTGGTCACTAAGGAGAAATGTAACAATAAACAAATGAATGGGTTTTACTCCAAGAGAGAATAACACGTCCAATGAAAACAACAGCAAAAGAACAGTCTACTATCAATAATAACTGTCCTTGTGTGGCCTTCCTTAACTAACGTATTCAATGGTGCCTAGTACATGTAGTAATAAATAAAAAATATCTGAAAAAGAAACCAATTTAGATCATGAAAATTCCTTCAAAATATTAAAATATCTAAAGTACAGTGTCATAGTCATTCTTATTTCTGCTGAGAGAATGTCTTTGCCTTTTGTCTTTGAGAATGCCTTTTCTTGGTTAAAAGCATCATCTTCCCCAGCAGAGTTAGAATTAGTAGTAGAGGACTGCACAGCAGGGGAAAATCTTTAATCTTAATAATCAAGTCATGCAGGTAAGGTGAACTGTGTGGTGTCAATTTTAACCAACCTTAGTAGAAATGTAGCAGAGTACGGAGTAAATATGGCCGTATAAATGACTAGGAGCAAAATGACCCAGTCCCACACAGCTTTGAAAGGACTGTAGTGAAGTATGGTCCACTTCTGGATCCTGGGAGTCTGCAGTTTGTACTCAGGTAACACATCATCACCCAGAGACAGCACCTAGAGGAAAGAGAGGCCGATCCGTTAGTTTCTAATCATTATGTTTTCCTGATCTGGAATCTTTTATCGTCACCCGTAAACCCTTTTACTCCCCCCGTGCGTTCGCTTTGTTCATCCTGGTCGATGTTTAAATGCCGCCGACCAGATATGGCGTGTGGAGCGGACCAACCCGGACTCCTTAGTTATTGTCCTTCAGGACTTTAACAAAGGTAATCTGCGCCATGAACTTCCTAAATACAAAGTTTAGTAAATAGTTTATTAAATGCCCTAATAAGCAGGGCTCATCACGCCGTCCCTCGTGCTGCGCTGGGACACTCTGACCACATCATGGTCCACTTGAGTCCTGCATACAGGCAGAAACTAAAGCTCTGCAAACATGTGGTGTGGGAATTCTAGAAGTGGACCAGTGAGGCGCTGGTCCACTTCCGTAGAGATCTTCAGGCCTGCTTGGACTGCACAGACTGGGATTGTTTCAGCACTGCTACTAACAATCTGGATGAGTTCACAGAGGCTGTAACTTCCTACATCGGCTTCTGTGAGGACGGCTGCGTACCATCATGCACCAGGGTGAGTTACAACAACGACAAACCCTGGTTCACAGCAGAACTCAGAGAGCTTCGACTGCAGAAGGATCAGGCATTCAGGAGTGGGGACAAAGACAAAATACAGTCGGTGAGCGATGCAACGACTGTGCTCTCAGAAACTGCAACAACAGCTCTCAGCCAGTGATTTTACTTACTAAAAAAGGCCTTCAACACCTTAAAAACTACAAGCAAAAGAAACCCCGACTCCATGAGTGACCTCCGTCTAGCAGACAAGCTGAAAGAGTTCTACTGCAGATTTGATAGACAATTGGACAGTCTTAACTCCATCTCCCACAGCTCCACCAACCTTCCTCAGACCCTCATCCCTCCCTCCTCCAGCCAATCAGGGCATAGCTCTGTATCAACCTTCCCTTCTCTACCCCCCCGACCAGCAACAACCCTCTCTATTCTGGAGAGAGACATTAACAGGCTCTTTAGAACGCACCCTATACCACCCAGTACTTCAATTCTTTTTCTTTTGTCCCATGACATGACAACTTGGCAGTAGCCAAGGTGACCTTTGACCATCACTATCGCCCGAAAACCTCACTGGGATGCTTCCTTTTTACACCTGCATCTCATTAGACAAGGAACCGTGTACCTATTCACAGCAGCTTGTCAACTCAGTTTGATGAAGAAGGACATTTCTAGAGATCCTATCCAGCCTAATAATATATAGGAATACAATGACAGTATCATGCATACGTTCAAACATTTGTAACAATATTTAGCTTTAGGTTTCTGATATTTCTGTGAGAACAATGGTACAAAATAAATAATAAGATGGGGCCGGTAACTAGTGTAGTAACTGGTGTGAAGTGTCGACACAACAGAAATAGGCACAGATTCTTTGCACCTGTGCCAATGGACCAACATTAAATTAGGTCTTATTGAACACACACACACACACACACACACACACGTGCACTCCACGGAGGGACCTGTGAACAGGGTAATTAATCAGCAGCATCTGAACTCCTCTGGGAACTACAATGAGCCTGGGCTAGGTGAAGCAGTCAAGGACTGAGTGTCCTCCACAGACAAGGACTGAGAGGTGGATATGACTCTAAGTCTCTTGAGAGACCTGCTTCATGCTCAAGTCATTATTCTCATATTATCACAGTGTCAGCTTGTTTTCTCTCTTGACTGCTTCACTGATTTTGTAACACTTTTTTGTAGCTTTGCATGGTAAAGCATCCAGAGATGTACATTCCCTCCGTTTCTCTTTACTCTAGAAAGGTAAGTTTTCTTATTGGGTAAGTGAGTGACGGTAGTCTGGTCCCAACCCGTTGGTTCATGTTAACGAACACTCGCGGTCCTAGAAAGTGAGAAACTTCAGCCATCGTTATTGAGGCTGTTCAGAGAATTATTCTGCCTCCACCAATGCATCATCATCTTTGTGAGCAGAAAAGGGTCGTGTTCTAACATTAATATTGTATCTCAGTTTGAGGCTACTTGTAGTTGCCTACAGTGAAGGATTCAGTTGGATGTAACTTTGGTTTTGTCTTTATAGTGGTCATGCATACTCAAAGTAGATTTAATGGCAATGTATTCATCTTTAGTCAATTGCTTGAGGATGATCTAGAACGTAGCTACACAGAGATACAGTAAGTATAAAATATTTTTGTATTTTCCTCTTTTAATATCAGATGAATAAATGTGTAAAATAAGTATCTGATTAAAAACTTTTTCATAGGCCAAATGTGTACTCTGACAATCTTTATATAACATTGAATTTAATTCTGATGCCTCTATGTGACGCAGTAGGCAGAATAGAGGCCATTAACAAGAAGATTAGTTGTTTCTTTAAAATTGTTCTTTATTCGTGCTTCCAAATCCCCCTGAATGCCCCCTGTCCTCCGTCCACCACCAGAGACGCCTTTAATATCCATGACTATATCTGTCCCTGACTATGGCTATTTGGGAACCTAAGGAGATTATATTGTTCATAAAATACCAATCCTGAATAGCAGTAATTATGGTGATTCTCCTCCTATAACATACTAGGTACAATTCATAAAATGATATGCTGAACATGGAATCAACTAGACTGCACACACACATACACACACACACACACACACACACACACTGTTGTACTTACCTCATGAGCTATTGAGGAGATGCGTACAGCTCGCTGCACTCTGCTGTTTCTGCGTTCACACTTCAAAACTGACAGGCCGTCCTGGGACCCACTACTCACTGAAGACATGGTCCACACCTAACGCGACTGCATTCAGTCTTCTATCCTCTCCTCCGCCTGTCCCGATTCTATATTGCCTGCTTCTTCCTTCCTCCCGTATCAGATGTTTTACAGTTCACTTGCTCTGCTTCTTTCTTCGCCACCTCGCTTTTCCTGAGAGTTTGTTAGTCTATTCAACCAATTATTGTCTGCCTTCGGGGAAGTCATTGTCTCCTCCACATCATTCCATTCTTGGATGACAGTTAAGTTTAGTTCAAGTTCAGAAAGATCAGTGCTACTATTTGAGAAGAGATGTTTTAATTTACGTCATTATAAAAGGTTCTGTTTTCACAGAAAATCTTCTACTGTCAAGAAATTGGAAGACACTTTTGGTATAGTTACAGGTCTTGTAGAAATGCTTTCTCATTTCATGATGCAAAGATCACCAGAATAGTATTCTCATATAGTTCCCAGCGACACATTAAGAGAGATTTACCTTCAGCACGCCAGTACATCCGCAACACGTCACTCAACCATTTCAACAAACGCATGTGGTCTTCAAAGACGGGAGTCCTAAATGACACGAGGTAGACCGAGAAGGGCTCAACAAGTCCTGCAGTCTTCAGACGTTGGTTGAGTTAGTAAGGTAAGTAAAGTCTCCCAGCAGCAGTTCAAAGGCTTCTCTTGCTTATTGCACTAGTTTCTCTCGCTCTCTTTATCTCCGACAGACTTCTATCTCTTCTTTTCCTCCAGCTCTCGTTCCTTTATGGTCACACAGTTATCTGGGCTTTAGTCGCACTCCTCCTGCTCGTGATCCACGCTGCCCCCCTCCACCCTCCACTCTCTCGTTCCCTCCTTTGTCTCACTCGGAGTTCTTCTCTCCTCCTCTCTCCAGCCACGCAGCAGCAACATTACTACATTGTAGTAAAGAAAATGATAGATAGGCTTTCTGCAAGAAAAAAGGTTTCCCTTTTCAGGAGGGAAGGTGTCACCTCTGAAACAAGACGATACTTTACATCGTACACCATTTGTCATGCAAGTGGAGGCAGCTAAAAGCTGCTTGTCTGTGGTTGCTAGTTGAAAGAAATAGTTCATCAATCGGTCCAAACTTGGGTTACTGGGTTTGTTAAAGAACAAAAATGATTTCTATGACATTGGTGCGGGCAGCTTGTTCACGTGTAGCAGTGGTATTTTCATCATGACTGGGCAATATTACCTCTCTTCAGGAAGTAAGCAAGGACGAAGCAGCGTTACCGAGTCACGTTGAGTCCTGAAGGACCCCAAAGTGACCCTGCTGGAGCACTTTCAAAGGTATTTTTGGAGAAGTCAACTATAGACCCTCAAGCCTCCATTTGTGCCCTCCTAAGCTAACAATAACCTATGCAATCAGCCCTCCTCACCCTCCCATACTCACACACTCTCAACCCCCCCCCCCCCCCCCCCCCCCCCCCCACACACACACACAAAGGGTTTTGGGGGGGCGGCTCCCTTGTTCCCCAAAGATAGCCGCAGTATCTCTAACCTTCACTGTCCCTGCACTCTCTACTGGAGAAAGAAAAGACACTTGGTACAAGGACAAACAATCATCACATTCCTAATTGTTCAGCAGTTATTCATGCCTTTAAAACTCATACAGTTCTACGTGCTTTCTGAAATCCTTGTTTTATTATTGGTTACAAATATACAAGACAAAGGTCATCAGTGGGACATATAAATGCTACAAATAGCCAGACTGCCTAATGCTGCCTTCAACACGATTATTAGAAGAAAAACAGAAGAACATGCCTCATAGCCGGAGGTCAATATATCCACTTAAACAAGCTGTGGTTAACACTTTAATGTAGGTACACATTGAAAATGATAAACCAGGTACAGTAAAAGTTCCTCTATTCACTAAAGTGTTTCTGTAAGACATTAAATGTGCCGGGACAGTGTGGAGGCTTTACTGAGAGTTCAAATGCATTCTGTTGGTTATAACATCACAACATTTGCACGAGTACATGAGTGACCTCACACAACATCAGGTCATATCACAAAAGCAGTGTATCGATCTAACTCCAGGACTAAAGGACTACTTTAGGAATGTTTATACACTGAAAGTCGAGCGAAGCCCTATTGTTTCTTATTATTCTTTCACCACTTCAATCACACTTTTGAGGCCTTTATCATATTCAAAAACGTTTGGCATTTGGCATGCGCATCAGGGTGAAGAATGTCGATATTCTAGGGGTCGCAAAAAATGTCTCAAACACGTTTTTGCAAACTCCTCCCAGACGCTGGGTCCGATTTTCATTTTCAGAGCATCTCTATTGGCTCAATGCCATCTAAGCTATTAGAAGCTCGTTGATACCTCGTTGGGTGATGAAGTTACGGACCAATGAATTTGTATGGCGTGTGGCCTAAAAGTTAAAAGTTAAATAACTATTTGGCCTGTCCTCACCAAATCTCTAGGATATATTGGCATTGAGTCCTTGAACATACTATATTTCTTTCAGAATATTTGAACATTAGGCGGCGCTGCAGTCAATTGCTGAATATTTGCTTGTTTTTCCATCGCATTTTGGATTTACAAACGAACAAACTCCTCCGAGAGAATAAACCTGATCAATTAAAAATTTGGGCAGAATGATCCTGACACCTGTGTGGCCAAAAGTTAGTTTTCGTGAAGCTACCTGGGCATGGCCTGGCACCCATTTTGGTCGATTTTGGTAAATTTTCTTGAAAATGTAAAATGTGATAACTCCAGAGAACATTCTCATTTCCTCCCAAAAAGTGTCATTCAGGATGCAAGTGTAGGCCTTAGTATTCACATGCAGTGAGTTTCCAAAAATGATGCGTCCCTATTGGCATAGGGAAATGCAAAAGTTTCACACTTTGATGTGCTTCTCCTAGTCATTTAATCTGATCAACCTCAAATTTGTCAACTAAAGCCTGAAGACTTTGATGATAGTTCACCGTAAATATTGGGAGTTTTTGAAAAACTGTGTTTCCGTGATAACACGGTCTTTGCATGAAAGTTTAAGCAGTTTCTCTTTCGGTGGGTGATGACGATACAGAGCTGATGTGGAGATTTGGCTCAAAAATAGTAAATTTATTCCATAGCGCCCCATGGCAGTTTTCAACAATGTAGCCCCAGTGCCCTGTTTGATCTACATGTATGAAAAATCCTTATGTATTTGTAGAACAGGAAGACTGTTAAAAAAGCATCTTGGGACCATGCTCTAAAATGAACAGGAAATTAGTCATGATTTATTTTGTGTGATATTCCCTTTATTTTCACTTTCTAGAAGTCATACTTTGACGAATCCCTCGGACTTTGTCACAGGTGATTAAAAGTTATTAAAAACCTTTTGTCACGGTTTGGGTTTATTTCCTGTTTTGTTCAGTAGTTTCCTGCCTCCTGTGTCCCTGGTTTAGCTTCACTTCCTGCCTTGTCCTGTCATCCCCTGTGATTGTCTGCCGTGTCCCTGATTGTTTCACCTGTGTCCAATCACCTGCACCCTCCCAGTGTATTTAAGTGTGCGTCTCTTGTCGCGTCATTGAACGTCTTCCTGAATTTCTTTCCTGAAGAAACCGTTCCCGGTCCTTCTTTCCACAGTTGCCACCCAAAAAAAACTCTTCCTCCCAATCACTGTGGAAATAGGTTTTTTTTTCGCTTTCCTGCCATGTTGTTGGTCCGCACAAGATTGAACTTCGAGTTTCGACGAGGTCAGAGTTCATCTAGATAAAACATTTTAGTTTTCAACATTTATATTAAATATTGTCATTTTAATAGACATTAATACAAGTTTACCCACAACATAAATTTCAGATGGCACTTCGTGGTGACCAGGGATATTGTCCCACTTGTCCCACTGTGACTGACATGACATCCTCATTGGGGTCTTTTTCCACAGCTGACGCTTTTATCCAAAGCGTCTTACATTACACTTTAAACCTAGGGTGTCTTGCTCAGGGACACTTCAACTTGAGACATGGGGCAACCAGGACTTGAACCACCAACCTTGCAGTTCCCAGCACACCACTCTACCCTCTGCGCCACAACGCCCCCTGTCTTCATGAAGCCAACCAGTTGTGCTACATGTTCAAATGCTGATGTCTTGCAGAGACATATTCAGTGTGTTAAGGTTGCAGAATATATCTGCCAAACCTCTACTCAATCGGAATTATGAGTACTTTACATGCTAGTTCCTGAAAGCCAGTTGAGAATTCTCCCTAGAAGAGCAGCGCACTTCTCTCTGCAGCACAATTTTACTCTGACCGCGTGTCCGTCCATCGGGCAGCCCCCCGAACATGGATAAGAGGACGCTCTACCCTCTGAGCTAATGTGGTAATGTTGAAAGTTTTGGTTCACAGTTCTCATCGACTGTGTTGAATGCACACAGTTGTTTTCAGTGAAAAGGCTCTGATGAACCTACTGTTGACCCTTTGTCTACCGGCCCAGAGCAGGTAGACAAAGGGTCTACTTGCCTCTGAATATGGTGGAGAATTTAGCAGATTGCTAGTGCATGAAATACAAGGGGGGCATCAAGGGTCCGACACTTCAAGACCAAACGTTTGATGAACATCCGAAAACCTTTTACCGTTACCTCAACCCTTACCATGCGCACACAACACACACACACACACACACACACACATACGCTCTAAGAGGGAGGGACGGAAAACGCGACGTTGGTTTATCGTCTCGCAGACAGACAGACAGACTCACAAAGCCTGAATTCAGACACCTACATCATTACGTATGTTTCAGCATCCTGCTTTTGCATTTAGCTAAGCTCCCTTGTACATCATGGACCTGCTAATGCACATTCAAGACAGAGATGTTTTGCGCTGCTTTACACTCTCAGCCTCTATTTACTGTTTTCACACCCTGAATGTCATTTCATACATTTAATCCATTTTTTAAAGCCCCCCCTCAATCTGGTACAGTTAACAGTCCATCGGCTCGCGGGATCAACTAATCAGAGGCCACCACAAAAAATCAGAACTGATCAATCACACACTGGTCCCATATGGTGAGTGTGAGACCTTCTTAATTAGTCAGCAGACTGTTTAGAAGAGAAAGTCAGAGAGCGGGATGATCTCCACTCACCTGGGTGACTTTCTCTGTGACATGGTGTGTTCGGTCAATCAGTTTGCAGGGGGGTCTCATTTCCCCTGGAGGCAACGCCACGTAGGCCTCCGTCTTTGTGTCCTGCAGGCTCCGGGTCATCTGCTGCACGTGCAGAAATCACACACAAGCCACAGAGGTTAGCATGGCGCATGGAAGAAGCTATATAGAGTGCCTGTACTAACATTTCCGTACAGCTGAATGTTGTGTGTTTCTGTGCGTTACCTGGCTGTTGGTCCGCCGGCGCGAGTAACTGTCTGACGTTCCAGTTGGCACGCTGCTCTTTCTGGTGGTTACCATCCCAGCTGAAGCAGAGGAGGAGGGGGATCAAAGGTCACCGTGAGTCAAAGCCACGTGAGATTACAACAAAAAACATTAACCATTTAGAAACAGTTCATACCTCAGCGGGTCCTAAAAACTACTTTGGTCTCCTTCAAATTTGTTGAAAGTGTGGATTCAATGTCTTGAATATAAAAGACTTTAGTGCTACAGTTTTGTGTAAATAAGCAAAAAATGTTACACTAAATGTATATTATACAGGCAAACTACAAGTGACAATAGAGGAAAGGGACATGGATGAGACTTCCTAGTTCCATCTATAGTTTATTTTGGTGTAGATTACAGGTAAGTAGTACAAGCAGCCAGGGGCAAACTAGTACTGCTGGGATTAAGACAAATGTATGTGCATGAGTACAACTATTATTTAGATGTGCAGGTTTACAGCAACGTTGGTAAACTGGTGAAAATGGTAAGCACATTCCATTATTATGCACTTAAGGGGCGTTTTCTAGGACATCTACATGGTCAGCTGTCACCTGAGGAGCTGAAATCTTTCATCTCTGTGAATGATTAGTCCTTCCTCATTCACAATAGGTCACTCTGTGTCTCTGTGGTGTCTTTAGGTTTGGTCAATTAGTGAGAAATGAAAAACACCCCTTATCTTTACGGCATACCTAGTAACATTTTTTTAAAGTAAAACACACGTTTAGCATTACTTCTTCAGAGGAAGACTGCGATGGCTCAGATCAGACTGCAGCTTGTCTCTGTCGGGTCACTGGGTTGAGGAACGAGGTATTCTCACCAGTACAGCTGTGTCTCAGCTGCAGCCTCTTCTCCCAGTAACTCTGTCCGCTCTTGATGGCGTCCTCTGAGGAGGAATGTCTTAATGTCCTACAGCTGCCATCCAACATGCTGGAAGGATGGTTCCTGTGGAGAGGACAGTTCTCTTCATCTGCGCCTCCTCCTCTTTCCTCTCCCCTCGACAGGATGGACATCTACAAGCTTGCCTTTGGACCTCAGTCCTCAAACAACACAGAGCGCCGGATGTGACGGACATCTTGTGTGATTTTAGATGGAGTTTAGTTGGCTGCTGTTGGTGATAGATTAGCATTCATTGTCGCCCCTCTCTCACTCGCTTAAGGGTTGTGAGTGTGGTTCTATGTAATAAATCATGGTATCTATGTAATGTTGGGATGGTCCCATCAGACTCGAGAATCTTATTTCTCATAGTCTGGGAGTCCTCCATGTGTTTTTTGGCTTTCATATGTCTGGCCCTGAGGAGAGGCTTCCGTCGGGCCACTCTGCCTTAAAGCCGACTGGTGGAGGACTTTGTGGAGCTTTCTCCCGTCTCCCTACTGCATCTCTGGAGCTCAGCCACAGTGATCTTCTTTACCTCTCTCACCAAGGCTCAGTTTGACTGGACGGCCAGGTCTAGGAAGGGTTCTAGTCTTGTGCCTTTCCTGAAGTCCAATCAGTTTTAATAAGAAATGGACAGCATGTGAGTTGAATATGAGTGTCACAGCAAAGGGTCTGAATACTTATGACCATGTGATATTTCAGTTTTTCTTTTTTAATAAATTTGCTAAAATTCTTTCATTTCTGTTTTTTTCTGGTAAGATGGGGTGCTGAGTGTACATTAATGAGAAATAAAATGAACTTTTTAGATTTTAGCAAATGGCTGCAATGAAACAAAGAGTGAAACATTTAAAGGGGTCTGAATACTTCCCGTACCCACTGTACCATCAAAAGTTGGTATAACTGCATTAACAACAATAACAAATAAAAAGAAAATACAAAGATTGACATACCTCTGTGGCGCGGATGGATGGCCCAATGTTGGAGGTGCTGAAGCTGGAACTTGAGACGGACCTGTGAGGAGCTCCTTCCCTCTCATCCGCCCTACTCCTCCTCCACTTAAATCCAGCAGCAACCCACCAACATCAGCTCCATCCTTTTTCCTTCTGTCGCCCTCGCTCCTTCGCCTCCTCGCCACCAAAGAGCCCCTCTCTCCTCCTCTTTGGCCTCCTCTCACTCGCTCTTCTTCTTCCTCCTCCCGTTCTGGGTCCCACAGCAACACCTCCTCAAGCTGCTGTCTCTCAGGAAGGGGCAGCAGCTTGTCCAGGGCCACAGACTGGTGTCCCAGGGGAGGGAGGTCGGCTTGGGGAGCCCCCAGCTCTGAATCCTGGGGGAGGACACTGGTGCTGGAGCTGAGGGATTGCAGGAGGCCGCGCAGACGCTGCCGCCGGGCTGGATGTGCAATATGTATATATATATATATATATATATATATATATATATATATATATATATATATATATATATAAGAACAATACAATATTGCGTGTTGCTGCTAAATGCCCACTAAAATGTCCTTTTATTCCTTCATTTACAATAATTTCATAATTAATTATTTAAAAGCCCAAAAAAGAAATATGAACTGATGACAAACAGGTAGCTGCAGCTTGTTTTACATTGATGCACATTCTGAGCTAATACTTAGAATGCATTTATTTCCTTTACCTATCAGATAATGAGATAGGAACAGTGTTAGTGTGGTGAGGAACCAGTGTGTATGCTGAATGTGTTTCCTCCCTCCTCGTCAGTGCATGTGATGAACTGAGGGTCCATGAAACATACCCAGGGTCAGCCAGGGGATCTGCAGCACTCTGTTGAGCTCCTTGGCGGGTGAGCTGTTGGCGGGTCTGGGATCAGTGGGGAGCTCGAAGTTGAGAATGAACATGATGACTAGGCCATCCTCGTTCTTCACGGGAACCACGTCGATGGCGCAGTGGAAACACTCTCCTGCAGCCACAGGACACACTTTCATTCCCGTCTCTCATGACGGGACACGAAGTAAACCAGGAGAGTCTGAATTATTCCTCTAGGTGGAGCTACTACACCAGAAATACATCTAACCATTTAGAAACAGTTCATACCTCAGCGGGTCCTAAAAACTCTACTTCGGCCTCCCTTCTAATTTATTGAATTTCCGGTGGGTCCAGTGACACTAAGAAGTTTACATGATTTCCAGGCAAAAATCTGCTTCAGCTACAACTGATTGAATTAAGTTCTTACTCTCTTTGTGGTGTTGGTAATGTAGTTTCACATATATTGTGTACTGAACCCTTTTTAAGAGGTCCAAGAGAAAAAAGATGAAGTCATGTCCCTTGATTGTGGTCCTCCCCTTGAGGTAGAACAACGATTCCTCGGGGGCCTTCTTAGAGACCCCCTGGGGGCTTTCGCCCAATCCCGGTCCCACCTTCACCCACTCACAGACTTTGAGGCGCGCGCCGCTGAGTCCGTGAGGGTTCGCTTCTGTCTTGTGTCTCAAATGTTGAGTGTTTGTTGAGTGTGCCCTTTATGAACGCTTTCCGTAAGTCTGCATTGTATGCTGATTTAGCCTAAGGGAATTACCCACAAGTCATTGCAATGTGACCTCAAAAACAGGATAACCAGTGAACAAAAAAAAAACGTATACAAAGAGAGACTGATAATAAAATACATACATTTAAAACATCAATAACTGAAGAAAAAAAAAACCTAAAATCCGACAATATTTATTAATCTATTTCTAATCTAGAATTTATCTATCTGAAATACAAAAGGTTGTCATCGAAACAATTTTGCCAAAAGATGTAAAACAGTAAATATATATTTTCTGTACAGGAGTAGTCAGAGAGGTCCTTAACACATGTACGTTAGTCATTGGTATTAAAACGCCAAATTGAAGATTTTCTCAGGAGGTGAAGAGCAAAGAGAACAAGCGTAGAGGATTAAAGAAATAGGGCACAAACAGTGTCCAAAGTAAGGGAGTGATTTGGGTGCTGACGGTTCAGTCACGATGGAGGAAATTAAAACAAACCTTAAAGGAAGAGATTTGAAAGGAGCTCGAAGGCTGCAGTTACTTAAGAGGGGATGAGAAGAGACAGCAATTATGTTGTGCTGGATTTTAAAGAGGAAAAGCTACCAAAGAAAGTCTCATCAGGTTCCCTGAGTTACACTGTGAGGGAGTTCATTCCAAAACCTGTGAGGTGTTATAACTGTCAAGGGTTCGGACACACAGCTACAGCATGTAAAGGCAGAAGGCCGTGCCGGCATGGGCAGTGTTTTAACTGAGGGGCGACACACACACAGTGTCAAGTGAATGACAATTTTTCATCTTTGCATTTATTATTTTAAACATTCCTATTCTATTGCATCCTCATTATCTACTGTATTGCCTTAAATAAACATATTTAGGAGAAATGCTGTGAATAGGTCACTGGGAATAAATGATTGTCTGGCACTGAAACCATTTATACCATTTATATATATATATATCGTTTAACATTTCAACACAGCAGAAAGCTTTGTTACTTCTTACTCCTGACAATGAAGGACTTCAAATGGGACATGTACTGTACGCAGTCTGTCCTTGGTAAATGGAGTGCTCTGAGCTTTGTTTGTGTGTGTGTGTGTGTGTGTGTGTGTGTGTGTGTGTGTGTGTGTGTGTGTGTGTGTGTGTGTGTGTGTGTGTGTGTGTGTGTGAAGGACAGTGGAAGAAAAGGTTAAGAGGTAGTGTAAGGGCTAAATTAACAGCCAGGATGGATTAAAGAAGCTACATGCTGACGTATTGATGATATCACAGTGACCATCTGCTGCAGACCACGTGCACACAAACACACTTCATTGCAATGCTGATTCTAAAGATATAATCCATTGAGACTAAATCCTCAAACGCACCAACCTTTTTGAAGACACAAGTGACTTCTATCAGTAGAGACAATTGATAAAACAGACTTGGATTAAGCACATTAGCCAAAGGAAACCAGATGTGTGCTCAACTGGTGAGGGATGATTGGAGAACACACCAGCCATACAGAAGACCACCATTAGTGCAGCCCCCTTTTGGTCACCTTGAGCCTGAGAACGTTGTTGATCCTGACTGGTACCATGACATTGGTTATATATCGTTTACTCTGGGTTACAAATGCTCGGTAATACACAGGTAATATTGTAGGAAGCCTGGCAAAAACTGTACATAAAATGACTGAGCAACGTGAGGCATAACTGCACTGACTGTAGTAGTTGTGGTATTGCCTGTCAACAATCCAGGTTAATACATTTCCATTTCAAACACATTGAGTTATTACTTCTATGCGTTCCTACAGCTGTGTGTGAAAAGGGCGACTGTGCGTGTATGTGTGTGTGGAGTGGATAATCTTATGGCTCTTTCCATTAATCTCTAATCCGTTGTTTATCATTTCTATTGGCTGATTTGGTATTTATGGTCTAATGAAAACTATAATCCCTTTTCTCTCATTGTCCCTAAAGACTAGCCCCGACTTTCGCTATGACCTCAACGCACACATTCATCCTTTCATTCTTTCCTCCCAGTTTTCTTTATTTCTAGAGAGCATATGTCAAGACAGCTTGTTATATGATACTAATTTTACTTATATATGTATGCAAAAACAACTTCTCTGTAACGTCGGATTATTTTCTACTTTTCCAGTACGCTACATAAAAAATAAATTCATATTTTAGAGTATCATACCGTATCATTAGTCAGCCCTTTGTGTGACAGTAATTTGTATTTAATATCTGTCCAGTATGTGATCCAAAAGCTTAGAACAGCACCAAGGAGTGAACTGTAAATCTGTAGCGCGCTTTATATTTAATATGCAGAGCAGCCCTTTTCTCTTGGATCATGGAGTGACACACTGGGTCATAATAAAGGATTATTCTATTGATAACAAAGAATATTTATAGCTTAAGTATTTTCCTTTCATTCTGTTCTTTTCTTTTGAAAGGTGAAATTAATGCAAGGGCTCATTCATTGCTCAGATTTCCTTCCGTTTTGGATTTTAAAAAAAAAATATATATATATATATATATAACTGAATTCTTTCAAATGTAAGCATTTATTGCAATAGGAAATATTTAAAAAAAGAAACTAACGTCAGCATAAATCCTTATTTGCAGTTAAGCTGCTGTGTCATACTGTCTAAGTTATTTACAATCTTGGCCTGCTCGTCTCCAGGCAAAAGCAATACATCTGGCAATTGTTGAAATATAATAAAAACAGGTCAGGTGAATGTCAGGAGCTGCTAAAATGACCGATTAAATGTTCATGAGGACCCAATATTGTGTGAGTCTGAGGTAACTGAATTATTCAAAGACTCTTCTCTCTGTAAATGTTATTGTTTGTTTAATGTTTAAGATATTCAGAGCTTTAAAACATTGTTTCTTTAAAGGTATAGTGTAGTTATATTTTTGTATACACTGAATGTCCACCTGAGTAGTGGATCAAATCTTGGTTAAATACATTACATTTGTGCAGCTGACACTTTAAACCCAGGCCCATACAGTAAGTACTTCCCTTCCCGGGTATTTCATAGTGTCAGTATTCTGTTCTGAATCTGGGATTCAGTACACACAAAATAGTTGTGCCTTATTGTGCTTTATACCTACTTATCAAATATCTCATGATGGGCATCTGACATACTGCGTCAGATACTGTCCCTACGTTGGACGTTGTGTCAGTTCCCAATCTCGGGCGTGTAGGAACCCTTTCAATCTGCCCAATGGGAAGAGTCATCCAAATGTTGTTGACGAAGTTAAGACCAATACCACATTAGCTTGTGGCGTGATCGCCGTGTTTATGATAGAGAAATGCTGCAATCCTGGCCACGTGTGCATGAAAGAACACCTTTGTAGCCCGAACACTCTTTGCCGTGGGAGGCGCCTGTGTTGTTTGCAGAGGGAGTTTTTGTGATTGTAGAACACAGCGCCCTACCAGCCAAGACTATTCCCTAACAACAAGCCATGGATCACCAGGGACCTGAAGGTTCTTCTTAACAAGATGAAAGCAGCCTGGGGAAGGCAAGTTTATTTGTATAGCACGTGTAGTATCGAGCCAAGAGGGGGTGTCAGCCCCAAAACACACACCAACCCTTTTCACCTCTCCAGAGAGCGGCGACCTTGACATGTCAAACAGATAGAACCCAATAAACGGGTGTCGGGCCACTTACATTTCTTTGTGACAACAGTGACAACAATAATAACACTTGGAAACGCTGGGGTGCAGCTCCTGGGTTTTTGAAGTACTATTGCATGTAATGTAAAGCATTCAGTGTCTCCACAGGAAGCTGTGAGAAGTCCATGCAAGTATTAAACAGGCGAGACTGTGAGAGTCAGAGTACACAGGACCTTACCTTCTTTAGTGTAGAGGGAAATCTCCACCTTCCTCTCCTCTGCTCCAAGCAGCGCTTTAGCCATCTGGGCCACGGCGGGTCTCTTGGTGTGAGGTCCGTAAAGGAAGCTGCAGGTGCAGGGTTTCTGCATGACCTCCGCACGCGTGTAACCACACATCTTACAGAAGGCGTCATTACAGAAGATGATTGCACAATTCTCCACCTGTGCGTTGGCAATGATAAACCTTCGATCTTTGGATGGAGGGAAAGAGAATACAGGAGGCATTAGGAGGACAACAAACTGACAGCATGCACACAAAGATGGTGATACCAGGACTAACATGGTGGTGGTTGGCACTATCGGCCTTCTGTGGGAAGGTTGCATGCGTGCGTTCGCTCCAGGTATTCCAGACATTGAGTGAGGTTACCCCCCTTACACCTCCTCCAGTCGGCCAAACCATTCGCCCGACTATTACCCCCCTTGATTTATGCAGTAGATAGGCCATAATAAAACTCCTCAGTTGAACATACTACAAGTACCTACAAAGACAACCATGAAAGCATCTCCGTGCACTGAAACACATACACCAAATATTGAAGTTGTTTCCAGTTTCCACCCGTGATTCTGACTCGTGGAGACGGTGCTTTCAGGGTCCGATCGATACTGCGAGGTGCGTCCGCTCCCGCCGCCCCCCTCGCCATCTACGACTTAAATCTTCGGCTGCTCTCCAGCCACGCCGCCTACGAAGGGCTCCTTTTAGAATAACTTATTTCCCCGTTAAGATGGTTCAGCTACTGTAAAGAAAAGGGCACCGTCTCTCGCTCTTTAATCTCATGAAGTCCTCGGCAATATCTCACGCGCTTGAGCGCCCGCTCAGCATCTCGCCGTCGTAGACCGAGCTTTGGCATGTTTGGCAGAGTGTACAACCAGTATGGATCAACCGATTAACCAATCTGTTCGTTTAAATTGTTTGTGCTTCATCAATTAATGTTTCACATAACTAATGTGCCGCATTATACATATTTTGATATTAATTTAAAACTTTTCAAAATTGAAAATTAAAAACTTTTAATTTATTTATTGTAAATTACCTCTCGCGGCCCACCTGCAATACCTTCGCGGCCCACCAGGGGGCCGCAGCCCACACTTTGGGAACCACTGACCTAAACCATTCGGGATGCACTGTTGTGATAAAAAGAGAGCTGAGGCGAAGCTCTCGATCTACCGGTCAATCTTCGTTCCTACCCTCACCTTGGGTCATGAACGATGGGTCATGACCGAAAGAACTCGGTCACGAGAACAAGTGGCCGAAATGGGTTTCCTCAGGAGAGTGGCTGGCGTCTCCCTTAGGGATAGGGTGAGAAGCTCAGCTATTTGTGAGGAGCTCGTAGTAGAGCCGCTGCTACTTTGCGTTGAAAGGAGCCAGTTGAGGTGATATGGGGTCTGGTGATGATGCCCCCTGGGAAAGAGGGAGGCCCCGGGGAAGACCCAGGACTAGGTGGAGAGATGATATCTCTGCACTGGCCTGGGAACGCCTTGGGATCCCCCAGTCAGAGCTGGTAGATGTGTCGGGAGGGAAGTTTGGGGTCCCCTGCTGGAGCTTTTGCCCTCGTGACCCGACCCCAGATAAGCAGCTGAAGATGGATGGACTTTGTTTCCCCATCAAGCAACTGTAACGTTTTGACTTCTCATGCTCCAGTTGCAGCTGACAGAAGAAGCCAGAACCAAGCGATGAAGCACACAGAACATGGAATCAAAACAACAGGTTCGCTTTAGTGATTCCCATGACGAATGTGTTCGTAGGGCACACTGCTAAACTGCTCGTCCCTCCCTCACTGAGCGCAAAACACTCGACTAGATCACGACTCTTTCATATCCTTGCTCCTAAATGGTGGAACGAGCTCTCTGAAGACACCAGGACCACAGAGAGACTTCACATATTCAGACTAAAGACACACCTCTTCAGACTCTACCTCCACTAAAAGACTAAAAAACTGTAGCACTTAAATTGTACTCATCATGGCTCTTATCTATAGCAAATTGTAATTGTCTTATTTAATGAAATTGCACTTTATTGTTCTTGCTCCTCTGAGTTTGTATCCTTATGGTTGAATAAATGACATGTAATGTAATGTTAAAAACATTTCTTTTTGATTATTCAACAATAATAATAACATTTTGCTAGTAATTATTAATTGATTATATACCTATTTATGATTGTATTTAAGCAACAAATTGACTACTCGTATGAATGTTCTAACAGTTATATAAGAAAACAAACAAGGGTTTTAGTTTTAGTTTATCCCAGCAAATGTTTAACATAAAAGATTTAACATAAAAGATTCCATTCACATTGAGATTTGTAAACTGTCTACTTACTCTGTCCCTCAAATTTGCGGATGATGGTGTCCAGGAAAGTGTTCTGAGGCGCCACGTGGCCCCGTCTCACCGGCATGGTTCGGACCCAGTACCGGAGCCCCCTGCTGCTCTGATTGGCTGACGCCGGAGCTGTCCCGAGCTCTGGGCTCCCGTCCAGTCACACGTTCACCTTCCTCTCTTTCCCTCTTCCTCCCTCTCTTTGCTTCTCTGGCGTTTTCTCCATCCTCTCCCTGCCCATAATCCTTCTTCTTGCCTCTGATTGGTCCGGGCAGTAGCTAGGCTAATGAGGATGTACTATCTCTTAACTTAAATATGTGTGTTACTACTACTCTTCTTTAATACATTCAATATCTTCTTGCGCAGATACAGTACATAGTTTCCTCCCACAAAGCAATCGGTGACTTTAGTTTAACATCTCCGTGCCAGAGGAGATGATTCACAGATAGGAAGTTGTCCCCTGTACAGCTTTACAGTAGACAACGCCACCACGGGATCAGATCAAACGTGTGTGGCAGTTTCACAGCAGGATTAGAACATTGTTGAAGTGGTGTGTTCCCATCACCACTGGGAGGAGAATATATCATCTCATCGCTGTGCTGTTGTTTTCCTTCTTACACCAGGGGACATCTACTGGATGGACGTGGTATCAACAGCATGTGTGCTGGAAGCGCTGCAACCGTCGCTTTAGTTTGGGTCCGTAATAAGTACAAAGGAAAGAAAACCCAAGGGAACAAAGTATTTAATATGAATGGAATGTTCCCACATTTAGAACTAAGAAGAGCATAATATGTGTGTTGTATCCAGCTGACTAACGCGTTAGTTGTTTTTGGTCGTGGTCGTTTCTTTATATCTAGTTCACTGTTTCTCTTCACACAACACAGGACAACACACAACAGTTCAGACTTCTGAAGCACAAAATGTATTTGATATTAATTCTGACATCCAAAAACACATTAAAGGACAATTTTGGAGTTACATGTTTGCCTTCAGACCTTTCTGGTGTGGATTAGTAGGTTGCTCCCAATGATGTCGTGGTACCCACTTTGTTCCCTATTTAATATTTGTCATGGAAGGTAATGACAGCAAAAGTAGATATTTTCATGCTTTTATATTTGTTAAAACTACTCCTACCTGTCAGCGAAACAATGCATACTCCACTTACCAGGACAAAAGTGAGTATGGTGTTAACTAAGTGGACATTTCCCAGGAGAAGTCAGGTTTACTTTTGGGTGACAAATAGACTGTTGACATTATAATACATTATACAAGGCGTATTATACTGACAGGATTTGGCTGGTCCTCGCTACTCCGCATGTCGGGGGGACTGGCCGGACGTAACTCCTGTGGCCGAGTCAGTCGCCGTTAACCATAAGGAGTGACACCAGGAAGGCAGCGTTGCAAACTTCATCTTTAACTTTATTAAGGTCTTAGGCCACTCACCAGCCACCTTCTGGTCAATTTCAGATTAGATTTAACAGGAAACAATCAATAGTTACACGGTAATTTGACTTCAGGCAGAGAGTAAACATCCCCACGGTGTCACGCACAGTTCTCTGGATTTCACATTTGTTGACCTGTCAGGAAGGACATCCTTCCTTATATTTTGATTGCTTGTGTTCATAATAGATGAGACATTTCTATTGCAGTAATATTAGAGGCAAAATGGCGTACTGTGCCTTGCAACCTGTGCAGAGTTCTAACTGGATGTGCACAGTAGAGACTGTGGACAATAAGCGCACCAGATCTGTGAAAACACTGATCTCTGCTCTAAAGACTTCTAAAGACAGTAGAAAGAGCAGGCAGGAGAGGACAGAGACAGAGACGACAATTAGAGAGGACAGGACTGACAGGCATGGAAGAAAGGCAAGAAACACATCCGTACATATACTACATATTTCATATGAAGTCATATCCCAGGAACAGAAATGTTATTGACTCAAAACTGGACTTTGAAGCAAACGTTGTACCCGTGTGTAAAAAGGGACACCAGCGTTTGTTATGTTTGAGGAAACGGTCCTTTCCACATTGACCTTATTTTATTGTGCTTTTATTGCATTGATCTTATCTGCTGGTCTGATATCATGGTTTGGTAACCTATCAAAAGAACAGAAACTACAGGGCTCACCAGAGGCTCTATATTTTGTCACAAATGCCAAATGTCACTGATATGATGGCTGATAAGACGCCTTGCCATCCAAGAAGCGCTTGAGTGATTTGGGCCAATTGGTCACGAAACCATTAGACACATATTGTTACTGTAGGATATTAGAAACAAATTGACGACCCGGTTCATAAAATTAATAAAATACATTGAGTGTACACCAGAATACAGCCATGATTCTGAAACTGTGTAATCAATAAAGTAATGACAATATTGTAAAACCACTGTAATTCTGCAACTGTAATAGAATAATACCAACGTACAGTTATGATTGTATTTAATGTAATGTAATCAACTGGAATGCATGCATGTAATACTTGAACAACAACTGATATTGACTAAGGGACATTTGAAGTCCGAGTTACATTGAACTCACCAGAAGACCACTCCCAGAGGTGTGGACACTGACTTTCACACCTTCAAGCATTGTTATAAATACCTGTAGGAACCATTGTTCTCGAGTTCACTGGCGGAGGCGACAGACGGGCACTAGGGATGGTCAAAAGGACGGACCTGGGGCCTGTTGGTTGCTGAGACCAGCGGCTCCTCAGCTGAGATGTTCTTTTTACCGCAACACCATCTCTTTTATTACATTTGATTTTAACCTTTTGATCTGCGATGACCTCTGTCCGCCTGGCGTTTTTTCATTTTTTAATACAACATTACACTTTGTCTTAACAGGTATCAGTTAAGAAGAAGCCGATACCTGACACCATTGCATAATCTGTATAAAGTAGAAATGTGGAATGTCGATGACCCAGCTAGAAGATGTTTGATAAAAGAGGTTTCAACAAATGGTTTTGTTAACTAGAACTACACATAACCAGACAGATTTGCTATCTTCTCCTTTTCCTCACTACTTCTCTCTAAGCTGCAACTAGCTGATGACTTCTTTCACTTTTTCAGGTGGAGGATCTGCCCAGACACGTTCCCCAGCAGCCGAGATTACCGAGAATCAGCGTCATGCCATCGGCAGGGAGAGCGGGGCGCTCCCATTGTAACTTCTCCCTCAAATAACTCTGACTGTAGTAAAAGTTTATGTACCGGCCCGTCGGGTTAACCTCTGTGCATGGAACACTTTGAGCGCCTCGTCCTGTTCCACCTCAAAATATTTACTTTACAACACACTGCAGCACACTTCTATCCAGGTTACGGTTCTAGGCTGTGCGTGGAGGAAAGCCCCACCAGATCTAACCTCCCGCACAAGCTCTACTAACCAACTACTAATCATTCACTTGCTTTCAGGATGTGAGAAGGAAACAGACACCAGTGCTGGACAGCTGATCGTAGCCACGATGTAGAAAATATCTATTATGATCCAATTTATTACCAACGTTTGATTCAATAATTAAATTCCTTTTGCATCGTGGCTATGATTGTTTCACTCATCATGCCATGTACTTTATTATTATATGGTTTTGTAGTTTGCATTTGAATTCTGAACGGAACAACAAAGAGTAAATATGGTTTTATATGGGAACATATGTTTATTTGTTCATATTTATAAAACGTCAAAATACAAATTTGTGCTAACTGCAATAAACAAAGTGTTTCCCGGCATGCATTTTAGCCCCTCTAGTCTCATCTTAGATGTAAATATCTCCGTATAAAAAACAACATTGTTAGTTTTTATGAAAATATCCCTTTTGTTGTGACATTAGTAGTGCCATGTGACACATTATTAGTGCCATGTGACACATTAGTAGTGCCATGTGACACATTATTAGTGCCATGTGACACATTATTAGTGCCATGTGACACATTATTAGTGACATGTGACACATTAGTAGTGCCATGTGACACATTAGTTGTGCCATGTGACCAGGGCTCTCACTCATTTCAGTTGATTGGTTACTCCGTCCATATCGTCCACACCCCCCCCCCCCACTCCCTTGTCGGCTGTAGTGTCCAAAAATGTCACTCCCAGGTATCTTAAAAACTTGAGAGCCCTGATGTGACGGCTGTAAACCTGCCCGAGGGAACTGACTGACTAAAGATGGGTGCTGCGGACGGCCGCTGACAAACTGTCGGCTTCACCTTCACAGGTGGGACCGTCTGTGCTGGGAACCTGGTTTAGGCCCGTCGGCAGCTCAGAGGAGGACTGCAGTCGGTTCCTGGTCAGGTATCGGCTGCAGGAGCAGAACGTGTGGTAGAAAGAGGAAGAGAGGCCGGCGATATCTGTGGAGATGTAGGGAAGGACCTCTGGAGACGCCTGGTTATAGTAACTGATCTGAAAGTAATAATGGGGGAGTTTGTTTTGATTGTAGTAATACACACTTTGATCAGCTATAGTGACTATTGGTCTCACCAGTGACATGTTATTGCTGGTCTCCACGATGGTGAAGCCAGCACACAGAACCTCTCCTCTGTTGTAGCCTTCAGAGGGCGGGTACGTGGGCAGGGACACGGAGCGCAGCGCGATGACATACGGATCTCTGAGGAAGGAAAACGTAACAATCCACAGGTGATCCTGGAGGAATAGCGGTGTATGACCTTTGACCTGTCATTCTACTGACCCACTGCCACACGGCTTCCTCTTTGAAGCCAACAAGATGAAGTCCTGCAGAATCCCTTCTCCCTGATGGGCTGAGGTTGGGGAACCTCCTGCTCCCCGACTCACCGATGGGGTCACCACTCGATACAGGAAGTCATCATCGTCCACCCGGTGAATCAGCTCACATTTTCTGATTGCAGAAACACAGAGATACTGCTGACAGGGCTGCAGAGAGACGGGAGATGAAGGAAACTTCTAGCCAGGCTGCATCCAAAGCGAACACGGTCCTACCAGCTCTTCTAAAGCTCTAATTAACACGTTATGTCTAGTGGGTTAAATCTGGACAAAAGCTAAATGTCAAAACTACAGTTATGGTTTTACAGGGGCTTTTGTCACAAATGAGGACGTGGCCACTCAACCACTTTACCCCATTTAAAATGAATATAAGAAAACATAATGCGAGCTACCTGAGCTCTATGTAGAGAATACTTTCCCCCTGCTTGATGACCTTACACTTCAAAGGTGTTCTGTAGACATGTCTCACTGGGCTATGAACACCCTGACCTGTATCTCCAGTTGGCAACACTGGAATACCCTGCCAGAAACCAAAGTCCAGACTAAATCAAACAAATTCAGCGATTTGGGCATTCAACATTCATCCCTTCTGCACAGATTATGAACCAAATCCAAAAAAACACTATCTGGATTCTCAGCATCTTTGGGGTATTTTTCTGCAACTGTGTGTGTGTGTGTGTAGAAGAATTACTGATAATGTGTGTCCCAGCTCGGCCTGTTGCTCAGCTCAGCCAGCAGACAAAAGGCTCTGTGAGCAGGAACATCCACCTCCGACTCCACCCTGAAGCTCAACGTGGACTTCTGCTCCATGGTGTAAAGACGGACCTGGGAACAAACAATCCCCATAAACATCCAACTCCTCATGCAAATTGTAAACGGACTCGACTTGCATTTGCCTTTTCTAGTCCTCTGACCACTCAAAGCTCTTTAACGCCACATGTCATCATTCCATACGCAGTAACGTTCAAGCCAGTGCAGGCTAACCAATAGAAGGAAATGGGGCGCCGCAACAAATATATTATTAAATTATAAAAATTGTCAATATTTATGTTTTTGAAAAATGGAATGTACTCAGTAATAGTTGTATATATATGATATCAGTGCAAAAGTCATTATTTTCATGCACATCCTGTCTTCATGGGGGTTCTAGCTGCGCCTCATGATTGCCGCGGGTCTGAGAAGCATTTTAACCAATTGGTGACTAAATGGAAGAATGTGTGACATATAATTTAGCCAATCAGCGTCCTTAAACAGACTCGGCCTGGGGCAACATTGGTCTTTCCCTGAGCTTGCGCGTTCTTGTCCAGGCTGGTATCAACACATCCTGGACGAAGTAAAGAGACCATATTTTATCACCTTCAAGCAGACGAAACGACTGACGTGTATAGAGTGCAGTTTATATCCTACTGATTACCATTAAATATATACTGTATATTATGTTGAATTGTCTGTGAGGGTGACAAAAATAAGAGCGTCAAAGTATTATTTACTGGGTTTTTTCATGTTGGGATGAATACTAAATATTTAACTGCAAAGTCGTAATGTGTTTTTGATACAATAAATCAACCTGGGATGTTTGCTGAAATGGATTTGATTTTCCACCAGCCCCACTGATTCAAACCCAATAATACACCACAAGCAGGGACCAGTTTAGGTTAAGTGTGTTACCCAAAGACACATCGACATGGACCAACGCAGCCGGGGATTGAACTGCCGCACCTGTGGTCACATGAAAAAATAGATCACAAAACCCCCGTTGGATACCTCGTCTTTCTCAGAGCTGAGTCGCCAGTGGGTTCTAGCAGCCAGCATCTTCACAGCAGAAACATTGTTGTAGCTCAGATACACCTGAAAACACACACACGCACAATGTATAAGCAAACAGACACAGCAGCATGCGCTATGCACGACTTTAACACTGGGCTCATGCTGCTCCTCTGCGCCGAGGACACACACAGTGACACAAGGACAAAACAATCAACAATGATAACAATCACAGCAAGAATAGCCCGGTTCTTCATGTAGCCCGGTAGTAGGAACTAAACAGTTGGTTGAATGTTGACATTCAAATACTTTAAAGTTGGTTTGTTTGGACAGTGGCAGAAAAATATCCAGTTACACAAATGTTATTATCGTACTATTAGTCTAATTAGTTTCCACTAATTGTTATGAGACCAAAGAATTATAAGAAAGCAGATGTCATAATAATAATAAACATGTTTTTGTCAATGAAAATACTAAAATTCATTTAAGAAATTAATAAAATAAAAAATTAGAGTAATTTTAAAAGGATTTCGGGAAATTCGGGAAGGTTAGGTTTTTAGACTTGACTTAAACTAACTTCAACAAAGTCAGACATGAATTAAAAACTATCGCATGCTTTGGAAATGGAAAAACTAGCGTGAGAACTGGTGGTGATTAATGGTCTCATCACTCCTGCTCTCGGAAATGTTCCAATGACTTTGGACCGCGGAGGCATGATTACCTGCACCGTGTTATCAACCAGGTCTAATCTGAACGTTGATAAAGCTTTTAGTGGAACAGTTGCACCAAACTGTTTAAACTCAGATATCAAATCAAACGCCCCTCAGAAAGTTTGGCTCATGTAAAATCTAAAAATAAAAACCAACATCTTTATACAGAGTGAAGCTAATGAAACATCTTGGTTATGTCTTTATCTATCGCTGACCACTGTAACTGCTCATCTCATCAAAAAGAAAACTCAAATAAGATTAGTGTATGGACGCTGCAGTTATATGGAAGATCTGACTAATGTGAACATTGGACACACAGCACGCACTACTGGATTAATTCCATCCCTGATGTGTTATGATGCACAAATGTCAGGCACGGTGCCAGATGAATAAACAGCTGAGTGGGATTCTGCTCTCTTTGTTTGGAGGATGGAGGGAGACACAGCTGCTGCACATCGACACTTTTCTACTGTTCTCCACCGAGACGACACCACCATGGTGTCCACCACACCATCTGAACTGCGGTCTCCCCCCATACTGCATGTCCCTCCGTTGGCTCTAGTTTGGACGCACTCAGAGCTGAGACGCTCAAAGCGTTCAGTCTACAAGGTTTTATGAGCATGTCTTCATGGTTTATGATCACCCGTATTCCTGCAGACGTAGAAGGCATCCAGTTGTTAATAAACAACTCAAAGAAACGTTTCCCCCGTTGGTCCTGGTTTTAGTGATCCCTGTGTCTCCGTGGACCAGTTGAGGGGGGAGGGGGCTCTGTCTTTTGAATCCATCACCAGGAAAGTATTCCTAAACCTAACAAAGTCATGTTGTTACCTGGTTTCTGGGGTCCCAGGGGACAGACAGGGGGACCTCTCCCTGCGTACGTGAGATGATGTACTTTCTGAAACAACAAAGGGAAAGCTTAGTGTCAGAACTGGCTGATATCTACTCAGGTATCCCCTCATCGTGTGACCACTAGCTGCACAGTACATGTTTCCCTTCCTGCCTTTAGCGCGGCGGCCAGTGTGATGCATGTTCCCACTCTGTGCTGCAGATTGACATTTCTGTGGATTTTGCGCTTTCCTGAAAAGTCAAGTTAAAAAGCGGAGAAAGTACTTCCTCTTCACAGTCACGGGCAGATAGTTTACCTGTCCAGTCGTATCTTCTTCCTGGCTGTGGCCTCTTGAAACCTCCTCCCCCCTTCCTGTGATGAAAGACATTGAGGGACAGACAGACTCAGACAGAGAAAGGTCCAAGTTCATTAAATACATCCCTTCTTAATGTGGAGTATAAACATGTCCACAAAATACATTCAGGTTCAGAAACAGCTATAGCTGCTTTATTTGACTGCGAAACAAAACAAATGCTTAAAGGAAACAATTGATGGACGTGTGTCATAATCTGGTAAAACTGATCTCCCGCTGTGTGCCTTTTAGTTTCTATCAGTGTCAGTGAGCGGGACTCACTGATTGGCTCATAGCTTCCTATGCTCTAACCAGGCGGCTACAGCTGATATGCCGCCCCCCCTTCAGCGTGGTCACCATTCATTCACCCATTCATAGGCTGACGACCAGAGAACCTACGCGAGATGCCATCTGCACAGTAACCATTGGACTAATTGTAAGTCGCTTTGGATGAAAGCGTCAGCTAAATGACATGTAATGTGACCAACATTCATTCATAAGTTGTCTTTAAATTGGGTTATAACAAAGTACATGTTTCAATAGTTCTCTCGTTGTATTTTATGGTTTCATCTCCATGAAAAAAGGGTCAAATAGGATTTTGTGCTCCTGCGGTCATTTAAATGCAATTCCTGGTGCTGTCAGGTTGCTGCTGGACCTCCTGTTGGAACAAGTGGGATTGTGGTTTGGGCGGGAATCCCTGCTTGAACAAATATGCTTAAAGAAGCACCGTCTTTCCAGAGGTGAAAGACCTGCTTGAGGCTTTAAGAGGTTAGACTCACCAAGGGTTCAGGTCGTATCCGCGGTAACGTGCATGGCTTCCCGTGGTCGTCCAGCACCTCAAAGGTCATGAAGGCCGAGTTAATGTGCCGGTTAGGCCCTTCCTCGTGGTAGGCCTCGGCTCGCACCCCCACCTCCATGCTGCAGCACACACACAGTCAGCCTTTTTGCATATCGTTTGCTTATTTTACTTTGTTGGGCCACACGGTACCTGTTTTTGAATGCGTTATTGACTATAGCCCTGAGCAGCAGTCTGTCTCCAACGTGAGAAGGTCCCCTGAAGGTGAACATGTCGATGGTGCGCAGAGTCGGGTGAGCCTGACAGAGTCGACTGCAACGAGGAAGACGTATATCAGTAGAGTAATGAAGGAGACCGTTATGTCTCTAGACCGGCTCCAAATAACGCATTCCAAACGCGCGTGGGACCGTACCTGGCAGCAATTGTAGCTACATTCACCATCCACGCCATGATCTGCCCCCCAAACGTGTTCACCTGGTATTCAGATAGAGGGAAGTGATGACACACCCTGAATACACACTGATTGCACGAGATGGATCATGTATCGTTGACAAATAGAATACATCAGTATCGACCTGGTGGTTAGCATGTGTGGGTAAGACCAGCTCCACACTCTCCACCTTGGTCTTCTCTGCTGCCACCGCATTGCCCGCTGCACAGTTGTCAGCTGAAACACACACACACACACAGGTGATAGAGAGTCACTGGAGGGTCCACACCACTCACACTGTTGTCCCAGCTTGTCCAAGGCTGGATTGCAATGCATTTTTTACAAAAGTTGATCTCAGCCAACAAAGTTCCCGTTCACTCCCGGATGTACAAACGTTGGAACAAAACTCTTCACCGCCGCGGAGTCACACAGTAGGGGGCGCTGCTCGAGAAAACTCCTTCAACAACTCCAAACTCAGTGCAGTAACGGCTTCATCAGGGGCAAACGGCTACGGCGGCGTGCCTCACACCCACCCTGCAGGACGGAGGCGTGGGAGAGGAGATCTTTGATGATGTCATCGTGCAGCATCCTGACCCTGCGTCGCTCAGCCGCCACGCTGTACTCCACCTGCTCTTTCTCAGTGTGAGGTACAATGACCTTCAAGATCACCTGTGATAGATGTTAGTACATATGTCAGAAACAATAGCACACACACACACACACACACACACACACACACACGGCCCAAATCGATCACACAGGCTGTTGCAACTCAGCAGGCGGGTTGAACATCCGTTCCAGAGAACACTATACCTTTTTCCCGGTGTTTGTGCGCTGGGTAACAAAGGTGGCGTAGGCGTCACAAACCCTCCAGTGCCGATCCAAGAACAGGTCCTCGCAGCTCACCTGGACCCCCACCTGGGTTGGAACACACCGGGGAAGAGCTACAGTGAAGCATTCGTTAGCTTGTAGCTAGCACGTGCCAAGGTGTCTCTATGTCCCGGTCTAAGGACGGACTGCGTTCACAAGTGAGGAACAAAAGAGAAGCAAGTGTCATGGTGTCCAGGAATGCTAGAATATAGAGCAGGAACACAATGCAAGGTGATCTCACCTCCATGCTGGTGTTAAAGGCTCTGTTGACCTTTGCCTTGATGTTCACCACCTGACCCACACTGAACAGAGAGAGAGAGGAAGAGAGACAGTTACCTGTACTCACACACACACACACACACACGTCTCTGTAGACACACTCCCTGTTACCTGATTGTATGTTCAAAGTGGATGTCATCCATGGAGGCGGTGACACAGGGACATCCAGCATGCCGCTCGGCTGCGCATGTGAAACAGACACGTCATCATGTCCCGCCTCCTGGTTAGTCACGGGTTAATATTGATGGAGTCACACACACACACACACACACACACACAGAGCCCTCACCGGACAGGCAGGCGCAGGAGTCTATCCACTTGAGCAGCTGACCCACACTCAGCTCCTGTCTGTGGTTGCTGTGACACGGCATCACGATCTGACTCATTTTGACCTCTGTCGGGTTGACACTCTTTTCTTCTTCTTCTTCTTCTTCTTCAGCCTCCTCATCTGTGTTCTCCACATCACCGGACACTCTGGAACTCATCTTCAAAGCTGAGGGGAGAACGGTTTCTTAGCATGAGCTGGGTTTACATTTTGTTAGACGTTTATCTCGTTCAGCTTGAAGACGAATAATGAATGACTCTTTAACGTGCACGGTTTGAGGGCTTCGCCCTTGTGGGATAAGATTGCTAACAATAGTTTGGGCTCATTTGATGATTCATGATTAACAAACAGTGTATACAAAGTGCTCAGCATGTACAGGTTAGGTGGTATATGACAATGGTTGGTCCATTAGACACCCGTACTACATCATTAACATATTTAAGACATGGCATGGAATCAAGGTGCTGATGGGTCAGTTGGGCTCCTGTAGTCCATCCCGGACGTCCTTTTGGTCAAAGCAGCACTTTGACTGTTACCAGCAGGGAGCGCTCCCTCCTACTGAACCGACTGATCTAAATCAGTTCTGCTTCTGCCTCCGGCGATGACACATCGGGTCAATGATGGCCACATACATGCACACACACACACACATACATGCCTGCAACAGCTTCCTGTGCAATGACTCATCTTCTCCAGAACAAGTCTCACACGGCGCTTAGTTTTAACGTTCCACGTGTAAATGTGCACGCTGGGTGCTGATGTCCCAGAACGCAGCTGTGCATCCGTGTTAGCTGTGGAGGCTAAACATCTGGAGTGAGACGAGCGTAGAAGCTGGTTTCTAGTTCCGCCACATGAGCGCCACACACCTCGGGACCCACAGACGTCGCTTCGGACAACGTAACTTCTACTCCGTAAAACATTTTATTTTATATTCATTCGGAAGCTGCAAACGCCGCAGCTTATTTGAGTAAACGTGGACTAAAAGGAAAGTTTAACGCTTCAACTTGGACGTTTAATCTTCCTCCACAGCGCAGCTCACTTACCTGCCAGCGACCTGAAGAAGGATCGAGCCAGATGCCGGAAACAAGAGAGTTCCGGTAGAACCTTTCAAAATAAAAAAACTCCTTAATGAATACTAAACATTCACAAAGCATAACCGCGTTCTCTACTCGAATTTGTTTTAATATAAAAGTGAAATAATTACAGGTGGGATATATTTAGTCCACTATTTAAAATGTTACAGGGCATCACATGACGGGTAGATAGACACAAACCAGCAACACAAGCATTTTTTGAATTTTAATACAGTATTGGCTTATTGTTTTTGAGGGGTCATGATGTGAGTTTTCTAAATAATAGCCATTAATCCCAAGTATAGGTGATTGGGGCGGACGGACCTGGATGGAGTCCTTTGGGGCCTGCTGGTCTTTGGGAGGTTATTCCATGAGAAGGCGCCGGCTTTGGAAAAGTTCCACTCAAAGGTTGCTGTGCTGATGGAAGCCGGATGGTTTATATACCTGCTCCCCAAACAAAAGACTTATTGCTTCAGTGTTGTTTTGTGACTTTGGAATCCCTAAGGATTTTCATTCTTTACTTGTCTCAAATGTCTCCATTTGAGTTCATCTTGGTTCACGCGATGTGCTGTTTGAATGGTCATTTCCAGTTGAAGTGGTCCTTTAATGTTACGGACAGAACACTTAAATGTCATAATCACACAGTGATCTATTATAGAAATAAGAAGTCTCTAGTGCACCGAGTGAAGTAAAAAAATTGAATTTAAACTTGAAAAAATAAGATTTGAATCAGAGAATCTAAAATCTGTGACTAACCTTAACCCAATTAAAAACAAAGAATGAAAAAATATATTTTAATTGAAGATTCGAGAACTAAATTAGTTATGATTCAACCCCAAAATACTTTATTTGTATTTTAAATACATTGTTTTATATACATATTTTTTAATGGTAAAGAACAAAACTCAAACTTGTAGGTTCCATTTTATTTTTCAAATGATCCAAACTTTCAGCAAAATAAAAGTTCAATATTTTGAACAGAACATTTTTTATTCCTCAAAGCGGCTGAACGTATTGACATTAAAATAGTTACTGTTGCATCTTCACATGATACACTACTAGTGTGTCATCGTCAGCTCTGAGGATGAACATCTCTCAGAACAGGGATGAAGGTGTTGTGTTAATAATATCATTTTATGTTAAAAATAAATGTTTTGTCTTAGTCACAGTAGTTCAAGAAATATTACTATATTATTACTATAATATAGTAATATTTACTATATTACTATATAATATTAACATTAATATATGTAATATTACCATATAATATTACAGACTATTGCCAGAGTCTGATGTGTAACTTAGATCTTCGACCTTGAAGCATCTGAATTATATAATTTGGAGGCAGAGAAGCAGTTCTCTGAGCAGCAGCTTGACACATGATGATTTTATTTTTCTAACAGAACAAAAGAACTGATGTTCAATGTGTACAGTCAGGCATGGAAACAAAAAAAGCGACTCATTCAGAATAAGAGTTATTTTATTGAGTGAGTTTGCACAGTTGCAACCACAGATGGAGGGATGGAGTCAAGTGTGTAAAAAAGAGTTTTCTATTTTCAGTCTGACGAATTATCCTGTTGGATTTGTGACCCAAACCAACACGCATACTTGACGGACGACTCACTGCCCAGACACACACGGTGCTGTGTGTAGTCCTACACAGCCCCGTGCAGGTACAGTGCCAGGAACTTGCTGAAGACTTCAGGCTTGTATCCTGTCAGACCAGCTGGTACCTGCAGGGAGACACACAACCGCCAATCAGAACCCGTTTCTCTGTCGTCCAATGACAGTTATTAGTGGGCCAAGTTCCAGGAAAAAACAAACGGTAAATCCATATTTATTTTGACAAGTAAGAATGACAAGTGGATCATGTGTTCTAGACACCTAAAGACAGCGCATGCTGTATTAAGGTTACTTTCCCCCCTTAAGCGTTCTGTCACACACAACTTCAAAACCACCAAACTTCATTTCAGCTCGATGACCAAACAACTATGAAGGAACGCAACGTATAGCGGAAGATGTAGTAAACAAAGATATGCTCAATAATCCAGCATGTTCAGTATTTCAGATTCTTCAAAGTAGCCACCTTGTGCTTCGATGCAGCTTTGCACACTCTGCATTCTTTCAGTGAGCTTCACAGTCACCTGGATGCTTCTCCATTAACAGCGGTGCTCATTTGAGTTTCTTTCCTTCTTGATGTGTTTGAGATCATCAGTTGTGTTGAGCAGAGTAGCTGCCCAGTTCCATACAGGGATCAGGCCTGTTCCACTACAGTTCTACTCCACATTATGACAAGAAGCACTCAACTAAGTAAAGACAAACAACAGTCCATCATTACGGAGACAGGGAGGTCAGTCCATCCGGGACATTTCAACAACTTTAAATGAGTCCACACATGCAGTCAAACGCTCTGATGAAAGTAACTTTCACGATGAGAGAAGTTCATCAGTTACCACCCAAGGAAGGGACGTGGAACCAGTGGAGATCTGACGAGGAGGTGACGGAGGTGGTGTGAGGTCTGCAGCGACAGGCCTTTCCTCTGGTCTGCTCTTGGTGGACCAGCATTTGTATTTCAACAAGACGATGACCTCAAACACACCTGCAGGCTCTGTGAGGGTTATTTGACCAAGAAGGAGAGTGTTGGAGTGCTGCGTCACATGACACGGCCTCCACCGTCACCCACCTAACCCCATTGAGAGGGTCGGGGGGGAGTTGGACCGCACAGTGGAGGCCAAGCAGCCAAGTGCTCAGCACCTCTGGAACTCCTTCAAGACCGGTGGAGAACCTTTCCCCCCTCCCAAGAGAGTCTTCAGTTTGTTTTTTCACATTTACAGACCACGCCCCCACCAGCAGACAGAGGCCGCACGTCGGATGTTTATGTCCGTCGCCCCCCCCCCCGATGAAACATCAATACTATCATTTCAATACATAGGAGACAGCACTGGGAAGCCGCAGGATGACATACAGACCCAGAAAACTAAATAAAGGTTAAATAAACTAGATAAAGGTTTTATATATAGTGATCTGTTTAGGAGGGTTCACTGTAGCAGTGACACAGTACCAACAGGCACACGGGGGTCTCGTCATACCTTCACCTGCTTCTTCTTGATGAGTGGTCGCACTTTTGCAAAGTCATAGAGCTCAACATCTTCCTCCAGCCACACCTGCATGAGGAAGACAGCGTTTCAACCACCCCGTCACATCGGGTAGCACACACTGTATACACACAGTGTTTGATTCATATGGAGAACAGTGGCTTCTATGAAAACTATTTCATCAAGTTTATTTATTTAAACACACGCATGGCACATTATCCAGTCCTAGTCAAGATTATTAATTAGACAAGTGAAGAAATAAAGAGCTAGTAGCTAGTAGTTCTTAAATCAGGAGAGACAGCATTTGATGTTGAAGCTTTAGACCACTTAAAATCTGTGATTGGTCATGTGGACCAGAACCGGATACAGATACAGGATCAAATGTGGGGTGAGTACCATGCACCTGTGGTCAAACACTCTCCTGCACCCTGTAGTTCATTGATAGTGCTTCATTAAGTGTATTTTGTTGTTATTGGTCTCACCGGAGTGTGTGGAGGCCTTCGCTGGAACACCAAACCAAACATGAGCGTTCTGTGCCAATCTACGCTGTAGCGTTTACTGGGTGAACCCGCGCAGAAGAAATAGTCCTCTAGCTAACAGATGTTCTGCTGCAGCGCAACAAATATCACTACATGGCTTCCTCTCAAAACCCCTCATGCAGTTATTGATCTAAAAAAGGAGGCGAAGGAAGCACCTGGTTCTTGATGCCATCGTCTCCTGAGAGATCTGTGGTGTTGAGCTGAAGAACCATAAACTGGAAAATTCGGCCGTTGGTCCCCACTGCCTGTACCGTTATGGGCCGATCTAGTACGTGCCGGGGCTGGGTCTGACACACACACACACACACACACACACACACACACACACACACACACACACACACACACACACACACACACACACACACACACACACACACACACACACACACACACACACACGCACGCACAGTATAAGAGGTAGGAAGAGAGCGAGAGAGGAGGATCATTAACAGGTTGAACACTGTATGTACACAGACTATATAGGCGGATCCCCGGTGTTTAACGCTCACCCCATAGGCTTTGTGTGCACGGACCAGAGCGTTTCCAAAGGTGAACATGAGCATCTTGGCTCTGAACTGCTCAGGCCGGAGCTTACAGCGAGCATCGGCTCCCTCCAGGAAGTACAGCGTGTGGGCGTGGGGATAAGGGTAGTCACCCCTGAAACCTGATTGGATAACAGACGTCATTAGCAAAAGGAGCACGGAGACGCAGCCTCAGGGTGACGGGCGCAGACAGACTGACCGGTGCAGTTCGGCTCATCTTTGTACACGTGGACTTTCTGCAGGTCAATGGTCGGGGAGACAGGGTACAAAGCTTCCAGGACATGATCTGCCGTGTCGGCAACTTCCTGTTTCCCAGAAACCTCTGGAAGAGGATCCATGCAGTTATGCAGCAAACCATTCTGACCCCTGATCTGGAACACGTCCTCACCTGGTGTTCAAACATGGAATGAAAATGGTCTGTTAGTGTTATGGAGGCCTCGAGAGAGAAACAATATTCTGACCCAAGTACTGTTCTCTCCCGTTTGCTTAATACTAAACAACGAATGAAATTCTTTCGAAGTGACAACCACTTGTTTGTTGTTGTAATTCTCATTGTGGCCACAAGAGGCCAAACTGCCCCACATTCTACATGGAAAAGATTTATGTTTTAATTCTCCATCCACCTCAAACAAAAAGTTCATATTTTGTGTGTAAGCAGGTCATGTCAGTAAAAACCCAAGGTAGCAGCACACTTCAGCCACTTGAGGCCAAAAGATGTAGAACACAAACTCATCTTTGTGCTCCCCAGAGAATACGTCCCAACGACTTAACGACTAAAAAGTGATTGTGAAATGTGCACAGGGGATTTGACGTTGTGGGAATAAAGGTTAGCTGAGCTACATTCTGTTCAGTGAGTTACCAATGCGCTACCACGGCCCTAAACAGGACATGTGTCCATCGTCATTGTAAACAATGTTTTTTGCAGAGATTAACATTAGTTAAAGTGTCGCCAAAATGACCATCGATCAACCCATTTGGCACCTTAGTTCTGCTCTTCACAATAAGATATCCTACTTTAACTCCTCCAAATAGTGCAAAGAAGCTCTTTCATCATCGCCCGGAGGTTCTTACTACTTTTCTCTCAGTAACTTTCCTGTAGTAATCAGACACACACAACATTTGACACCGAGACTCGTTGACATGTATGAATTAACTTTACTTAGGTTTCGTGGCAATTGCCAAAAAAGAAACAGCGTCACGCCGCAACCGGGTCAGAGCAATGCGGGTCAGGTGATCTAGGACGGCGTATTACCTCTTTTCCATGTGGCTGCCAAAGAGTATTTCTCGGAAAAGATCCTCCTTCCGATCGCTGGGTGGCTGGACTGTAGAGTTGCACACAGGTGGAGTAGGTTGAGGAGAAGAGTGTTGCTGAGATGGGAACACACACACACACACACACACACACACACACACACACACACACACACACACACACACACACACACACACACACACACACACACACACACACACACACACACACGGCGGTGAGCCAAAGAAAGAAATGGAGCCACCACCCCCACCATGAGTCCGACCTGTGCTTTCCTCCAACAGAAGACAGCTCACACTGACCGTACGTAGTGTTGTACTGAAATGCATCCCTGATAAACAGTATTTGAGGCTAGTTGCTTTGTATTTCAAACATGCTACATGTGCCTGTGCCCCAGCTTGTAGGGGGCAAAAGTCATTCTGCAGATCATGTTCACAGAGCCAAACCATTACCTGCATCCATCAAGACTGTTCCCAAAAAATTCCCAGTGAGTGATCTACCTGAGCAGAGAATGGAGTATCTCCCCCTCTGACGTTATCAGAGCTTCTCCGTGCTTTGTTCACATTGCTGGCCGTGGATGTCTGCTTTTAAGACCATGTTAGTGTATGATAATGTGCCCCCCCCGTATCCCGGTTTTAAAAACGGGAACTGGTTCTATAGAAGCAAAACCCAGAGAATTGATGTGTTATTATTTTACAGAGAGACACATACAAGGGAGATGATATCAGATATCCACCACAACACTGCAGCCGCCATCGCAGCGAGATAAAAATAACGCATGTACTTGACATTTTGGAACTTTTTATATTGCTGCTTAAGACTGTTTACATACAAGGTGTATCCAATAATAAAGGACATCTTTCTCTTAATTAAGCGTAAAAAGTAGCGTTATGAATATCGATATGGGAGCGAACCGCTAAGCAGAACCAAGTACTGTCACTAAGTATTAATCCAACTAGCCAGGTAAATGCTGCATCTGTTGGCACTGCTAGCGCTGTTGCCACTGTTATCTTCTAGTTGCCGTAAGGAAAGACTTGTGGAGGCAGTATTCATTCTGTGACTGTGAATGATTTCACTAATTCAGTATCCACGCAAACACAAATGTGAAGCACTAATTGTTAATCTCCACAACACAACCCTGTGAACGTGTGTGAGTGTGTGTGTGACTCTACCTGTACTTCTCTTTGCCCGGTCGCTCCTGCGTTGTGTCCCAGAAGCGGGCGTGTTTGATGGCGTTCTGCACGCGTTCATCCTGATCTGGTATTTGATTGGCAGGATTCTCTGTCAACGAGAGGAGCTGAGGCGGCAGATGGGGAATCAGTTTCGTCTTGGTCAACCACAGAGCCTGACGCACGCCTGACAAGGAGAGAGATAAAGATTTGAAAGACATGAGGCGTGACAAATAATAGCTCGGGTCCACATGGAGAGCTCTGTTGAGCGTGGAGCCGTTCCGATCGAATGAACCACACTCCCTCTGCCACACGGAAGTCACATTGTGAAGGTTATCGTCTTACTCATTTATAACGTTCACTTCAGTAAAATTATCGACAGACGATCCCTTCAAGGTGACGCCTTCAATTCGGAACTCTAGGTGGTTAAAAGAATCATAATCATTATATATCTTGAAAGTAAACTCTGAATGTGAAACGTCTCTGACAGATTCAGAGTACAATGAGATGAAATAGTATTAATTCATAATGTTCACGTCATAACAGAATAACGACGGATGCTTTTAGCCGGGGGACGCAGGCAGCAGGCCCATTGCCTTACATTACAAAAGGGGTCACGGGGGTCGGGGACGTAATGTGGAGGAGTGCATTGCTGAGGCACAGGCCGAGCGGATTCAGAAACAAGCACAGTCAGGAGAGATTTTAATGATCAAACATATACATTAAGACAGTGGTTGCTATTCCTGAACATTCATTCACAGGCATCGATCAAGGCTCATCTGCCAAAGAGTAGAAGCGCTTCAAAATGAAACTAAACTTACTTACTTAAAATGAGTTTAATGGATTCTTGCTCGTCTGCATAGGTGCACCCCTCTGAGGTCAGTGGGATGTTCATGAATGTAACAGGAATACGCATAAAATATATCGATGCATATCGAATATCCTCCGTGCAGCGCTTTAACTACTTCAGACCCCCACTGATACTCCTTTGAGACATCGTGCCCGTGACGTCACATTGCCGTGCTACAGGTGGGGTGACGTTACCTTCCAGGGCGCTGGTCCTCTGGTTGAACACGTAGCACGGGGTCTCTTTGAAGAGCGGCATCTCGTGGGCCGGAGGAGACTCGTAGTACCGCGGGTCCTTGTAGTCCCTCTCCCAACGGGGGCCGACGGGCTTCGTCAGGCCCGGCACGAAGTGCATCCTGTCCGCGTAGGTGACCATCTCCAGCCCGGGGATGTCCACCCTCTCCCGGGGCTTGCGCGGTGGGGGGACCTTCGCCGCCAGCGGGCGGCTGATGCCGAAGTGTCTCCTGGCTCCTCCATGCGAGGACAACCGGCTCAACTCCTTCAACAAAACCGTCTGAGAAGAGAGCTGAGCCGCCGCTTTCAAACACCGAGTCTTTTCTAGCAGCATGTCCCCTCCTGCTGTTGTTCTTGATGAGTTGTTCTGGGTTTTAGGCACTAATTGTGACCTCAGTCAGAGAGTGAAGCGGGCGCCGCCATGTTGGATCTTCTGCTTCTTCTTCTTGTTGTCTGACTGCGGTTTGAATCGAGCTCTACCGCCGCCCCGCGATCCGGAGGCCGCATCGTCGCCTCTTGGGGGTCTTTGTCTCATACTTTTTACCCTCGGATTTGAACGTCTGCCACGCTTTGTCACGAGACAATGTCATTTTCAAATGCATTTACTGTTTTACGTCAAATAGCTCAAATGAGAAAATGTAGTATTTAATGTAATATCCCGGTCTGAACATACGTGTGCAGTCCTCCTTGTTTATGTTTTTTTTTTACATTTCCATGCTTTCACTGGTTATCCCGTTTTAAGGTCATATTGCAATGTCTTGTGCGTAATCCCCTTGGTCAGCATCCGTGGCTGACTTACGGAAAGGGTTCATGAAGGGCACAAAATGTCGGCCTAAGAGCCTGAAACACTTGGCGGGACAGAACCACATCTACGGAGTCGGGCGGAATGCGCCTCAAACTTCTTTGGTCCGTAAATATGGAGGTTGGGATTGGGCCATTAATTCCGCTTCTCTAAGCAAAACCAAAAGAAGATCAAGTCTGGTCTGCATGACAGCTGCATTCAAGTTTCCATGTTAAACGTATGAAAATTCGCAGGTGGGCAAAACACAGCATTGAACCCCCTTAAAAGACCCCTCAGATCACCAGGTAGCATTAATATATGACTTGTTGGATTTATGAATCATTATTACCTAGTATAAAATGGGTAGATCAGTCACAGTTTAAACTAGGTGAGCTCTGTTGATGAGCGCTACCTACTAGTAAGTAATATTAGACTATAGGCTTGGATGTTTTTGTCTCGTTATTTGTACATACATCTTTGGAATGTTGACTGTCGGGTTTTTGTGACTGGTCTCTTTAAACTCCAAAACACTTTATTAAAAGAAAACACAAGTTGAGGCAAGTAGGCCCAAGCGCAGGGAAAACGTCTGTGCACCGGAGGGCAGTCTGACGCCAGCCGACTGGCTGAACATGATCGTTGGTTCCTGTGAATGTAGTTATGTCACTAAATATTGCAGCTGCAAGGAATTGTGGGACTGAATTATCTTCTTTCGTAAAGGATAGTCCAGTATTAATAAAGTAAAAAAGTACGTCCACAGCCCCATCGCCATGTGTGACTCCACTTACATGTGGAGTCCTTCCACTTCCAAGGCTCTAATCACAAACCAGAACCTGAAACCATGGAATAAAATGTGTCATTACGGCTCAGGATCGGCGGTTCGATCCCAGGCTAGTGTACATGTTGGTGTGTCCTCGGGCAAGACACTAAACAACATTGCTTGTGTAGCTGTGACAATGGTGTGTGAATGTTGGTTACTTATGACCTGGTGTCAACATGTATGGTAGTTCCTGTCATCAGTGTATGAACGGGTGTGAATGGGCGAATGTTGACATGTAGCGCTATAGAGCTTTTAGTTGTTAGAAGACTAAAAAAGACGTAGAAGTACGGTCCATTTACCATTATAAAAAGTGCTATGATGTCATTAGGAATATAACTTATTTTTAATAACAAAAAATGTTTCATATTAATGAGTTCCATATTTTTTTCAATCACAAATTGCTGCCTCATTTATATATTTTACAGAATGTATTCACCAAACATCATGTCCAGTTAGTCCTAGGTTTTTGTTACTATGTATAATCATTTATGAAATTATTTTAAATGCCATTCTTGCTGTGAATTATACAATTAAAATCATTGGTCAAGTGTTGAAAAGGGCAGCTGTTACCGTTCAGGGGCATCTAACGTTCTACTGGCCCTGAGTCCAGAGCTCGGGTGGGTAGCATCAGCCACCTGGGTCATGCAGCTGCAGTGTCTGCCTTTGTGGCAGGGTCGGTATAGGATTAAGATCACATTGGGGAGGATGGAGGTGATTGACAGGCGACACTGTCTCAGGAGAAATCCATTCATTCAATACCATTTTTTACCATTTTTTCCTGTGCCACTGTGTAAGTTGCCAGGACAGAGTGTACGTGTTGTAAAGCCCTGTGAGGCAAATTTCAAAAGTTTTTATTTAGGCAATACAAAATGAATTGAATGGCTGAAGGCACTTGCTTTGGATATTACTGTATATTATAATTCATATGGCCATGTCATCATGTCGATTACTAAATCCAAAACAAATTGGAACCCCAAAAAATAAAGTCATACTACCATCGGTCAATACACTGCTGTGTTTTCACTTCCAATGAGTATAGCGCTTTCCTTTAGTCTGACTCCAGTACAGCAAGCTCAACAGTGGAAACACGATCTTATCCAGTGTGTGTCTGTCTGACTGGTCTCTGTGTCAGGTTTACCTCACATGGACATGGAAGTACTGACAGAAGCTGACACATATTGCAGGAAACGGTAAGAAACCCCCACATGTTTCCCAGAACTGAAGCAAAACATGCAACAACACTGTGACGACTCAAAGAGATGAAGAATAACTTCCTGTTTCATTCTTTTAACCACAACACTTTCTGGGCTGCATCTGGCCCGCACCTGATTCGAGTTTGAGACCCCTGTTTTAAAGGAAAGGGACAGATGTGGTAAGACTATTAGAGAGGAGGTCTTCTGGTAACAAGTACATAAGTACTTAATGGTCCTCTCTGATTATCTCTGATTTTAAAGCCAGAAAGGTTGCTCATTGCCTTTCACAGGTGTTCTCCAGGTGAGGAATACCGAAAAGAGGTTCTCACAGACTGTGGGACAAATTGTCTAGGTTGCTACAACAGTAAAGGTAATAAAGGCCTGCCCTTATCACCCCCAAACGGACAGGCTGGTTGAAAGATGCAACCGGACACATGCTACTGTGGGGGGGGCAACTGGGACAGATTGTCACTTTATCTACTTTTTAAATACCGAGAGGTGCCACAGGCTTCCACCGGCTTCACCCCATTTGACCTACTCTATGGACGGCAGGTGAGAGGACCATTGAAGCTCCTGAAGGACTACTTGTCCAAGTCCAACATAAAGTTGACAGCCGGTCGTTGCATACTTGGTCCAGATGTGATCCCTCTTCTGGAGCTAAAGCTCTTTAGAGAGACGCTTGTCCAGCACACGATTCAGCTAAATAAGGATGCCCCCAGGAAGCAGAGGAGCTACAGCGTTCCTGAGCAGTTGGTAGTTGAGTGATGATGAGTTGATGTTGGAGTTGGGTATGATTGAGGTGTCCAGCAGTGAGTGGTGCAGCCCTGTTGTTTTGGTATCCAAACAAGATGGCTCACTAAGATTTTGCGTTGACTTCCAGTACCTGAACTCTGTGTCACTTTGATCTCATGCCCAGAATTGATGACCTGGTGGAAGGAGTTGGAGAGCAAAGTACATATACCCCAGACCTAGTAAAGTAAAGGCTATTGGCAAGTTGCATAAGCACCAGAAGCTCGTAAGTTTAAAGCCTTTAGGACCCCATTTTTTATGTGTCACTTTAAGGGGATGGCAATTAGCCTCTTTTGGGCACCAGATACTTTTCAGAGACCAATATCTCATTTATTGAGAGATATGTCAGAGTTTTCAGCTGTATACTTGGACGAAGTCGTCATTTCAGGACTTCCCATTTCCTACAACAAAGAAGAAAGTGAAGAGTTTCATGGGCTTAGTGGGCTGGTACAGGAAGGCCATTCCCCACTTTGCGCAGCGTTTGTTAGTGTTTACAAACCTGACCAGAGCATCAGAACCTAATGAGGTTCTCTGGTTTAAAGAGCATGACAAAGTTTTCACGAAACTAAAAAGCTCAGTCTGCTCACATTCAGTATTTCATAGTGCAGACTTTGACAAACTATTCACCCTGCAGGCGGAAGCCTCAGGAGTGGGACTTGGTACGGTGCGTTTTCAGGAAGTAGGTCGAGATGTGAAGTTGTGTTCCTCAGTCCTAAGCTAAAGGACAGAGAGACAAGGTATTTGACAAAGAAAAGGAGCGTCTGGCAATGAAGTGGGCCATTGGACACTACCTTCTAGGACGACACTTCTATCAGAGCATCATGCTCTCCAGTGGTTTCATCCGATGAAAGACGCCAACATGTGCATTGCTGGATGGTATCTGGCTCTGCAACCATACAACTATACGGTCCACTACAGATTAGGAAAGACAAACACGGTGGCTCTGTACATTACATTAGATTACATTACATGCCATTTAGCTGATGCTTTTATCCAAAGCGATTTACAATAAGTGTATTTCAACCATAGGGTACAAACTCAGAAGAACAAGAAACAAGAAAGTGCAATTTCCTCAAATAAGCCAATTTACAATTTGCTATAGATAAGAGGCATTATAAGTACAATTTAAGTGCTACAATTTGTTAGTCTTTTAGTGGAGGTAGTCTGAAGAGGCGTGTCTTTAGTGATGAATATGTGAAGGCTCTCTGGGGTCCTGATGTCTTCAGAGAGCTCGTTCCACCATTTAGGAGCAGGACAGCAAAGAGTCGTGATCCAGTCGAGTGTTTTGCTCTCAGTGAGGAAGGAACCAGCAGTTTGGCAGATGCAGAGCGGAGTGCGCGGGTCGGGATGTAGGGTGTCACCATGTCCTGGATGTAGATTGGACCCGATTCATTCACATGTTTGTAGCGAGTACACAAAGCTTGAGGTACAATGTCCTTGCAGGAGAAGGAGGAGGAAATGTAATGAAGACCCCATCCATTACAAGACTGTGGACTGTTACAAAGAACACACGCTCAGTGGATGTGATGTTTTATTGAATTGATCAGAATGATCAGTATCATCATTAATGGTATTAATATTATATTATATGATGTCCTTTTGGTATTTCTAATGAATTGTTCAACAAAGAAACAATTACATTGCTATTTACATTTAAAAGAAAACAACACACACAAAGTATGAAAAAAGCAAGAGCTTGAAATTAAAGCAACTTCTTTTTCACAAATCAAAGTGTGCGTGCCCCCTCTCACGCACACGCACACAGACGCACATCCGCTCACAGCTTTTCTGTGGGTATTCTTCAAAGCACTTTACGCTCGTCCTTTCCGTTTCCTGCGCGCAAACGTCTCCAGCTACGCTAATTGCGCTAAAGTCCCTGG